ATTCAGCAAGTAATGATTTGTTACATGGCAGAAAAAAGAAAAACATTCGGATTTTGGCCACCATCAAAGAAAGTAATAAGAGTGTCTTACTCATACCAATTTTTGACTTTTTTTTTATTTTTTTTTTTCGTCCATTGTTTTCCCTTTTTAGTTATTAATGTCAATATTTTCTTTAATTTAATGTGAATAAAAGTTCTTGCGAGCAGCTTGTTGTTTCTTGTTTCTTTTTTCTCAGCATCTTCTTTTTTCAATTTTTAGGGTATTTGGAATATACTTTGCCCGTATGAGCTGCATGCTTTAAGCACGATACCATTCACGAGAACAAACTTTATTGATTGAAGTACAAATTTCAATAGATCGAGTAAATCATTGGAATAAATTTTTTTAAAAAAATATTGAAAAATTATAATAATAATTATTATTATTATTGTTATTAGCTGACCTGGGCGGGGCTGAGGTTGAGGCTTCTTTTTAGTTCTGCTGAGGAGTGATCTGATGCCTTCCTATGGACTTTCTTTTAGCCTTTACCTAACCAAAACCTAATGCCATTCCATTTCAAATTACTTGTTTGAAAAAATGCTCAAATTATTGCATGCTAACATGTATATTGCTCTCTCTACCCAGAAATATAAATCGATTTATAGTGATTATTTGGTTTTAAAATATAAATTGTTTAAATACTTTAAAGAGTAGTAAATGATATTTTTTAATTGTTTAAATACTTTAAAGAGTAGTAAATGATATTTTTTAATATTACCGTTATTTATATTAGATGCAGTAATTATCTTCACAATTATAATCATATCTAAAGTTATAATTAATCAATACATTTTACTATTTTTTTCAAATAATTTATTTTGATTAATATAAACAATTATGGTTAAAATTCATAAATTAAGTAATTTATTAATATTATTAAAAGCTATATTAATTGTTACTTAATATGGTATTGATTATCTAATATTATATTAATCAATTATATTTATTACGTTTAATTCAATCAATAACCAATTATACATCGTCAATGAGGTAACTTCTTTTGCATAGCCCATTGTATTTAATTCTCTCCCAATGAACACAACAAATTAAACAATCACACGTTCAATTTATTTTCAAATAAATATAAAGACAAACAATTAAAAGATTATACATGTCATTACTTTGGATTCAATCATTCAAATAGATATAAAGCAAACAATTAACCATTGCACAAGTTACTTTCGGTAGCACGAGAGGAAAACCTACATGCTTAACGGATTCAAACTTTATATTCTTATTCAAAATAAATAATAAAGACTAACCTAAAAGAAAAAAGATATTAACCTTAATATCATATGACATACAAAATAAATATCAACTCTTTCTTATATCATAATCTTCTCTTTCTCGGTTTAATTATAACATTTTGAGTGAGATGAATGAATCAATTCAATACATTTTTGGTTTCTTGACGGAAATGTTAGAAAAGAAATCTTCACACAAGATATCTTTACCTACTTTTGAATTAGACAAGAGATTGTGGTGATTCATTTAAAATTTAGAGCAGTACTTAGATCAATCTAGCGAATGATGCAACTATGATTTGATGGGGTCAGAAGCATCTCATGCACAATATTGCACATATTTATTGTAAGTTGATCTACCAAATAATGCAACCAAGTTCATCAACAAGTGAAAGAGACGTATAAATGGGTGATTGCAGGCGATATTAACATATTAATAAATCAAGAAACCTCCAAAACATAAAACAAGAGAGGGAATGGAACGAAACATATCCTGCAGGATATGCCATTGCTAGCTCAGCTCTATAAGTACAAGCAGTACAAACATAATGGAATACCTGTAATTGCATTCCCAGGCATGGTGAAGAGTGCAGACAAAATAGATTTTAGACTTCTACTATTATTTTATAATTACAACCCCACAATAATGTGGAGCCTCATTACTCATTAACCCTATAAGGAATGAAAGGTGGAGGAAAATTTAATTTTTCAATAAAAACTTAATCTTGATGTATATAAATTAATTTGGAATTTCTAATAGCAGACGAAAGGGTAATGCAAAAGGATAAAAGCACGTGGGCATTGACCTTAAAAATTAGTCACAGTGAGTGAAGTGGTGAAAAGAGGGTTAGTGGCAACACCACAATAGCTCTTTCCAGGCAAGCCATCTTGTGCACATTAAGTCATGTGTCACTTCTAATAGTTTATTTCTTATGCTTTCTTTGTTTTATGGATTTTTAAAAAAGCCGTAACTTTTTTTGTCCTGTGGTGACTTGATTCTATTAAGTAAAGCCCACCAAACACATATGAAGCATGGAGTCTGGATTGACACATGTACATATACAGTTACTAACCCAACATTGAAAGAGATGTTTAGACCCACCCGCGGCTCAAAATGCATTACTTTTATCGAAAAAACTCCACTCAAAGTTTGCTTAGATCACTTATCAATTAACGCCCATATTGTAAAAGCTTAAAGTTTAAATTTTAACAACTCTTTTAAATATTTCAAAATATACATTTTTAAAAGCTTTTACATGAGATTAAAATGAAATTAATTCACCTAAATTATGACAAAATCTATAGGAAGTGATCAAATTACATTTTACCTCATGTCATTATATTGTATCTAATATAAAAGCAAAATTGAAAAAAAAAATTATTATTTAAAAAAAAAAAACTCAAAATGACTTATATTTTAAAAGAAAACGATCATTATAAAAACGATTTATATTTTAGAAGAAAACATTCACCGTAAAAACAATTTATATTTTGACTCAAAGGAGTATAAATGTAAAGGTGCAGTTATGAGTCTGATTCTGATACAAACTAATTTTGAGTGTAGTCTGAGCTCTATTTTTTGCCTCGGCACCTACAACAAGGTAAACAGAAAAGGAGGACATAATCATAGTATATACTAATACTACTTTCGTTCTATCATACTTATTACATTTGAGAAAATAGTTTATTTTAAAATACATGTAACATTTGTGGTTCAAAGAAGTAATAAAGCTTTTTTTTTTCCATATTTATCATTTATTAACCAATAATTATTACTTCAATTTAATGAGTTTCTTAGAGAATTAGTATTAAATTAAAAGTAATATAGTCAATTTACTCAATAATTAATTGTAATTTAGACAAATTTAATAATTTTTTTAAGGAATATAAAATCTTAAATGTGACAAGTATTATAAACTAGAGATAGCATAAAGAGAGAAGAGGAAACACAGTTGCATGTCTAAAGCGAAGGGTCGTCTCATCTCAACGAGCGAAGTATTTGCAGAAAAATGTCCATAAAAAAGTATACATACCTAAAAGTTCGTAACTAATAACCAAAAATTGTTGTGAATGAACATTCAAGTGTTAGAAAATGTGTCCATATCATCATTATTTTTTTTTTTTCCTTTGTAAATATTAGGTATATGTACATGCGAGAAGACTGCGGCGTTGCTTTCATGTATTTGGAAAACCCAGAATTTAACGGCAATACATGATGCAGAACATTTTCATATGCAAGCTTCTAATGCTATATTTCAATTGAATTGAAAAGATCTTATTTTACAAATAAATGTCCAACGATAGTATATAATTATTGTATTTCTCTACCCTTTTACTAATTTATTTATGAATTATTACGTTTACATTATATCTCTTTTTAAATATGATATTTATGATTGTTTAAATGCGTTCTATCGGGACTTACTTATTGGTAAACTTTGTTTTCTCTTAAAAGCTACAACTGTGCAGTAGTAAGTTAGTAACTCAACTCAACTTCTTCTTATCATGTCTTTCTTTGTATTTCTGTTCAAATAATTTGATTGATGTGGAATTTAAGCATGTTATTGTTTGTGGAAGTGGTGCTATCAATCTGGCATTGAGGTGGAATTTTTTCCTTGAAACAGTGATTCATGCCATGAAAATGAGCTCCAATAACAAAACTAAAAGACAGCGAAAGTGAATCATAATGAAACGGACGGTTGGATAATGGATATGGGCCAATTGAAGCATGCTTTTCCAAATGTCAATCATCCCAAAATAATTATTGGCACTTAGAAAGAAAAAAACTCAAATACTATGTTTTTTTTTTTCCTTTTTAATGTTAATAACACTTTTATAAAACAAAATCAATATGGGCGCCACCGGTGACAAAACATCACCTCTAATGTTAACGTAGAGGCGGAGAGAGGAGCTGAGCTTTAGCAGCGAATCGGCTCAAAATCCGGAGAAATAGAGAGAGAGCAGACACAGACCCAAAGCCGTAGCGTCAGATATCGTATCCCATGCATCGATCCCATGAAAAACCATACTACTACTGACAATGTATTTATTTCGCGATTTCCCAAACTCCGTCGCTCACCAACTACACTACACTACTGCGTTCTCATTGGTTCCGCTACGCTTCTGTCTTTAATTATTTCTTTTTTTATCTATCTATCTATCTATCTATCAATCAATCAATCACCTCTATGCTCCCTCCCACACCCTACACCTATCTATCTACTTCTATTTTACACTTTTCTCCTCCCTGCACCTGCTGCTCCTTCAGCTTTTCACCTACCTAGCATTGTAAAATATAAAATTTCCTTTTTTTTTTTCTTCTCAAAATTGGAATAAAAAATGGCTATACGCAGAACTTGAGATCCTTGAAAAAGGAAAAGCAATGGGCTCATCTGGAAATAGAAATTTTTATCCATTTTACTGTTTTTTTTTTTATCTAAGCTGGCTAAGGAATCCGGTCCAGTTCCAAAGCCCAGTCTTGATGAGAACGTTTCTTCATCGGTTTCAGAAAGTTGCTAATAACAAGGATGACTACATGCACGCCAATCTTGGTTTTGCTGAGGAAGCGCCCTCTTTTTTTCTGCCTTTGCTGCCTGCTGCTGTTGCCATTACTGTAACCCTTCAGATGTCGCCAAGGTTTCAAGATGTAAATCATATTTGTATCCATGATTAAGAAATAGTGTGTGTTCTTTGTGTATAGAACCAGAGTCTGCCTCCTTGTTTAAATTGTATTCATTCAATTTATAAAAAGGAAAAAAATTACATGCAAAAGGCCACTGACTCTAAATCTGACTTCCATTCAACTCGAAGTCAAAACGAATTAGACTAAAGACTATCGATGAAGGACAGAGATTAGAATTAGATTATACCCTCCGTTGACAACAAGGTCAAATCCAAAGATACTGATCTATGACTGAACAGTGTCAAAACGAATGGCCTCAGCACATATCATTCTAGTCAAAACTAAAAGAGTTCTATCAACGCACCCATTCATCAATTCTCTTTCTCAGATTCACCATATACCTGAAGATTCTGGGCAGAAAAGCATATTGGAAGCCTCCGATGTAGCAGCAACCCACAAAATAGCCCTCCACCGTCAGATGACGACCTCAAGTGCACCGAATCTCTAACTCCGTTCCAGTCTTTCAAAGCCGTCGATGCGGCTGACGACGAAGAAGTCGTGGAATCAGCGCCATCAGAAATGTCTCCCGAATCTCCACAGAAATTCTCGCCATGACCATCCTCTACTGTCGAGGTCGACTTCTTTAAATCACAGCGGCGCCGGCGACGATTATTCTCTCCCACAAGATCACGATAACTGATGGCCGATACTCCGTTGAAGGATGCAAAATCAGAGCCGTCGCTTATAACAGCACCGATGTTAAGCAACCCTTGGAATCTTCCAGAAGGACGGCGAATCTGGAGAGCAATGAAGGAAGGAGTCCTCATTCGTTCATTAGGTAAAAATAGTGGGATGTTGCTAATGAGTAAACGAACGGTGCCGAGGAGTGCATCACGGAGATAACCGACAGCGTAGATTTCGACACAAACACCGGATGTTTCGCCGGCGAGGAACTCAGGACTGACTTTGAAGAGGAACTTGTCATTCCAGATAGGGTCCCCGCTACCAACACGATCAACTCGTGTCCGGAGTTTAGTGGAGGAATCGATCCAAACAACAGCATATGTCTGCATCCGACGTATGTTGGCGGACGGCGGCTTTAGACCTTGCGCAGAGATCAAGTTGATCTCTAGAATCTTCATCTCCTCCATTTGAGTCTCCCTCCTTATCTATTGGTTTCTTGGTCTTGGATGAGAAAGAGACCGTCCAGATTCGATCAAGAAAGAGAAAAGATTGACGATCGGTTCTGATAAGAACCAAGGAAAGGAGACCGTGGGCTATGCATGTGGCCGGAATATATGGTTCTCGCCGACGGAATAAAAGAGAAGACGAATGCTAGCGGTTGAATTGAAACTGCAATGACCAGATTTTATAACTAGAATGACGGAAATAGCCTCCGTGTGCTTTCTAGTGGCCGCGTCAGTTTGCGTGATAGTGAGGCCAATGCCACGTGTACGCGATGAAAGTTCGATTGCTGTTATTTATACGTGCTCTAATCTTATTTCAACTGCTATTGTAGCTCATCTGGCCAATCAAACTATAAGCCGAAGTACAAAAAAGAACGTTACTCGTAGATAGTCTGGCCCACCAAGCCCAAATAGATGAAATCATGTACCTCATTCTTTTTGTTTCTTAATTAAGCTCTTGTTAGGTTTCAACTTAGAAAGTCATTAGTTAGTTTCAATGCGTATTTGAATACCAATTGAGTTTAGGATATTTCGTCTCCGCCGTATTAAAAAGGAGAATATACAAAAAGGTACAGGAATAGAATATTCAATCTGCAAATCGAGAAAGGGCCAAGCACAAGTTATAAAAAAATGGACATATTGAATAAAGAAGAAAATATATTCCTCCAATCAAACAAAAAAAGATGAAAAAATATTCTCAAATAATCAGAAAATTAATATTCCTAGCTTTCACTAGTTACTAAAAAAGAGCCGATTTCCTTTCCTCTTTTTCTCTGTTGTTTGGTTAATATTGTATAACATAAAATCATCGTAAGGCATAGCCAAACAGCGCCACTTGATCCCGCCTACAGTTTCTATATAACCCTTCCACACAACCAAATCGAAAGAAAGCGTTCCTGTGGAGACTAAACCTTTAGAAACTTGAACGGAAGCCGATGTTTTCAATTCTGATGGCTGATGTTTTTCTTGTGCAAGTACAATATTTCTATCCTCATTTGACTCGAACGCGATGCTATATCTGGGGTCGTCTTCTTCATCATCGTCAGCATCATATACGACATCTTTTCCAACTGCTTCTTGGCTGAAGAGGGTCTTCAAATGACATTGACCACTGCCTACCAGAGAATCATAGAAAATCTTACGCGACCTATAAATCTCAAAAAAGAGAATTGTGGTGTTGGCGGGGTGAAGGAAATTTTCTGAAACTGAGAAAACAAACTTCTCTTCCCAAACTGGCTTCGTTGCCGTTCTTGTCTTTGTTATTTTTGTTTGTAACTTTCCTTTCGGGTGGATCCATAAATTCACATAAAACTTGTCGTTCTTATTTGTATTCAAGTCAGCAGATCGTAACTTAACCTCTAGAAGTCTGGATCGTCCGCTTGGATGAGAAGACATGGTTAAACCTTTAATCTAACGCTATTGTAGTTGCTAGCTTTATGGTTGGTTCCATTTATATACAGCTCAGATCTTTTTCCTACCTGATTTCTGATTTTGTAACTTCTGACAATTAGATGTTTCCTACTCCGTCTTGGACAGGGAAATTCATAATTGCCGCGTTACCTTTCGTTTTCATTAGCACGCACATCAAGCTGTTATTCCATTAATTTAACCCAATATTGATTTCCGTAAGCCAACTCATTGAACCATCTTCCCTTTTATATAACCGTATCATACAATAATAACCATTACATATAAACACACACCCACACAAGACCTCGAATTGTATCCAAGATGCGTGGGCCCTACAAAGAGAAGCAATTGCAGACGCACTACTGCGAAAAGCTCGATAAGATAACAAGAACATATGATGATATGTTGATGGTGCGGATTACTAATCATTCACAGAGTTACTTTCGGCAAGACAATAGAGAAACGAAATATGAAACCCAAAAAACTACAATAAGCACATATTACATTTATATGACCTGCATATGAATCATGAAACTCAAGTCCATATATCACAAGAATACATATCTAACAGATTTTATTGTAATGCACTCATCACCTCAAACAGAAGATGTGGTAAGCTGTTATTTACAATACATATAGATATTATATTGCCACACCAACAGATCTCTTCCTTGGGGAAGGCTTACTTGACATTGTTGCGCTGGAAGGTGTGGATATTGCTGTTCTACATCGTCTTGTCCTCATTTTCTTCTTCCTTGACAGCTTTTTCTCCAAGTCTTTCACTCTCCCACTCAGATTGGATATGACGGCCAATTGTTGTTTCCCTGACTCGACCAATTTCTCCATCATCAACCTCATTTTCTCATTCTCTTCAATCAGCTTTCTATTACTTTCCATCTCTATCTCCTGCTCCTTGATAGATGGCTGGCTTCCACCAGATGGCACAACAGTTTCTCTTTCAGTAGTTTCCATCCCCTTAGATTGATTTGCTACTCCATCAGAGCCACTCATCATCTCCAGCTCATGGCTCTCGTTGTCCTCTTGTGTAATGTCTTTATTTCCATCCCCTGCTGTTGGCTGGTCAACATTATCCTGATTTTCTCCAATTTGTACTTCTTCCACCTGAGAGATATTCACTGTGGTTTTCGCCTCTGAAATGCTGCCCGAGTTGATATCAACAATCTCCTGGTCAACTTCTTTCTGTACTTCATCCTGACTTTCTTCCCATAATAGTAATGAAGCTTGTCGTGCCTCCTCTGGTTGAGACTCTTCCACTCGCTTACTGTCAACGACCTCCAATATCGGTGTTTCCAATGCATCTCCCCCAGATATTTCTTTTCCAATGGAATCATCATTTGATTCAGTAATAGAGACTTCTTTGTTAAACCCTTCCATAGGCTGTTGATTACTCTCCCACTGAATCGGAACCTCTTTGTCTGGTAAAGTTGCCTCAGTTATTGTTCTCTCTTCATCAAGCACTTCTGCTGCCCGTTGCTGCAATTCATTCAAAGCTGGAACTCCCTCATTCGGTGAAGAATCATCAATTGTTACTTCCTGTTCCTTACATGATTCCATCAGTTGCTGCTCTGATGCATCATTGCTGGGTTTACGTTCCAAATCTCGACCAGGTAAGACTTCATTATCTTGGATTTCAGTTTGTGCATGTTTCTCACCAGGTTGTGCATCATCAATAACTCCTACAGGTAATTCTCTTAAGAAATTCGATTCTAGAATTTCTTTGGCGACTGTTGATTCGTCAACAACTGCAGCAGGAAAAGCTGAACCATTAGGCAGACTTGATTCCGCAGATTTTTCCTGTTCGACACCTACCATATTTGTTGCAATTTGTTGCTCCTCACCAGAATCAGCAGGTTCCTTTTGAGTTACCCCCTCAGGCAATTCCTCTGGCATTCGCAAATTATCATCCATGTGCATTGATTCATTGATTTCAACTGGTACAAACTGTACCTCACCGTTTGGGTCACACCGCACGTTTTCGAGTTGAGCTCCTGCCACCTCCTCGGGAACACTTTTCTCTAACGGCATTTGAAAAGTTTGCACAAAATCAGAAGGAACATCATTCTCTGTTATTAGCTCTTCGCTTGAATGAAGCTCTCCACCACCCACATTGTCCTCTGGCCCTTTGAAACAAGATTCTAAATTCCCAGTTACCGGTAGAGCACTCTGTTCAAATTTCCTATGCTCCTCTTCGACAACAATGGGATGCTTCAAAGTTTCCTCCCCCTGGGTGTCAGCCACTACACCTTTCTGCTGGAAAGCATCATGTTGATTCACCTCCACATTTCGTCCTTTATCGTCTATGATATCATTAGGATCTAAAGGGTTTTTAGAAGATGTAGCTTTGGCGAATAAATCAAGCTTCTCCTGTAGCATAACAAGTTCCCTTGCTAATGATTTCCTAACATCCCTGAGACTTGGGTGCAAACCCTGGAAAACATTAAAAGTTGGAAAATAAATCAGAACATTACAATTAGAAAGAGAAAAACTCTATAATTTAGGAGAAGAATGATAATCCCACAACTGTGAATGTTGAAATAAAGCACCACGAAATAGTAAATAAATAATAAAGTTTACACCACCAGGAAGTATCTGAACACATTAAAATACCAAATAAAATAAAAAAAAATCCTTTGCCTATTCCTAGGAAATTATGAATTACTTATAACATCTAATTTGAACTGAAACTGATCATACCTGGATGGTGTCCAATCTTAGGAGAAGATTCATTATCATTTCTCCTATAACTGCCCTTTGCTTCTCATCTCTCTGTAGATCAGCCAAGGACTCTAAACCACAAATCTTATTCCTAACCTCAACCACCTCCTCCTTAACTTTAGCAATTTGCCTCAATTTCTTCAGCGGTTCCCATTTCCTCACTTCAAAACCACGATAAGCAGATTGGATTCGTAAGGCTGCTTCCTCAGCCGATAGTTTCTTTTCCTCTGCCCTAGGATCTCTAACACAGGATCTGCTTGCGTTAATTGTTTCCTTTCTTTCCTTCACTTGATCAGCCTTCAACTCATTTGCATGACTATTATTATCCTTTATGTCTTCCTCCTCATTCTTTTTAATCTTGTCCAGAGTTAGGCTGTTGGAAGCCTCTTTGCCAAAATCAACTGACGAAGAAATAGGAAATTGGGATTGATAGCTGCTTCGTTGTTCTTCATCCGTTTTTACAATAGTGTTCCTTTTCACACCCTCCACATCCTTGCCTACGTTTTTCTTGGTTTCTGGCTCCTTGCTACTGATTGAAGTGCAGTCTTGCACTTGTACAATCTGGTCATTCTTTGCTGTCAAGTCTGATGAATCAAATACATTAGGAGTGTCTTCCGCAGTCTTCTGTGACTGCCTTTTCAATCCAGGAGGACTGGGAGACCTTGAGTTTGTGTTACCATTCTTTTTTCGAGGCAAGGGGTCAACTCTCAAACAAACAGGAGGCAACTTTGAGGCCTTTGGAGGGGATAAGGATTGTCTTTTTGCACTAGCTCCAGAAGCTTTAACCATCCCATTATCTTCCATTTTTCTCAGAGAAAAATCTGTTTGTGCCCTCTCAGCATCTTCAGATTTATCCTTCTCCACAGTTGCTTCCATTTGCTTCACAGGAATGCTTCTCTTTTTGGAAATTTTTTCTTTTGGCTCTGAATTGAGCTGGTCACCAGAACTCTCATGGATCATGTAAGGTTTGCTCACGCTAAGGTCTTCAACAGTTTTTGGAGCAGCATTCATCTCTCCACGCTCTTCCTTCCCAGCCTCGCCTTGTTTATTGTAGGGAGACGTCCATATTATAGGAAATGGAAAATGTCTCATTTTGTCCTCATTATTCTGATCCTGAGTGCTCCTCCCATCATTAGCTTGCATCAATGGTTGAAGGCTTTTCATGTCAACTGGAAACCAGCCACTCCATACTCTCGGGTCCTGTTGAGATGGCTTTACATTCTCAGCAGGCTTCATATCTTGAGAAGATATCTCCCGACCAGCTAAATCTGACTCCAAAGGCTTTCTCTGCTCTTTATTCTTTACATACTCAGGTGGGATCCACAAAACAGGATATGGATAATTTTTCAATTGAAATGGAACCAAAGAGTTACCCACCTTGTTCTCACCTTCGGGCTCTTGCTCTTCAACCTTCACACTTTCACCCTTTCTCTGGTCATGTGTGTGATTAGGACACCCGCAACAATGATAATTATCTCTAAGCTTGTCAAATTCATACCTAGGTAGCTCCCTTACATAATTTGGAGGCACATAATGTACAGGGAAGCTATCCGGAAATGGAGGATGATATCCACAGCAATGAAACGGCTGTGATGAAAAATGAGGGCAAGGTCTATTGCTATAACAACCAGGGAAATTACCGTGGCTGTACCAGGGGTAACATGGGACTGGAACCATATTGTTAGCATAAGGCCAAGGCTGATTGATAACAACAGATTTGGATGGATCAAAATTCCCAAACTGTGCCATGGCCTCAAAGCTAGGATGATAGTTATGGTTCGAAGGCATTTGGTTCCCATTCATGGGGTGTGAGTCCATGCATCTATACATGGGCATCATTCTTAGCGAAGCTTGTTAGCAATAAAAAAACCCCAGTAGTTATTTGAAGAGTTGAATTTAGATGCCCAGAAATCACCAGAGTTTGAGATACTGCAAGAAGAAAAAGTAAAGTTGAGAGTTAATATGAAATCATCTACTGCTTCAATATGATGGATCGGAACTTGTCAAACATCAAAATGCAACAGATAACTACATTGACGTAAACCATTAAAACACCAACTATTCAAGCATAAACAGATTACTGATCAGCAGAAACAGGATTTTTCACAACATTTTTCATGGTTCCGAATAATATTATCCTCCATATTTTTGCTAATTGATTTCTATGCCATTTGAAATTCTTAATTGTCCAAAATAAATAAATAAATAAATTAAAGCAACTAACTTTACTGGACTGCAATTAAATTCAAAATATCGTACGAGTTTCTGTTCATCAATTGATTGAAATTTTAAGACTGTCAACTAATTACTTGTACCTGACCGTTAAAGTTCCGAACTTCCAAATGAATTCTCATTTCTAATCAAATTCTAAAAACAAGCAAATAAAATGAAACACAAAGGAAACAACAAACAGAAGCTAAAGCTTTTGATAACTTTCTATAATAGACCTATCTAACCTTCAGTCTCAAATGTTCGTTTTCATAATACTATAAATGTAAGTAAACAAACACATGAAATTTCTGAAAAAATGAAACAAAAAAAAAACCATAGATTAAGAACAGAACAAACAGCCACTTACAGTTTATTTTGATGAGACAAACAAAAACGAAAAGTCCAGCCAAACGGTTCCTCAATCCAAATGACTCAGTTATCGGCACGATCAATTCACAAACCCAAACGAAAATGTTGTGGCTAAATCACTTGTCTTCTGTATGCTATCAACGCTGCTATGTATCAACGGATTTTTCTTGAACAGAAGATTTAAGATATCGCCTTTTATATATAGAGCTACCAGTGAATTTCAAACCGGCTACTTCTTCTTTGTTCGAGATGTTTCGCGCGTCTCCCAAACCAAACTGTGAACCATCTGGAATTTTCATGCCACGTAAGAGGCATATTTTTGTCGCCACGTGCGCTTCTCCAGTCTAATCCAAGTTTAAGCCCACTAAACGACCGGCCCAAAGGAACCACATTCCTCCAAAAACGACAGATGAGCGATAAGCTTCATGGGTTGAGAACTCCCAAAGCATTTTCCTCACTTATTACGCCCTGTCCAATTCTTTTATTAACGGACAAACCCTCAAAAAGACTATTTCTATACTTGGTCCGCTGTAATTAAAGGCAGATCTCTTTGGGCCAGATTGGGTCCAGAATAAAATTGTTGGCTAATATGCCGCTTGTTAGCTGTCTGGGCCGAATGAGATGGGGCATCATTGAACTTGAAAACGGGGCTAGGATCAAGGCAAGGGTACGCACCTAGTAGCTGCGAACCTAAGATCATGTCATTTTGTCCACATTTCATGAAATGAGGAACTTCTCAAATTGGCAGGAACCATTTTAGATTGGGAGAACTCACAATGAAATTCGTGCATGTGGTTTTAAAATTTGTTTTTGTAATTTTTTTTCTAACTCAAATCCGTTGTATCAATCTAAAAGTAGCAATAACATGTATCCTAAATTTGAATTTTAAGATGTAAATCATCCATGTTGAAATTAATATGGTTAATCAACCAGGAGTGAACAATTATGCTACTGGTTGCAGCTGATGAGCTCCCGTGCCTATGCCAAAAGATAGAATATAATTTAAATTTGTACTCTTATTTAGTTGTGATAGTGAAACTTACTATGACCTAAAGCGCCTAAATAAGTTCATTCCTGGCACTGCATGGACGCTACTTGCCAGTTGCCTAGAGTTACTTTTTGTATCCAGCTACTTAGAAGCTGACCTTTGTTCAACTATGGCAACTATCAACTCCTCCCTTTCCCTACTATTTTTGCTTCTAGGGACAGATCATGAGATATCAATGCAGGAAAATGCCAAATGCTTTGTATTGTTTGGCCAAAATCTCCAGGTCACTACTCACGATTATCTCATAGCTTCAGCCGAACAAGCCAAACCTGAAGTCACAATCAACAGTAATGATTGCAAGATGACCATGCATGTACGTAGTTTGGGTGCCAAACTATAAATAGAGCTGCAAAGTCGCCCTTTCTATCAAGCTTTAATTATAAGTTAACAATGGCTTTTAAACTCTACCCGAAAGCTGCCACTCTTTCAATTGTTATATTGCTTGCTCTAATTTTCAAATCCGATGCTGGTCGCGTTGTTGTGTATTGGGGCCAGGACGAGAGGGAAGGCTCACTTACTGCAACATGTGCTTCAGGGAAATACCACATTGTTAACATTGCATTTCTCTCAAAATTCGGCAATGGCAAAAAGCCTCAAACCAACTAGCTGGTCATTGCGACCCAGCCTCAAATGGTTGCCAGAGGATTTCTAAAGAAATCAAATATTGCCAGAACAGAGGGGTTAAGGTATTGCTTTCCACTGGAGGCGGCGATGGTACTTACTCCTTAGCATCAGCAGGTGATGCTAATAATGTCGCCAATTATTTGTGGAACAATTTCCTTGGCGGCCATTCAAACTCACGGCCTCTAGGCGACGCTGTACTGGATGGTATAGATTTTGACATCGAGAAAGGTGGCAGTCGTTGTTACCCAACACTTGCTCGACGATTGTCCCAGCTCAGCCGATCTGGGAAAAAGAAAGTCTACCTAACTGCAGCACCACAATGTCCATTTCCTGATCAATAAGTCAACAGTGCACTCTATTTGATTATGTTTGGATACAATTTTATAATAATCCTCCTTGCGAGTACACTTCAAGTAATCCTGGGAAATTTAAGAGGTCCTGGAACAAATGGATATCATCTATTCCAGCTCGTAAGTTCTTCGTCGGGCTTCCGGCATCTCAGGCTGCTGCTGGTGATGGTTTTGTGCCCACAGATCAGCTCATTTCAAAGATTCTGCCTTTCGTTAAAACTTCTTCTAAATATGGAGGCGTCATGCTCTGGGATAGATATAATGATAACAAGAGTGGATATAGTTCCAAAATTAAGAGTAGCGTTTAGATGCTCTAAAAATGCATTACTACTACATGCCGTCTGAAGTATGAATTCTCTTGAAAGACTTGTATTCTTGAATAAAATAAGTGAATTGGTTAGCTTATCTCTTATATCACAGGCATTTAATGCTGTCACGCTGTTTTAGTTCCCTAGTTCCATCCATGTATTTTACGAGTTAAGTAAACAATCGTTTCAAGCAATCATTATTGTGGAGTAATGTCGTTGTCTGTGTTTCCAGTACATAATATCCAGTAATAGGTGCCAATTCATCATTAAAGAGTACTGGAAATTTAAATTTTGCAATTTGGCACTCAATTGTCTTCCTGCTTGATTTGCCTGTATAAATCTCCAACAAGAAATGAAAAGAATGCAAAAACTAGTATACATTACTCTTCACCATTAACAAGGGTGCAGTTAGTTACATGCAAAACCTCTCCCATAAAATACAAGTGATGAAGAGGGAAAAATCAACAATAAAAGAATTATCAAATTGATACCTACTTAACTAACTCCAAGGCTGCCAACTTCAACAGTTGCAATTTTGTACTATAAAAGCTTTAATATAAGCATTGTTGAATTTGAATTTTCTATGTCTTCTGGTGGGGGTTTTACATACTTCCCTATTACCTTTTGGTGGCGTTTTCTCCTCATTCTGTTTTGTTTGTCCTTACTTTGTTGCCTTCTCTTCTCTTTCTGCCTATTCCGAAGATTCCTCTCTTTCTCAAAAACTCCTTGCCAAACTACCTCTCCTGTTGATGGCCATAACCACCTTCTATTTGGGCGGTCAGAATCCGCGGCCTCAGCCAAGTCCTCATCCATGCTCTTCAGGGTTGTGTATGAGAACCATTTGATCCACATTTTACCTCTCCGGCTCTTCAGTTTGTGTTGCTGTTGCATTAAGCCAGTCTCAGGGTTCACATAAACCATCTGCCTTGCACTGTGGTATGCCCAAACATTTATGAGCAGCTCAAGAACCCGTGAATAACAATGCTTATCCTACAAAATCCAAAATGCAAACAACTTTTGTTATTACCACAGCCCTGTGTATAATCACAATATTCAATTTGAGAAACATCATTTTAAAAAAAAAAAAAAAGTGAACCAATCATTGAGAATTGCAACAGTAGCTAAAACAACTATATTTTTAGGCAACAGGCACGCATTCACTTTTGCATAACTACATAACTTTACATATTCTATGCATTTTCATGGGGAATGAAAACAATTAAAAAGAGTTTAATGTCCACTAATTAAAACTTATTTGAAATACATTTGAATGTAAACCATGCATAATTTAACTAATCTCTGACACTTAAAGAGTGAGAAGTAATATCGGGTTTAACTCCCAATAGAAACTTTTTATTCACTCATGATAACCAGACTTATTCAAGTAAGAACAAAAACCTAATTATAGAGAGACAACGAATTTACCTTCGACAAACTCAAATGGCAATACCCGCTCTGATGGTGCTCATTATACATTTGTGCATCCAATGCATCCACAAACATTCTGCATTCAAGCAGCTCATCTTTAATACCGTAATAAAATTTCAGGCAAAATTGTTCCAAAAGAGGAGAAGCTTTAAATACTGCATCAGGAAAACTCACACCTTGAAAACATTACAAACTCCAAAAAGGACCTGGTTGGCAGAGCCCAGCTCAGCATAACAGACCATGTATCTCCATCATCAGGCATAGGCGGTAAAGAATCCAAATCTTGATCAACACCATACATCCTCTTAAACGCCTCAGAAAATGCCCACCTCCAATCAGCCATTAAAAGGAGAAATCAGTCCGATATGTAAACAAGAAAGGATAAAGAGGACAATTTGGGCACTGACAGAGTACATAATAAAATATGCAACACATTGCAAAGCTCTTACTTGCAATTGCCAGCATTAACAGCATCGCAGAACGACCAAAAATCTTGTTGCAACTGGTATCTTGGATCCATGTCCATACGAACCCAAAAGTAGAGTGTGTCCCCATGCTTTCTCGTTTGAATAGCATCTAATAGTGCCTTTTCAGCAGGCCGAGATAAAGATGCCTGCTTATACCCCACAACCAAAAATTGAACTGAGAAAATCATGAAACAAACTAGGAATGCAAAGGTTTGTCTTCCATTTCTTAACATTTTAGCTCCAATAATGATGGAAAAATAAATGAAGATGCAGATTAAGAGTTTCTTCTACTTTGGTTTTTTTTCAATATTTTCAATTTGTATTTTGTTACCATAAGCAATAAATTTTCCACATAAGAAGTGCTCAGGCATAGTATACATGATAAGAGGAAATCAGTAACAAAACTAAAAGTCTATGCATTGCAAGCAAAAACAAATCCAAGCAGCTGACCCTGGGAAACCTGCAAGCTTCATGATCTCAGCATTTGCTAGCATAGCCCAGGGTCTGCCTCACATTTATAATGTTAACCTAGTCTGACAGATTCTTTTCACAATCAAAGGACCCAGAATGCAGAAGAGACAACTAGCTTCAGATATAGGTAAAGCATATACAACACAGTCAATGACAAATAAACAAACAGCCAGAAAATAAATACATACAAACAAACAGGGACTAAGGCTATACCTTCCTTGCTGTTGCTCTCCAAGATTGAAACCCTATCCATGCATTTTTGTGAATACGGTCTATCCGATTTGCAATTGCAAAAAAGGCTCCATATTCCCCAAGAGTTTCCCGATAGTATGGATTGTTAAGAAGTGGAAGACGAGAGGGTGCATCGACGTCATCTACCCTGGGTCTTCTACCTTTTGCAGACTGAAACCATAGCCATTATATCAACATCAGATAGTGAAAGATAAATGCCCTTGTACAGAATTAAAAATAAGCCGAATTAGAACAGAATTGCATATGAATGTACATTTTTCGCAAATGCAAGGACAAGAAGATAAGATGATGAACAAAACCAACCCAAACAATGTCTTATACAAGGTTACAACTATCATGTCAATCAACAGAAGGACCATAAAAGTCAAGTACCTTAATGTAAAAACAAAGTGGCTAATAAATTGTCCAGCATCAATCTCGCATAAAATAAAAATGATTTGGACAACAGGTCATAAATAAATATACAAACTCACCAAGCCTATTCCACGATAAAGTGAACCAAGGTGAAGAAAAGACCAGATTCCTTCTCCAAAGTATGGTTCATAAATGCACAATGGTTGACCTGTCCTCTCAAGCTCCCCTTCATCCCTTTCATGTAAATCATTTCTAGATCTATCAGCCCTTTTGGCACTTCGATAAACATCCTCCCATGTACCATGAGGTTGATCAGTCCTATCTTTTAACTGCATAAAATTAAGGATATCAAATTTTCTCAAAAGATGCAGATCAATAAAAAAAGGAAGAAGATTTATTCAATCCAACATTTGCTTAAGGCATAATATTGGCAACTCCTTACCTCTTCTTCCTCTCTTCTCTTTCTTGCATTAAGGATCAAATTATTTTTCTCTTCTTTCCAAATTTCATATGAAAATGATTCATCATTAGATGCTATAGAACCAGAGCTCCCTTTTTGACTATGGTTCCACTGCTCCTCGACCATGTTTAAGAATCTAGAACTTCTTGAAGTCCTGTCTTCATAAGTGGAATTCAAAAACACTTCAAACAGATGCCAACACCATTGTTCTTTAAATTTCGAAGGAATGTGCACAACAGCCTTAGGAGGTGCAACTTCTGAAGGGAGCTTGATAACATTTTCAAGTAAAGAAGCATAACCTTCAACAGTTTCTGCAACCATCAGATTTTTAGCAGTACCTTTTCCTATTGAAGCAATATTGTGAGCAAAAGGAGATACTTTTCCTTTAGAAATCACTTGCAATATGATCTGTGTCAGAACCCTGATATTCTCCTTAGGGAAAAGATAGCCATTCACCCTGTCATCAACCTAAATGTTATTGCTAATACAGTCAGTAGATTGCTTAACAGACACAAAAGAACAAAAACAAATGCATATTTTGATATATTCAATGGCAAGCTCAACATTTAAAAACTGACATTTTAACTAAGACCTGTTGAAAATTTCCATGTAACAAAAATTATGGTCATGCTGGATTGCTAGAGCCACTACTCTCGGAAAGTATATGGAGACTCATCAAATAACTGAAACAGAAAAATCTTATCTATCTCATGCCAATTGATTTAGAGAGAGCTCACCCTCATCTGTTTGATATATCTAATGAAGTCATCACACATACTACTAAATATACTCATGTCTGTTGTGATGGAAAAAAAAAGGACAAATCTTTGATGTGGATGAGAATGATCAAGGAAGAATAGTGAGACTACTAAGGTAAAGAGCCCTAAGAGGAAAAGCTCATGAGCACCTGTTGGGCAGATAATGAGGAATCTATTTCAAATAGATTCCAAGGGCAAAAGATAGATTGATAGACTTGGGGAGAATATATAAACAAAAGCACAGTGGCTATTACATCATATAGAGAACTGAATAATGATGCCTCTGAAAACAAAAGCAGAAACTGAAATATATGCCACTCGTCCAAGTACCCGGGATAAGGCTTATTAAGTGAATTTAGCTTATGAATGTGCATTTCATTTCATAAATTATACAGATCAAATTTTATGTACTTAATGAATACTGCTAGTGCACAAAGATAAAAGAGAAATCAGCAATTATAAACGTACATATTTTCTGATCATAGAGAGATCTGGAGCTATGATGGGTTTCCCAATGCACATAGCTTTCATTAGAATTTCTGGAAAAGATTGTTCCTCATGGAAGGACCCATACACCACAATATCAACTGCATTTAGCACACTCCCTGCATCCTCTTCAATAGCTACATGCTTTACGGCACCTCTTGGATAATTTAAGTTGACAGCAATTGTCTGGAGAGAAAAGTAAGTACTGGAAATTGAGCATCTCTCTTTAAGAAACAGTTAATCAAGATCAACAGGCATTACATAAATCATACCTCGACAGCCACACTGTAGTTACTAGTTGAATTCCCACTTAAAACAATGATTTTGAGATGAGAATTTGAATTATCATCAAAAGGGAAGTCCTGAAAAGCTGGTAACAGAGCCTGCAAAATGAGTGCATGCTCCAACCACAAACCCCTGTACAGAAATTGACCTCCTACAATTGCAATGACAACATCATCAGGCCCGTAGCCCATCTTCAGACGGACATTATCTTTGTATAATGCCATAACATCAGCTTCCCATGCTTCAGCTGGAGAACCCGGGATAACATAATAGTTTCCAGCATCAAAGGCAGAATACATCATCTGTATTTTAGAAATTAAGCCACTGGAGGTAAATATCAACTTCAGCACCAATGCTAAAAGCATCAGCTCTAAGTAAGAACAGGCATATAAATAATATGCTGGGTTACAGTTTACGATATATAAGGTATTTAATAAGGCGAACCTTGACAGAGAATTGCATTCAATCAGAATGCTATGACTTAGAAATCGTTTTTTCTGATAAGAAAGAACTACGACATGGAAACTAATACCAAGGAACTTTAACAAGTGTCCATGATGAAAAACTTTGTAATAAATAATTACCGGCAGGGCATAGTTTGGGAAGACTACTACAGTAGCACGGTTGAAAACTCTTTTCCAGTCACTGACAAGCTCAGTTTGCCCATCTGAAGCATACTGTCTTGAACGAATAGCAAGTGTTCTTTCATGGATGGTCCATATAAGAGGTATGGACTTGAAAGGTTCCTGCATAAAACTATAAAAAGTGAAATCATTTGAGTTAATTCATTCAGACAATTAAGTGCAAATACCAACTCAATTATGATAGTTTTAATGTTTATAAATGTTACTAATAAACAATAGTAATGAGATCAGGGAAAGAATAAAAATCTAGGATTTCAAAACAAAATTTAATTGCAGAAAATGAAGATGAAAAGGGAAGGCTAAATCTGTACCCAAGAAAACCTCAAGGATAAATTTTTTACAACAGAAGAAGAAGGGATTGAACCAAAGTATTTGGACAAAGGCAAATTCAATAAATAAAATGATAATAAATCTCACCATGAAAATATAGCCTTGGTTTCTAGGGAGTTCACCAGTATGCCATCATAACTGCAATAAGAAAGCATCAAACTAATGTGACCAAAAAGATTAAACCCAATGAGACGAACCAGGCTAAATAATTTGAGATATAAATTACGAGCTATCTCAAGACACAAAATCAACATGATTGTCATACATTATACTTTTAAAGCATTTAAAATATTTAACAGGAAAAGTCTCCTCGGGAATCAGATCAGATGAGCTATCTTCATTACTCAAAACACAAAAATTGAGGCGATTGGATTTCAAGTCAAGGCAAAAGGCAAGGTATAAGCAAAGGTGTTTCTCCTGACAAGACAATGGTTATTAAAAAGCTTAAAATAAGAACAATGATAATCAAGTCATCCACCAAAAGTAGCTGGTTGCCTGACAAACTGAGAAAAACCCACACAGAAAACTCCAAGTGAGCTGCAGCAATAAACAGCCAAGAGTATGACAATTTCATAACATGTGATAGCTTCAGAACTGACCAAATATTGTACTTGCTACGTACTGTAAGAGGTTCTCAAACAGTTTCTTCTTAAACAAATTCTATGATGTATTAATACCAGTCCAAATATTTATGATATTTTGGAGATCATTAGCATAACATCATACATTAGCCAATCAACAGCAATCTCCATCTTGTGGTTTCTCTGAAAAATGGTGACTGGAACTCCTATGCTCTTCCATATGCCATTCACAGGACCATCTTGAATTGAAAAAACCTGCCAAATAAATTCAATGTCAGGATACACTACAGATTATCTCCAGAAAATTGCGTCAGTGACTTTCTTATAAGCATCAAAAGAAAATGTCTTTTATGGCAAAAAATTGATATAGTGCTATGCAGGCAATCGATCAATATGCCTCTACTATTAGCCAAAGCTATAAATAATATGCTTATCAATCATGAGTATGTGAAAAGTTTAAATTGCTACAACATTGATTGTTCAAATGTAATTTTCTCAAACACTCAATTTGCCGAATCTGAATTCATCTGTACTGTTCTTCTCTCAACCTATATCCCATAAAATTATGTAACAGTTTCATACTCCCAAAACGGTTTAGACTTCATTCCTTTCCTATTTCTGACCACAACTTCCAACAAAAGGCATCAACTGACCCCTCTTCTGCTCTTTTTTCTCTCTACCTCTCTCCCCAGTGGGAGGTTCCAAAAAATTAATAATAACAAAAATTAGGCATGAACTTTTCATCATGTCAAAGATCTCTCAAATACTTTGTCATACAAATCTCAACATCCATACAGACATCGTTACCCAGTTGATTATAGCAACTCACTTCTTGCATGGAATCTCTCCAAACTAATTCGTGACCATTAGTAAAGAGTTTAAGAAGTCGCAGAAGCACTTGGAAGACACTTGAGAGGGGATCGGTCTATTAATTTAAAGCACAAACTACTAGAAAATTTCATTCAAGCATCGCATTTTTCCTCTTGAATGGAGCCAAACATTATCAGTTAAGAGTAGCAAAATACAATACAGATCAGTAACACAAACCTGAATTGAGTAACCAATCTCCTGCAATGCGGTTGCAACAGTAACCATCAGCAGCTGCTGTGGATCAGCTGACAGATCGGCAAAGACCTACAAGAAAATCGAAAATAAAACAAATTAAACGAAGGGGGGAAAAAAACCAGCATTGAAGTAAGAAATCTTACATAAACCAAAAATAAAACAGACCCCTTTTAACAAGTAGAGCCATACATACAACAAGTAAAAAAAGACCAAAATTAAATAATGCTGACAACATTAGGTTCCTAAGTACTGACCAGTGCGAGCTGGGGTTTCTTGTACCCAAAACGAAGCTGTGTTCTATTAAAACTAGATGAAAAATTGACTTCTCTAACTTCCTTTTGAAATTTCTGCAAAATTTTTGAAGGCTCGAATTTGATATCTTCTCCAAAATCCCAAGTGCCGATTTCTTTCAAATACATTAAATCCCCAGATACATTCTCCACCTCTTTCCATGAATCTTCTGATTTCTCAATAACAGAACCAGGTAAAAACATCTGGAAAAGAACCACGAAAAACAGAAATACAGCTACCGTGCAAATCCATTGAAGGTAATCTAGCTTCTTGAAAAGCAAGAAACGGGAAAATCTCGATCTGGGTTGTCTCTGCATAAACGAGTGTCTACCAGCTGACGAAGAGCGAAGAAGACTCTCCCTCTTCAATGGAAGCACAGTCTCCAGAGAACCCATTACAGTCCCATCAAATTAGCTCAAAAACTGATTGCAATCACATGCAGACACCATGAAAAGTAATCTTTCTCAGTGATGTCTGGTCTTAAGTGAAAAGGAAAAGCAGGAGAGAGTAATTCAAGATGCTTGTGAGTTGAGTAATGGTGAGAGAGGGAGATATAGATATACAGGGAGAGAGCAAAAAAAAGGGCAGTGAAAGCCGAAAGGTCAAGAAAGTTAACGCGGGTTTGGTCGTCACTGCACTGTCAAAACAAGTTTTTGTTTATGCTAAGACTTGAGATGGAAAGTTTTCTGACGAATTTTCAGTGAAGCTGAAATTTGAAACTTTTCGAAATAGTCCAATTTTTCTTGCTCTACCGCTGTTTATTTATAGGCTAAACTTTTGTATCGGTGATTGTCTGAAAGATTTTTTACCATATATTTTTCGTTAATATCTGTTTGTTAATAATAACTGTGTATGTAGACATTGCTTTTTACTACCTGTTACAACTCACCACATTTGTTGTTCTCTTTAATTTCCTTTCGGCTGTTTTCAACACTAAAAAACAAATTGTTGATAAACATTAATAAATAATGAAGCTTTTAGGTTTTAGCTATTAATTCTCCGAGGGGCAGCCCATGGGCCATGGCCGAAATTAACCCAATAATTATTTAATTCAATCCTTTTTTATAATTTTGTACATATTCTATTCTCAGCCGACGCTTCTTCCTCTGTTCTAATCCTCTACTCATTTTGCAGTGCAATTACCCTCCAATAATATCCTACTACAGTTTTTATTTTCCAACTAAGAAAATATAATTTCTTAGTTTTTTTTTTTTTTTCTTTTTTCTTTTTTTTCCCATCTATGAATAGACTTTGGCGAAACTACATTTTAGTCAAAAACATCAAAGCAAGATAGTGGTTAATATACGCAATTGCCCGTATTGTATTAATACGTAATCTCCTTTTTTTAATTTTTTGAAAACAACACCAAATCTGCTTAGTTCAACTTGGCTGACATTACATTCTTTTGGCTTTCAATTTGTCATCAATATGATGAAATATTACTTTCTGCAATATAAACCAGTTGACACCTAGAAAGTTGGCTCATAAAATGAAGCCACTTGGATTAGGATGTTGCAAATATCTAAATAGGAGCACAATTTGTGCATCAAACTATCAACAATGGATTACTGAGGATTTCACAATAGATTCGACAATTAATTTTTCTTTCATTGACTTCAGAAGAATGTATTGATTTTGTACAGCAAATGGGTCATTACAGGGCATAGTGATCTAATTCATTACGACAAAACATAACCGCATAAGCTTCCTATGCTCCATAACTTGAACAGGATCAAATGACTGGCAGTTGATGGAAGAAAATTGCGCAACTTGCAACTTGTATTTTGCCAGCGATGGAGAAGTGGTGACTGGTCATCTAGAAATAGTTTATACAGTATTTCAACTCATCATAATTTGCCAAGTGGAGACTCTTGAGCATAATCATCCACCAACCAAAGGCCAAAATCATGGAACCGCTTTATCTTCTTCTCAAAACCTGTGATGTAATTGTTGTGAATGATAACATGTTTTCCCTTAGTTTCCTGCACCCATGTCTGGTTCTTGAAGTATAATCCTCCTGTAGGGAATGCCACTTGCGGCAATAGGTAAAGGTCCACCTACACAAAATAGTATAAGCCCTAGTCAACACAATGCCCTAGTCATCGCATTTCAAGTATCCTAACTGGGATTATAACTATTGCTGAGTAATCCAGTTTCCACATAAAGGAAGAAGCAACAATGAAACAGCAAAAGAACAAACCTGCCCAGCAGTTTTGTTTAATGCCCAATTGAAAGCAGGCTGGTCATTTGCTTTCTTTGCTTTAGACCATGGTTGAGCTTGAAGTTCCTCAATCCACTTCTTCATAACTAGTTTTGCTCCATCAGTAGGGCGCAGGAAAATCATGCAGCTGCATATATAAGTGCGCCCCTTTTTCCCTGGAGGTGGCAAAGCATGGGAGTGGTTCAGAGGCTTCACCTGGTCATCCAAAAGCATAAAGGTATTACAAACACTATGACAAATATAACATAATGTACCATTTACAAACATGCAAACATGGTTTTGGAAATCTTATTTCTCACCAATTTGATAAACAGCACAAGTTTCAGAAAGGGGACACAATGTGATACTGAAAAGAACACAACTGCAACCAATTTCATTAAATTTGGTGTGAATTTAAATTTATTTCAAAAACAGTGCAGGGCAGTCCCTTCCTTGCTGAAAAAATAATAACCAATTATGAAGGTTTATTTTCAACGCAATGCACTAATAAGCATAGCTCATTCAGTATGCAGCTAGCCTCCAGAGTATCATTGAAGCTAGAGTTTGATGGACTGGGAGAGTACAAGGTAGCACTCCAAGTAGCGCGTATATTAGTTTAATTTCACAATGTAATTTTAACTATCATATAACCAATCGTTCACTCTTGACAAAAGGGTACTCTGTATCTTAGTGATTTTAATTGCAAGTTTGAAAACTTGATAAGTTAATAACACAATGTTCAACTGCCAAAAAGAGCACTAGTTATTAATTGGATTTTACAAATCACTAGGGGAACAACCTGTCTGTTATCAATTGCTAAATATTCCAAAATGGAATAAATTTATACTTGACAAGGAAATGCACCAAACTAGAACAAGAGTTAATTTACTCACAGCAGCCATGTCGTCGGTGAAGTACACATCATGTTTTCCCTCCAAATAGGGGAAAGGATCTCGTAACCAGACCATATCAACATCATTATACATAACATTATATCCAAGTTCCAGAATGTGCAGCAGGTGACGAGGTCTTCGAGATGTGAAATTGAAGAATCCCTATTCAAGGAACCAAGCAAGAGCATTCAGAATAGCAACAAAGTCAATCATATAGAAAGACACAGTGCCTAATGGATCACTAAGCAAAATTCACAGGAAAGTTAGAGACTGCTGAAGTGAAATATTGTAAATTAGGCCAAGAAGTCAATAGGGCAAACTTCCCCTGAAAACCACTTGAGCAACCGAAATTCCAACATTACTGTAATCATTGAGCAATCGAAATTCCAAATTTCCAAATTTTACTATTTAGCATTGTATCATAAGTAAGCAACCAGATCTAAGCAAGCAATGGTATTTCAATTTGCAGCAAATAGTAACTAAATAAACAGACATTACCCATCAATTGCAACTATTATTAAAGCTTAAAACTTAACTTCAATTTTAACAAAAAATAAAAAATAAAAAATTTAACTTCAAAGTAAAATAAAATGAAACCGGCCAATTGATATAAGGAATTATACCTGAGAACCAAACTTATGCGCAGTTTGGGAATCGGGAACTGGTGGAATAAGCACAGCATGGCCAGGCCACCTCTTATTCACCTTGTACAGCGTTGCATAATCCTCAGCAATAACAAGCACCTTGTCTTGCTGCTTTTGCCTTGCAATACTAATCAACCAATTATTAAGAAACGGCAAGTAAGGCTCGCTCACTGCACAAACAATCACAGTCCCATTCTTGGCCACAAATGACACCGCTTGGGCTAGCGAGTATTGACGCCATTTAGCGAGAGAAGGTCCAGTCACCGAAAAGAGATCAGGCATCCCCGTCCATGGCATGAATACACCAAGAATTAGCATTAGCGAGAATAGAACTATAAGCCCTGTGCGCCCAAATATTGAAATTTGTCTTTGGGCATTAGAAGAACTGCGCGGTGATAATGGATAAGGATTCGAGAGTACACTGTGGAGAGTTCTTTGGTGCAAAAATGAGGACATAGCTTAGCACAATTGTATCAATCACTGAACAAAAAGGATTTGAAGTGAGATTGAGCTTTCGAATTGGTACTTCGATCATGAAAAAGAGAAAGCTTCCAAGTCGCGTTTGTAAGAGTGCGGTATTCTCAGATCGGATCTGTGATTTTGCTTATGGGTTTTGTCGGGTTGAGAAACTTTTACAGCGTTTGCAGTTTTGAGTTAAACCAGGGTCGGGTTTGTCGGTTTTGCTTCGGGTTATGCGGATATCCAAGTAGAGCAGCACTGGCTCCGGATAGGAAGTAACTACAATTTCTTTTTTATGCTATGGTTTTAAAGGCAGCAGTAAATATTATTTACTGTGGCATTACGAATCCTGTTAAATTTTCTCCTTTTGTCGTTCGTGTCCGACTGGAAAAACTTTTCTTAGGGAAACTTTTCTGTTCTTCTGCTTATTTTCATAATTAAGTAGTTTAATTTTTTTTTTAAATAAAAAAAGAGGAGATTTTTGGATCCACTGTGTTTTTCTGTACAGTTTTATTTGCTGTTATACATCAACATATTTTCATATTATATTAACATATTTTATTAGTATATTTTATTTGAATTTTGAGTTAATAGCTGGATCAGCGGAGTGAACATATTCAACTGAACTTCATATGCCACACCTCGGCCCAAGCATGGAGACACAAATGCTAACTAAAAAAAAAACATATTAACCCTAATTAGAACAAAAAAAAGTTTTACAAGCCATTTTCTTCAAAGAGTGTAATTTTCTTATTATTCTCAGTGATGTGCTACATTTACAAAAAAAAAAAAAAAAGGAAAACACGGTTGATGCAGAGTAAAAGGAAGAGCAATGACGTGCATTTTTTTTTTTTTCTTAATCATTCAGTCAATGTAGAGATCAAAAGTTTGTCCAGCTTTTCCCCAGAAAGTGAGAATATATTTTATCCAGAGAAAAGGGCAAAAAGAAGCTGCAGAAAATTATTCAAGTTGACAGGGGCTATTTCTGAAAAGTTAATAGAAGAAAAAAGCAGCAGGTACAGATAGCCCCATCCAATCTAGCAAGATATTTTCTTGTTGCCCAGAACAGCCTAACAAATTGAAATCCAAACGTTGCATACTTTCATTTAACTTGTTCGATTCAGTCGCTTTTAAGTTGTAACTAACTTTCTCAAGAAACTTACCCACATCGAAATTAGGTGTCTTCACATTGCATCCTTTCTTTTTCATCTGAACTATCAATCATGTATTCATAATTCATATTCATGCTTCACCGTTTCCAAAATTGATGCTGTCATAGCCAGGAAATTAACTGACAAAATTTCATCTTATACAGGAGAAAAGCAAAATAGAAATAAAGCTTAAAGCAAGAGAAAAAACAAAGTCATTCTCAAAAGCAGAAAACTAGTTCCATTAAGTAAAAAATCGATAGCTTGATCAATAGCGATTCGAGCAACAAAGCAAAATGATGAATCCACATAAATTGCTATATTGAAAGAACCAAATAGTCAAAGTACATAACATAGACTAAAGATTATAATAAAATTGCTAAGCAACTACAATGTTTTCATGGAATGTATCACCATAAACACTAAATCTGATGTCATGAATGATACTGATCTCTCAACTACCTGGAATAATGAATTATGAACTATTGACATTATAATTATTCAGCATTATGAACAACCCACAATTATTAGCATTATAAACAAACCAGGGGCAAAAGATAATCATGATTATCTTCATTACGGTATTATTATGCACAATATGCTCATTATTAGAACCAAGTTCAAGGATTAGAGTGGGATAAGATATATTTTGAGCAATTGACTGATTAGTGACCTCAAAAAGATCTTGTTATCAACAAGGAGGAGATTTACTGCCACCTAAATGGGTGTAGTGCAGGATGGCATACTGTGAGACTGAGAGTTCATGAGACAGGGCCAGCCTTCAGCTTTGCTGTTTTCTGTTTGACAAAGAAAGATGACAGGACACTTTTACTGCGAGCAGGAGCACGTACCATCTCACGCTTTGGGTTCTCAAAAGACCTGAATGCTGTCAAAGGCTTAGAACTCTCTAACGGCTCCTGCAAAAAGAGAAAGAGTTTCATAAGACATCTTCAGCACAAAGACAGGTTTCAGTGTGAAGGGAAATGCATAGACCTCAGAATAGTGTATAATATGAGCTCAGATAGTTGAACAAATTGCATGTCAAAATGCATTCGTTCTAGGGGGAAAATATATTCCACTGAAATTCTTAAGATCATTATGTGGCCAGATAATTAGCCTTTTCTCAATTAATGATTGATCAGCAAAGCACAGTAATTAATCAGCTGAAATAAGTAACTGATGATTAGCTTAGGAGAACAATATGAAATAAAATGCATCTTATTTCAATTATGAACTCATTCAACCAAATTTTTGAACACAGTCGAGCTACTCATAAACATGATTTGCATATGTGCAATCAGAAGCCAAGACATGGTTATTTTTTCTTTTTTTTTTTTTGCGCGTGTGCGTGTATGATACATGAACACATGTCAACTGGCATCAGCAAGGATTCTAAAAATTTAAAAGCTAGCAGACATCATGTATCCAGTGATTAGCTGAGGTATGCTACAAGTTGCTTGATCTAGAGTCTCCACAATTTCCTAATTTCAACCAAAAGGGTGCCAAGTTCCCAAGTGACTACTAAATCATCAACTAAAATTTAATCAAGCCTTTCATGTTCCCACTACTTTGAAATGTTAAAATTCTCCACTCTCCGCAGAGTTCACAAACATCAACATACCATACTCTACAAAGGAAAAATATAAGTAATCTGCTGCACATCTCCTCTCAAAGCATGTGGCACTAAACAATGTATTAAGACTTTAATACAGAACCCAACTCTTAAATATTCTTAATCCAAACAAGTATGAATAACATCATGAAAAAGGGTATGCATACAAGTCCCAAGCAGAATATGCACCTGCCCTGGATTTACATATGAAATGCACAACACTAAAGCCAGGACAAAGACTGAGCATGAATATGCCTACAGGTATGGACAACTTAAAAGCTGGAAGAATTTTAAAGCAACAGTCTCCCATGATTTCCAATTGATGCAGTGGGAAAACCTTACATGCCAAATTACGTTGCATAATATCTCAATCAATTCCCATCATCTGGACAGAGACTCAAACCCATTATTATTCTTTAAGATGAAGATCTTTCATAGTCAGTCATACATTACTTATAATCAAGGTATTAGATCCAGTCAGGGCCATGACAAAAGAAGCAAAAAGAACGAAAACAGTCAACACATGCACTAGGACATCCGAGTATGAGTTCCTGAGGCATTGACCTTTTTTCAATGGCTTCATAAAAGATATCATGTAGTATGTACAAAGTGAAATACGATCGGGAAATAGCACTCAACCAAATAGTTTACAGGAAATCAAGGGAAAACATATGAAAAATCTCAGGTAAACAACAAGCCAAGGAAAGCTCATATGATAGCTTCTTTTTATTAATTTATTATTCATTTCTTTTAATAATCAACCATGCACTTAGAAGAATGCTGGGCATGTCTGTGTTCTTGCTGATTTTGACATTACCCTGCGTGTGACACCAAGTGTTTGCATCACCACACCAGATGCAGGACTTCCACTCGATAACTGTGCAAGAGCTCCTGATGATCTCATTCTTGTACTCTCCTCTTTATCTGCTAGCATGTTCCAATGTGGTGTTATTATATATCCAATGTGCACCACTTTTGTGCAGACTCATTTACAGTTACGAAGTACATATATTTCATACATACCCAATAGTTGAAAAGCTGCAGCAGATATCCCAGATGTTTTTGTGTCTTCAGTACTGCATGATAAGGATGTGTCAAATTCTTCCACATCTATAGGCCACAAGTACATAAATATAAAAGCAGAGCTTTCTCTCTTCACGAAAAATCACACCAGAGTTAAAACTAACCCTGTCAGAGCATTTGAAGTCCCTTTTAATGTGGACTTGGTCTCAGAGGCTAAGTGCCAGGAAAGAGTCTTTGATGCTGGGGAACCTGACATGACCATACTTTGATCAGTAGTTTGATATTCCCTTAGAGAGAAATGTAGCAATCAAATGTTAAAAGACCAACAATAAAAAAAACCATTTAAATTAAAAGTGTGCTTCTAAAAATCCACATACCTGAAGGCTGGAGACGAGACCTAGCTTGAAATGGATTTTGCCTTGCATCAGTCTGAATGTGAGGGCTAAACTGTACCTTTTTATTGACAGCATCTAGCAAAAACAGGGGAGCATAGAAAATAATTGAGAATGCTTTTATATTTCCCGACATCAATTACTTAGATGCGAGAATATCTTACTGGGTAAAATGTAATGTTTATGGTGTCTTGGGATGAATGCCAACAGCTGCTGCTGTCTGAGACCCTCCTTAACCGTATATGTTTGGCATGTAAGAAGTTGCTGATATTAACAAACTATAAGAGTTGAGATCCATCCATTTCATATGTTTTTCTTCGCAAGATATTCCAACACATGGAATTACCTGATTCATACAAGAAACCTTCAGCTCCATGGTTGAAACATCCACAGTTTGTTGCTCAAGAAGGTCAGTTAACTTGTAAGCTACAGTGCCCAGATGATCAACAGCATTAACAAGGGCTCGCACAGCATAATCTTTCAGGTTGTCCAGCACCCTATTCGAAAAAAAAAAAAAAGAAAAAGAAAATATAAGTTTCAAGGAGAAGCAGAGAGCAGATGCACATAAACTGAATAAAACATTAGTCCATACTAGCTCATTGAAGTCACACTAGACACCCATGCTTCAAACATGAAACTGTCCATAGCCATTGTTAATTCATCCAGAAATGCATGCCAGGTTTTTCTTTCTGCTGCTAACTCTATAAAAGGTTAAGGTGCAGGACTCTAAAATTGTAGATTCAGGGAGCATATAGATGTGAAGTTGGAAATCGCCAATTAGCATTCGATCCCCCAACCACTATTTTAAGGTTATTGATAAAGTTGTCAGTTCAGATAAATTTTCAAAACTGAGCAGTTGAATTCAAATTTGTAACAAAAAAGAAAGAAAAAAAAACACTAAGGTTTCTACGTGTTGGGTGCTGGAATTTCAATTGCCAACAGCTGATCACTACCAACACGTAATGCTCAGTGATTCCTTATATTCCACATGCTAAGTGTTTAAAATTTCACAAAAATAACCCTCTAACTTTGATTAGGGTACTATATGTGGCTTTGAGTACTCATAAGTCATAATCTACTTAGTGCACTAAAGTCTAAATAAGACTAGTTAAACAGTTATGCAATTAAACTAGGCTTGCACACTCCTTTCCAAGAGAAAATTAAACAGAAATCCTATCCAGAAATGATACCAAGTAGTTTCGCGAAATTTACTTTCACAATGACTTGCAAAGTGGAAGTAAATCATGCAACGAGTGCATCAACTAAAAGCATAAGAAGTGGGAGAAAGGCCTTACATCTGTTTCTGCTCACTATGAAGATAAGACTTCTCACAATATTCAGCAGCAGAATAAAGTTGAGGCCTCAAGTTTTTCAGCTCCTGTAAAACAATGCCATAACTATCATATAACTACTTAACAGCGCTAATCAACCATTAATTGCCATTCAATGCTTAGCTTACAGTCAAAATCCAGATTTAATATAAAGAAACAAAATATAAGACTCCAGCAGCCCAAAAACAACTAGTCGACGAACAGAGCTTGATTTCAATTTCCCCTTCTGCCACGGCTAAAATACCACAAGACATAAAAACAAGCACAAAGAAGCTTGAATTTAAAGAAACGCCAAAGAGCAAAACCAGATCAACAAAAGAAGACATTAATAGCAGATCTGGTCTCAAATTGTAAATAATTTTTAATAGAAAAAATTACCTGCAATGCTTTGACAAAACTTTTGCTACGCTCCATGGATACCTCATCGAAGGTCATGGCCGGAGTCTCCAGCCTCGGTTGGTCCATTTCCATTTTCTTAGCTCTTAAGAATGTCAGTAATGAAAAGAATTGATTTATACAAACCCTAGAAACATAAGAATTAAATAAAATGTTCACGGAGTTGTTAGTATAATATGAACGTAAAAAAACTATTAATATAAATGGTTAGATTTGGGTTAGGTTATGGTGGGAGAGATAGAGAGAAAGTGAAAAGATGAGCTTTAGCCTTTAGACTGAGTGAAGTACAAGCGATTCCACAGAGTGGGAATTGTAATTTGTTTGGAGTTAGTAGCAAGTTAAAATGTCTTTGGCTTTGTTTTTTTTGAGAGAAGAAATCATTTATTTTGAGTTCTGGTAGTTGACACAAGACAAGACTTCAGTGAGACGAATGGTTCCAGAAAAATTAAATAAAATTAACGGCCACTGTCGCTTTCTTCGAAGATAAAAATGAAAAGACGATCCTGCCCAGAGTTAAGACACCGAAATCCTCGTGGTTGCAATCTTAATCTAGTCCGCTGTGGTGGAATAATCAACTGAATCGACAATTTACATTGCGCCTCTGTGGATTCTATGGGACGGATGGATGGATGGATTTAAACATCAGGATAATTTTTTTGAAAAATCGTTACAAAACACCTATATGTGAATAATGATGTCTGAGCTATTCGCAAATCACGTATCATTCTGACAATAATTTAACTTGAGCAATAAGATAAATATTTTAATATTTATGTTAGATATAAAATAAAAATTTTCATACTATTTTTATAAAAAAATTTTAAATTCATTTATAAGACATTAGAATCCATTAGTTAACTAAGATGTCTACTAAACTCATACAATTCTACATATTGAAAATAATTGTATAATTTAAAATGATTAGTAAGTAATTTCAATTTAATGAGTTGAGATTACTTTTAATATAAAATGATTTAAATCATTTTGATTGATTTGTATTATTTATTATGTGACTTTACTCTTCTTATATATTTTTGTTCGATATGAGATTAACCTACACATTTCTACATCAACGGATAAATTATATTTTTCTCATAAATTTCGGATATTGCATTTATCTCACCAGCCAACAATAGCATTAATCATATAGCAATTATGATCATGGATTTGAAGAGATGTAAGAATGATACTATCTACATTATAAGCGGAGTTGATTTGCTCGATTCCCATTAACAATTGCTAGTCCATTATGTTGCAACTTCTTTTCTTACTCTTACAATGTCATCAATTGCAGTAATCAATATGGCAACAGTACATTTTAATAATGTTTTTCACGATGAACTGCTCATGAGTCATTGGAACACTAAGAACACACAGATGCTAAGTTTACGCTGTCTCTGCTTAAAGGCTGTATTTTTTTTATAAAAGGAGTTGAAATTGTCCAATAATTTGCCTATTCCTACACAAGCATCCGCAACATCCAACTAGCATTTCCTGGTTCCAACAGGAGAAATAATTTGACAAAACAAAAAAGATGGGAGATTTGAAAATTTGAGGTTGCAGCAGCTTTATTCTTCTGATCCTACTAAAAGATTAGCACATGCAAAAGACAAAACGAAATTGAGAAATCTTATCCATCTAAACACCAGGCATAGCTTACCCCGTTATAACTCGTATATATACAAGATTTATACAATCTTATACAACCGTGTCCCGTAACCAGGCAAAAATAACAACTGGCCAGCACATCCATATACAAATCAAACTAGCCCCCCTAAGCCAACTCGGGTTAAAGCTGAGTTTTTATACAATGCAAAGTTGACCAAGCTTATGCTCAATATTTACTCCACCACATACCAAAATTTGAAAACTAATTTAGGAACTCAATTTCCTCTTGGAAGGCAAAGATGACGCCTCAAAGTAAGTTGGTTTTGGGGTAGAGGAACAACCAATAGATTGGAGTAATTCCTCCACGGCCAGCACTCGAAACTTTGGAGGTGAATGGAAAGCAACATTGTCAACTCGATGCTGAAAGATCTTTCCATGCCTGTCAAGTTTGTATTCTGATATGCCATCAAACCGTGCACGACTCTCCCATGGGACTCGAGGAATGCCGTGCACAGTCCAGCGGACCATTATAACATTCCCCATAGGTTGCCACACGCTGATAACTTCAACCCACAAGGCCTTGAAAAATATCTTCCCATGGAATCGCAGTGCCCAGAAGACTGATTTATAGTTGTCAATGCCCACAATAGTATTGAGTGGATCTTTAAATACAATGTCGTCCCTACAGATTGAAAATAGAAATCAGGATATAATTCTTCCATGAAACAATTAACAGCATTAGTAGCATTGAAATGGCAGGATTGTCAATTTATGCTGTTTGACAGCAATCAGATATTTCATTCTTGTAGTTCTACATATTTAAATGGGGCTCTATTGCAGTGGCTCTAGGAAAGAGTAATAGATCTCCAACACATTCACAAACCATCAAACACTAAATTCTAAATGGCAGAGGAAAAGCGTTATCTGCCAAATAAATATGCACTCCCCCTGCGAGTCTGTCACTTAAATTATTTTGCCAACTTACAGGGAACCTACTCTCTAGCCAAACTAACACACATGAACTGGTGGGACATGCTTCCCTCACTTTCATCCATCTTAGGATGCAAAGCCAGTAGTATCCACAAACAAGGAATATCCTATGGGCACAGTGGTGAAACCAACAAAAGTAAAGACAAACTCTTTATTGAGCTTTCTGCAAGAGCAACGTGAACTACAATCAAATGGAAATTAGTCTCTACATAAATTAGTTTACGTAAGATCTTCTACATTAACTAGTTTATATCTTCAGAATGATGATTGATGGCAAAAGTTACAACCACCGTTAAGAATATAAGCTAAGGCTATAACTATAACATTTAGGGGGTAAAGGATTGTGCAGCTAATCTGTTCTTGATAGAGTTCAGGTTCAGGATATCCTGATACAGTCAAAACTCTGTGAATTAGTTCTCCATTAGACCATATGAAAATTGGGGGTAAGAAAATTTATTACATTCTCAGTGTTAATGTTTCACTCGTCCAATTTGACACTGAACATGAAAAAGAAGCATCTCAGCGAAAATTAATGTACTTCATGGCACCAACTAAAACTCAAAATTCCAAATTTTGACTTCTTCAATTTGCTATTTAATAAATTTTTCATCGATATGTGCATTATAGTGCCCATCCACCTACTCTAGCTCCCAACTAACGCTAACAGATACAGAAAGATCATACTTAGTTCGAAAAGTAATAACCATCACACAAAATTCTGATGACACCTCAACAATAATATAGAAATGCAAATAATATAAGATTAAACGGAATTGAAACCTGTAGATATCAAAACTGAGCTCCTTGAGAAAAAGCTCGGGAAACCCCTCTCTCAAAGTCCTTATCGCATAGCCCATGTTGACATAGTAATTTTGCTTCTCCTCTTCCTCTTGGCTCTGTTTTGGTTCTTGCTTCACTGGAACCGAGAATTGGCCGTACAGATTCATGCTTTGATTCAACTGCGAAACCCTAACCTCACAGCCTTTAACACCAATCCTACCACCAGATACAGCCCTAGCCCTAAATCCAATCCTCTCATCATTCCTGAACACTGAGAGACTCTTAATAATTTTAAGGTTTGGATTAGGGTTAAAGAGAATTTTCACGGCCGAGATATCGGGGGGGTGGATGAGAAGTGCCATCGGAGAAACGGGGTTTTGTATGAATTCAAAGGTACAGGAAGACTGAATTAGAGAAAATGAATAAGAAATAATGGCATTTTGCCGGCGAAGCGTAGTGGTCAGTTGGAGAGAAAATTGAAAGGGTAAAGACTAAAGAGAAATCAGTTTGGATAACGAGTTTATTTTTTTGGATAATTGGAATTATCGGTTTACGATTCCAATAAGAAAAATATCTGATTGGTTGCTGCCCGTGCTTTCGGCTCAGGAAACATAAGTAGCTTGTCTCGACCCGAATGAGAATATCCATCCGAATGACCGGTTTTGGCCTTTTTGGAATTTATTATCCGTTAATCACATAATAATATGTGCTGATTATATTTCTATCTAGTACAACTAATAGTTCCATAAATAATGAACAAGGCTCGTCCACAATAAAAGCTGAAATTTTATTAATATGATGCTTATTATGGAAATTAACATCTCACGTGCGAGTGACCACAGTTAAGTATGAATTTCCATAAAAATAAAAAACATTAATATTTAGGAAAAAATGTCCAACCTAATCCAACAACCAGCGACTGAACCAGCCTATACAGCACATGACTCTGTTTATGAGACGAAATGAAGACAAGGCCAGGACTGGGCATTTCTTATTGGGCCTCTTCATACTGGGCTTAAGACTGGGCATGTCATTAGTAATTTTCTTCTTTAGGAAATTCATCAATCGGAACAAGACTTTTTAACAGCTATTGTTACAAATTTTGTCCATGAACAGAAAAGGAAACTAAAGAAAAATAATAATCGTAATTTGTTGGCAGCAAATCAACGTTTGTAGATCTTTTCAACATTTCAACAAAAGCCTTTTGTTGACTATTTGGTTAAATACTGGCCATGTATTTCCTTAGGACTTAGACTGTCCACCAATCAAATTAAACCTTTAGCTACCAGTTGCGTGCTGTTGGACCGTTATTAAAGTCTGTGTTGATTTTTCTTGTTTTGTCTTGTAGCCTCCATTTTCTTTGAAAATAAGTATTTTAAAGTGAAAATTTTGACTTTTCATCCATATTGAATAAATTTGTTTCTATGAATTTTATAAATATATTGTGATTTCAAGTCTCTTTCGTTTCTTTCCTTTAAGCTACTCTCTTTCCCTCCTATCAAGAATGTATCAATGCAAGATTCAACAGACTAGGCAAATATATTCCTTCTCGTATATAACTTTTATAATTATAAAAAATATGGATTTTTTTTGACATTTTTGCACTCATAATCATTTTAATAATTAAATTTATTTATATAATCATTAAATTATGACTTATGCAGGCCTCCATGTACTCTAGTTTGTAAGTCTAATAAATTGATAGTAAGTAATGTTAAAAGGGAAAATATTGGACAATAAATCACATTGAGAAAATTTGACTCAAAAGGTTTATTATTTATTAATGATATTAGCGTAGACTTGTTATGAATGGAATCAAATAGGAGCAAATGTTTCGTATGGTCTACTTGGGTAGTTGTTTTTTAATAATAATTAATTTTGTATTTTTATTTTATTGCAAATTATAAATTTTTATATATAATATTAATCTATATAGAACAATTATACTTATTTAATTTATTAAAATACATCAATTTTAAAAAATGTATAAACCTGCAATTCCATGTGCTAAAAATTCACATGCTAGCCAATTAAGTGTGATTTAGTTTGTCTTTTTACTTATATGAAAATAAAAGTTCTTAAGTTTGAGTTTCTCAACCACAAAAATTTTCACCAATTTGATGAGTCAATGGAAAATTGTCTTTTTATATAGCTTATAGTGTTATTTTAGTCTACCGCACCTCTAATGATATTAAAAAAAAAAAAAAAAAAATTGTCTTTTTATATTAGCTGACTTAGTGTTATTAGTCTACCGCACCTCTACATGGATATTAAAAAAAAAATAAAAAAAAAAAAAAAAGAAAATCCACATGCTATGATTAAAAAAAATATATATATATATATATATACCCACATGCTAAAAAGACAAAGTTGTATACAGTAGAGCAATGATATTTAATTATTTATGCTGTCCACAACCAACATAGGCTAGGCCCAGCCAGCGTAGCACGAGAAACTGGTCCATTTCTACAGCCAAAATTAACGTTATTGCCCATCCCTTTTCTTTTTGTCCCTCATCGTAATTATGACTCTTCTTCATCAAAATATCTAGCTATTACGACATCGTTATTAGTCTCAGTCTCACGACGAAGACACCTAACTGCGGTCTTGTTTTCTTATATTTTTATTTTTTTTTCAAGAAGAATGCCAAGCTATGAACACATTTTACAACAATGAATTCAATAGTGATTATATTTTAAAATTTTATTTTTCTTTTTTTTTTATCTGTTGGATGGCCATCGCCAAATTCTATTATTGATAATCAGCCCTTCTTTATTTTCTATTTTTACTTTTGTTTTGCATAATAGCTTGAATAATCTTTAAATTTATATTTGTTGCGATTTATTTTATGGGAAGTAAAAAGGTCATCCAGTAACAAAAATAACCTTAAGCATTAAAAAAAAAAGAATATTAATTAAATTTTATTCCAAAACTTATTGAATAAATATTTTTTATTTTTTCAACGATATACCCAACTAAATAAAATGAAAAATATATTTTTTATATAGCAATTTGCAGGCTTTAATCATGATCGCTGACTTTTAAAATTTTTATATAATAGGTAATTTTAATAAAAGGTCAATATTTTTTTACCAATCAATCCAATGGTTTTTGAACATTGTATATCCTACGCATGGCGAATATAAAATAGTATATCTATCTGTCTATCTATAATATCTATAATCCTATCTATCTATAAGTGAGAATGAGTGAGAAATATAGAGATTGCCAAGCATACATTTATTCGGTTTATGAAATGATAAAAATAGCTTTAAATATTTTAATTTTATTAGTTGAAAATAAAATATAATTTAATTTTAATATGTAATATTAATTTTCTATTTAAATCTAAATTTTAATGGATAAAATAATTAATTATTTTATATACTATATAAGGTTTATGATAAGAATATAATATCATTAATGATTTAATTTTAATAATTATAAATTGTATAAGGTATACATTAAATATGATAATATTACAATATTTTTAAAGATTTTAATTTTATTAGTTGAAAAAGTAAAGGTAATTTTATTTTGATTGGTTATATTAATTTTCAATTTAAATCTAAACTTTATTGGATAAAATAAAAAATTTATTATATACTAAATAATGTATATATATTAAATATGGTAGAAATACAATACACTTAGAAATTTAATTATAATTATATAGTATATAAGGTATATATTAACAAGATAAAAATATAATATCTTTAAGAATTTTCATTTTATTGATCGGAAAAAAATAAAGGTAATTTTAAGTAAGGTTTAAATGGGATCCAACTGAGACTTTTTGATTTGTTATATTAATTATCAATTTAAGTTTAAATTATATTATATAAAATGAAAAATGAAAAATATTATACAATATACTATGTACTCATCATATTTAATATATTATTGCAGCAACAAATTAAAAATATTAAAATAAAATCGTTAAAAATATTATATTATTTTCATTTTTAATATTTAACTTATAAGGTATACAATATTATTTTTTAATTTATTCAATAAAATTTAAATTTAGATAGAAATTTAATATAACCAATTAAAGTTAATTTACTATTATTTTTCAACTTATAAAATTAAAATATTTAATGATTATTTTTATCGATTCATAAATTTAATTAAGATATTTTTTTAGCGATCCCAATATTTTTTTTCCATATTCGTATTTTTATATATTATTATTGTTATTATTATTATTATTATAGCTATAGATTATATATTATGGATTGATAAAATTATAGATTAATAGATTAAGACTCCTCAAATAGCACTTTGAGTAAAAGCCACACACACATATATATATATATATTATATTCTGAAAATAAGTAAATAATAATGGAATTTCGATCGAAAGTGTAAACAAATCCAAAGTGTACGTGGACGCTGAAAAAGATAAATATTGAAGTGAACATTAAGTAATATTTTTACGCATGGAGAAAGTACTTTTGAAACCTAACATATGCATTCCTCTATTTTAATTACTTTGTTGATACGCTTTTTTCTTCACGTTATAATGTAGCTAAAACTATACTTGCTTTTTGTATTGGTGAGTAATGGTTTCGCAAATTAAGAGTTACGTATGGTATGGTTGATATAGGAATAGAAATTTTACTTTTTAGAAAAAATCTCAATTTATGAAAATATTTTTAATTATAAAATATTTTATTAAACTAAAAATTATATTCTACCATTTATAATAATTAAAACTATATTTTGTTTTATCTGAAGAATTAATTATCAGTAATGTAATTAACACGATTCTACATTTTGTTTTATTAAATAAATTTTAAAAATAAATATTTATATATCATCGTGAATCTCAAGAGAAATTAAAAAAAACAAAAAAAAACAGGTGGTAGCATTTTCTTTCCATTAACATTTATTGACAGAAGAGCTATTGTCTGGCATATACCCTACAATAACATCGCCACGACCCACGTTCTTTATAAATTTACCAATACCATACTGCCAACATCTTTCATCCAATCACCGTTCGTTTCCCCAAAATATCTACTTACATAATAATAAAAAAATATCTAACAAGAAATAAAAAAAGGTATAACTCTCCTCAGGAAGAGTGCCTATAGAAGATGAGGTGTCCTCTCATCATCTCAACCATTCATCTTCATCATCCCTATCAGACAATGCTTAATAGCAAAGCAATGCTGTATATTAATACTTTGATTTACCGCGAACTGTTAAAAAAGGACAACTGTCTTACCGCGAACTTCGTTGGCAAAAGCGTTACAGAGTATAAACCTCCCTAAAACAGGACTTATTAAAACAAAACCTGAACGCGCTTTTAGACCTCAAAATATTAAAAAGAAGGAAATAAAAAAGGACAGATTGTTAATCTGAAGGAGAGAGACCAAATCAATTCGAAATCCCTGTTCATGGGGTTGTTTTATCAACACAAAAACACTCCCAACGCAACCAGATAAAGATTCGGAGATTTTTTTGATTTGGTTTGTTGAAACTTGGGGTCATAATCATCGTATAGCAAAAACAAGTCTGTTGTTTTTCTATTTTGCCCTTCCTTGCTGTTTCTGCTTCAATGGAGGAAGAGAGAAGATACATTACAAGCGAACAGCTTAAACAACACAACAAATCAGGAGACTTGTGGATCTCTATCCAGGGTAAGGTTTATGATGTGTCAGACTGGGTTAAGGAGCATCCAGGTGGGGATACTCCTCTCCTGAATCTCGGTGGCCAAGATGTAACTGATGCATTCATTGCTTATCATCCTGGTACTGCGTGGAAATATCTTGATAAGCTTTTTACAGGGTATTATCTTGAAGATTTCAAGGTTTCTGATGTGTCCAAGGATTATAGAAAGCTTTACTCAGACTTTGCTAAACTGGGTTTGTTTGATAAGAAAGGCCACATTGCTTTGTATTCAATGACATCCGTTGCAGTATTGTTTTGCATTGCTGTTTATGGGGTTCTTTGTTGCCAGAGTATTTGGGCGCATATGGGTTCTGCTGTTTTATTGGGAATTCTATGGATCCAAAGTGCATACGTAGGTCATGATTCAGGGCATTATCAGGTAATGTTGAGTCCTGCTTTTAACAAACTTGCACAAGTTTTATCTGGGAATTGCTTAACAGGGATAAGTATTGCTTGGTGGAAGTGGACCCACAATGCACATCATCTTGCTTGTAATAGCCTTGATTATGATCCCGATCTTCAACATATACCAGTTTTTGCTGTCTCTTCAAATTTTTTCAGTTCTATTAGATCTTGCTTTTATGGAAGAAACATGGATTTTGATCCTTTGGCTAGGTTTCTTGTGAGTTACCAACATTGGACCTTTTATCCTGTCATGTGTGTTGCAAGGGTAAATTTATTTCTACAGACATTTTTGTTATTGTTTTCAAATCGAAAAGTCCCTGATAGAGCTCTTAACATTATGGGAATTCTTGTCTTTTGGACTTGGTTTCCTCTTCTTGTTTCTTGTTTACCCAGTTGGCCTGAGAGAGTGAGCTTTGTTCTTACTTCATTTACTGTTACCTCACTGCAACACATCCAATTTTGTTTGAATCATTTCGCAGCAAATGTTTATTTAGGATCTCCAAGTGGGAATGATTGGTTTGAGAAACAGACAAGTGGGACATTGGATATTTCATGTTCATCTTGGATGGACTGGGCATATGGTGGCTTGCAGTTTCAGCTTGAGCATCATTTGTTTCCTAGATTGCCGAGGTGCCAATTGAGAAAGGTTTCTCCATTGATAAGGGATCTTTGCAAGAAGCATAATTTGCCTTACAGGAGTCTGTCCTTTTGGGAGGCCAATGTATGGACAATTAGGACTCTCAGGACTGCTGCCTTGCAGGCTAGGAACATGACCAATCCTGTTCCAAAGAATTTGGTGTGGGAAGCTGTTCATACTCATGGATAAGGAGGCTTTATGTTGTTCTGTAGGCTCATCTGCCCTCGCGAATCTGTTTTGTTTTTTCTTGTTGTTAATTTCTTTGGTTGTTTCTCTTTATTGGATATTTGAATTTTTCCCTCATTTGTAAACATTAGCAGATGATGTTTTTTGTCATCCTATTCAATATTAATCTCACACTATTGTTGCAGATACTTTGTTTTTCAGCTTTGTACATATCATGTTTTATCTTATTCTCTTCTCTGATAGTAAGAAAACAAGTTTAAGGATTATTAATCAAGAGTATAGTTATTTAATCATGCGTGCCAACAATACAAATAGATGGAAAAATTCCAGAGTTGGAATTCATTACATATGAACTTGCACAGGCTATCTTAGACATGGTTTTTGATAGCTTTACTGTAACCAGTTTGATCATCATAATACTTGGACCAAAGCATAACACCACCATACTTGGAAGAATCCCTAATTGCTGGAAGCACTTTGGAAGTTAAATCAGCTACAGGTACAAAGCCACTACCAGCAGCAGCAGGAGCAGCAGGTAATCCAAGAAAAATTTTCTGAGCAGGGATGCTTGAGGTCCATTGTTTCCATGCATCTTCAAGATTGCTAATACTGCCAGAAGAGTACTGGCAAGGAGGATTATTGTAAAATTGAACCCAAACATAGTCAAAAAGTCCCGTCTCAAGAGCATTTCCTACCCAGGCATCAGGAAATGGGCATTGAGGAGCTGCAGTCAAATAGACCTTCCTGCCTTTCTTACTATATGCAGAAAGGAACCTTGCGAGATCATTGTAGTGCTGATTGCTTCCTCCTTCGATGTCAAAGTCAATTCCATCTAAAACAGCAGGGCCAAATGGACGAGACGAGGATTGTCCCCCTAAAAAGTTAGTCCAAAGGTAAGTTGCAACTTGCCTTGCATCCTCAACAGAGGTAAGGATATAGCTCCCTGCTCCTCCTCCGATAGAAAGCATAACCTTAATGCCTTTTGCTTGACATGATTTTATGTCAGAGCTTAAGCCTGTGCAACTGCCTGGATCACAATGGCCAGCAAGGTTAATTACAGGAGTCTGACCATTTCCGAATACAGGCAAGAAAGCTATGTTCACAAACTCATAGTTTCCAGAAGCGCAAGTCTCGGCTAAGGTGCCCTCATTTCCATTTTGACCCCAATATATTGCTATTCCGCCAGCTTCAGCATTCACCAATCCTGTCAAAATTACTGACAAGAGGAATGCTAGTGAAATTGCTGAATTGGAATCCATTAATTATTCAAACAGGATTTGCGAGGTTCTATTGGGTAATTGATTGTCTGGTGCTTAAATTTTTCTGAAAAGCAGGTTTTTATAGGGGAAAATCAAGCCGAAATATGTTGTTTTGTGCAATGATGAGTGGCTTAGCAGTCACTTTGTTGCACTAGATGAACAGAAGCCAATGGACGCAGAAGGCTTAGCTGAAGATAAAAAACAAGATTTCACATCATGATTTATTTATTTATTTTTTTTTTTTTTTTTTTGAGTGGCTTTAGCAGTCAACTTTGTTGCCACTAGATGAACAGAAGCCAAATGGACGCAGAAGCTTAGCTGAGCAATAAAAAACAAGATTTCACATCATGATTTATTTATTATTTTTTTTTTTTTTTTTGCATCTTGACAATCATTTTTTTTTTTTTTTTTTTTGCATCTTGACAATCAAATATGACTCATCACCAGAAAATAGCAAACGCTAGAGTTTGAATTCGTTGTGTAGCTGAATCATACTTCAAGAATTTGATTGGCCGTCATGTCAGTTTTGATGGTCTTTTTCATAATAGTGAAACTTTATTAGGTAAATCACGTAATTTGCCCTTCTCATATCTAGGCTGTCAACTCTGAAAATGAAACGCACTTTTTGATGGTTGCATGGCCTAGTTAATTACAAAATTTTACTAATTCATGTACTTTCACCATTACAGAACAATCACAGCGAGCAAGATAAATCAAATTGATTTTTGAGAAAACAAGAAATGATGAAATTTCAAGAAAAGATGACAGATCAAATTGAAACCTAAAGTAGACACATTGAGGTCGTGGACAAAAGCTAAGAGACATGCCAAGTTTCAAATTGGATACATTTAATCTTCAAATATTTCGGCTATGGAAATTAGCATTTCTTTTAGTTCTTCTGGGACAAGATAACTGCTAAGGCAAGGCATCATTCGACAATATAGCCAATTTTTTTCTGCTATAAAAACTATTATCCTCCAGTACATTACAATCCAAAAGTAAACTACTCATTATAATTTGATATTCGCAAACACAACTTCAAATGGAATTCCGGTCAGCAATCACATTGTCAATTGCCACGCTAGTATGGCTAACATTAGCAGTAAATTCTGATGCTGGTGGAATAGCAATCTACTGGGGTCAAAATGGAAATGAAGGAACATTAGCAGAGACTTGTGCCACAGGAAATTATAAATACGTTAACCTAGCTTTTCTATCAACTTTTGGCGGTGGACGGACACCAATGATAAATCTTGCCGGTCACTGCGATCCGTACAGTAACGGTTGCACAAAGTTAAGCTCTGATATAAAATCATGCCAAGCCAGAGGCATTAACGTTATGCTTTCTATTGGAGGAGGAGTTGTTAGCTACTCTTTATCCTCTTCTGAGGATGCTAGACAAGTTGCAACTTACCTCTGGAAAAATTTCCTAGGTGGAAAATCTTCGTCTCGACCGCTTGGCCCTGCCGTTCTAGATGGAATTGATTTTGACATTGAAGGAGGATCAGATTTGTATTGGGATGATCTTGCAAGATACCTTTCTGCATACAGTCAAAAAGGTAAAAAAGTACTTTTAACTGCAGCTCCTCAATGCCCATATCCTGATGCTTGGGTAGGAAATGCATTAAAGACAGGCCTTTTTGACTATGTTTGGGTTCAATTTTATAATAATCCTCCTTGCCAATACACCTCTGGTAATATTAGCAATCTCGATGATGCATGGAAGCAATGGACTACAGATATTAAAGCTACAAAGATTTTCTTAGGGTTACCTGCATCTCCTCAAGCTGCAGGAAGTGGATTCATTCCTGTTCCTGATTTAACTTCTGATGTGCTTCCTTCGATTAAAGGATCTGATAAGTATGGTGGTGTTATGTTATGGTCCAAGTACTATGATGACCAAAGTGGATATAGCTCTTCTATCAAGAGTCATGTTTAAGATATTATATGCACTATGTATGAGTCTGATTGTGTGTGGTCAGTGGTGACTATAATCCATAGTGTGATTTTCATCCATGATTTTTTTTTTTTTTTTTTTTTGGTGGACTATAATCCATAGTGGTGATTTTCATCATGATTTTTTTTTTTTTTTTTTTTTTAAGGAATTTCATCCATGTTAATCTTTGTTTTTTTTTTTTTTTTTTTTTTAGGAATTTCATCCATGTTATCTTTGTTTATGCATTAATGAGTATATGAATTTTATTTGAAGCAGTTTATCAAATTCTTATATTTCTGATAACTTTTATTTCAATTATCCACATCAACAATTTAGTAACGAGTAATATTTGCCTTCCCATCAGAGTAGGCCTAATTTGATTTTTACTTAAATTAATAAAACATAATTAATAATTTTTTGCTTAATTTTTAAATTAAGGATATAAATCTTTTTTAAATTATTGTTATATTACTTTTTTATTTTAATTATAAATCTTGAAAAATTTATGCATTTTACGTGTGAAAATTTATTTTTAAATATGATTAGAGTTAAATAGGTTAAAAGTTTAAAATACTATAAGCAGGTTAAGTGAATTGTATATAGGTCAACACATCCGCTTAATTTATTTATGATATTAAACTAGTTATACGAATTGTATATGGATCAACACAACTCACTTAATATGTTTATGATATTAAGCGGGTTAAACGTGTCGTGTTAGTGTTAACTGTCTAATTTTCGTATTGTATTTATATTGAAGTTATAAAAAATTATTTCTTCTTTTAATATTATTTCGCGCATCACGCGCTTTCTACCCCTACCCCTGGTAATTCATTCATTTAAAAAGGAAATGAGTATTTTTATATGCGGGAGAGGGAATAGAAATTCTTTGGTTGGTAACCAGGTTAGATGTTTTTCTTTTTTGTGTGTAAAAAACACGATATTTGGTTTGACTTATAACCATAAATCAAATCTTACTAACTATCAAATCTTTATTGTCATTTTTTTAAAAAAATTTTTTGGGAAGAAGGAGCATTTGATTATCAATTGATTGAGATGTTAATCTGTGAAAATCGTATTCGGGCTTTCAAGCTCAGTGCTATGTTATGACCTAATAAATAAGGAAAATTGGTTGGGCCTTTACCGGTTCTGTCGACTATCAAGATTCCCAAGGTATTTGAGTTGGATGGGCCGAACGGGTCTCTGGTTGACTGGTTCATATGAGGCTCACGTGAAGCAAAAAACGACGCGTTTTCTGTTTTCGAAATCCTAAGTTGAAGAACGGTGTCGTTCCATCTCGCTAAAGTTTTTTGTTGCAGTGGTGATCTATCACACACTGGCACCGTCGCACGCTCTCTGATCAGGCCAGCTAACAGCTTCCTAACGTTTCGTAGATTGCAATAGAAATAAGAACACAGCCTTACTTCTTTGTGTTAGGATATACCAAGAGAGTAATAAAAAATAGTGATAGTTTAAGCGTTTCTCAAAAATAGTGGTAGATAACTCTCTCTGTATTTTTTTTTATGCTGTGTATTGTACTATAAAGAGGTGCATCTGCCTCTATTTATAGGCGAGGATACGAGAGAGTTAATGTGAGAGCCGCGTGTGTTGCCAACCTTTGAATAACTTTCGCTGCCAACTTTGATTCCTTTAAAAAAAAAAAAAAGGTGTGTTTTATTTTTTTTCGCCTGCCAACTTTGATTCCTTTAAAAAAAAAAAAAGTGTGTTTTTTTTTTTGAAATGTACGTGAGTCCGGCGTGTCAGAGGAACGCCACGACAACTTTGTACTTGTTTTAATTTTTTTATATATTTTACAACATAAAATTTTGATTTTTCCGAGTGGCTTTATGGATTCCCTCTTCGACTCGTTTATGGCGGTTAATAACTTTCGCTGCCAACTTTGATTCCTTTAAAAAAAAAAAAAAGGTGTGTTTTATTTTTTTGAAATGTACGTGAGTCCCGCGTGTCAGAGGAACCCACGACACTTTGTACTTGTTTTAATTTTTTTAAATATATTTTACACATAAAATTTTGATTTTTCGAGTGGCTTTATGATTCCTCTTCGACTCGTTTATGGCGTTTCTTTTGTGGCATAGAAAATGTTGAATGCTAATATTTTCCCCATTCATGGCTTAGACGGAGCTCCAGCTCTATGGCATGTTGGTGAGATCTTTTCGTTTGTATGTTGCTGCTTCTTTTCATTTATGTTTTAGCTCCTTTTTAGATTTTACACTATCGATAAATTATTTCACTTTCTATATAATATATGTATATGTACCGTTGCATTTTGTTTTTGTAGGATATAGTTAGTTTTGATCATTAGTTTCGATAATTTTATCTGAAATTTCGCTTGGAAATTTATTTGATTCGGATATAAGCATCCAATTCCATGTTTTTAGTGCTGATTAAGTTCTGGTGACTAGGATTTCTCAAATGGAGGCTAACTCTGTATGGGATCAGAGGTTTTTGTCATTTTGGAAGGCTCCTCAACTAACTAGGAATCAGCACCTACCAGCATTTGGACATCCCAGTTTTAAGCCCATACAGGTACTCTATAGCTGACAAATTTACATAGATAGACTTTCTTATTGCAGATTAAGATCTTGAATGGCTGAGATCTCAGGGCTTCTATGAGCTTAATTTTGGATTAATGACTTACAACCATGTTTCGTAGTTACTTGATATTGCCTGTGAAAGCCTATTTACCAGAGGGTTCATTCTCTAAGAGGGCATTTCTTAATTCGCGAACAAGCATATAATTGCTTCTCTTGTCCCTCTTTACCTCCCAATTAAAAAAAAAAATTAATAATTAGAAAAAATTAGCTTCTTGAGGGGCTATATATTATTAAAATATGTGAAAGTATCCTTGATAAGTTTTGATTGTGGTTGATATGTAAAAATATCAGTAACATTGTGGCATCCATTTATTATTCCAACCAGCTAGGGACCCCTGTCTCCTGGTTTGCTATTTGTGTTTGAAAGATTATTTTAGAACTCGAAAAATGAACGAAAAGATCTACTCTCTGCCCTCTGCTACGAGGTTTGAAAATGAGAGTTATTTTTCTTGGTGCCCTGAATGCTTTAAAATACTACAAGGGTGTGTTGGGAAAATACCTTCCACAAAACAAACAAAGTGGTTGATGTTTATGATTGCGATAAGAGACCAAAAAATTCTTTTAATATGCTTTAGTTTACAATGGAGTGCATATATTTAATTAAGATATTCTGATTCTAACTTGGAGATGAGGAGCTATTTTGAGGCTTCTGCCGCCTATTAACCCCAGAACAAATTTTAGAACACTGTCTAAAACGAAAACAATAAGCAAAAAACAATGATGTGCTTCTAGAAAACCACTTTAAATTCATATTATTTGATGTCATAACATAATACTCACAGCAAATTAAGTTGCTATGGACAAACTTTCATTATCTTCATATGCAAGCTTTAGCTGTAAGTTTGTACACTTGTTCTTATTTGATCTATATTCTTCCCTTTTTTCCTTTCTTCTATCCAACTTTCCTTCTATTGGAAAAAGCAAAACTTTCTTAAATATCCCTTGGTGTGGTAAAGAGCCTTGTAGGATTTGAGAGTATCTTGGTTTAAAGTATACAAATAGAAAGTAAAAACAGTAAAGGAATATAATACTATAAAGCAAAAATCAAGAAATTATTGAGTTTCCATTACCACAGTCGGTAAAGGATTTTGTCATTAATTTAAGAAATAACAACTCAAGCAATGTTTGAAAAAAATTAAAACCCATAAACTATAAAGAAACAAATAAAAACAAAATAACAATTATCTGGTTGTTTATTTATGTCATTCCATTTGTCTCCTGCTTGACCTTGATAGAATAGACAATTTATGCACTTATGGTCACCAAGATCCTGCGGTCACTCTAAGACACCAATCACATGAACCTTGTCTATCTAAGAATATATAAGGTTTTAGTCCTCAATAATCCCATATTAATATTTTCGAAGAACCCATGGACTCCTCACAACCTCTGGCTATTGAGAGCTTCTCATACACTTGGTTAACAAGCATAAATTCCCGCCTAGATGGCCTTGAGGAGCTCAGAGCATCTCTTGACAGTTACCATGAAGCTACCTCTGAAGAATTAGACTACAAGATTCTGAAGTCAAAAAGATCTCTGGAAGAAGTCCAGAACTTTGATTTTGATGTTCCCATTTCTCAATACTCTGATGCTCTTGTTCATGCTGATCAGCTCTTCTCTGATGGCCTTATCAAGCCTGTTTTTATCAACCAATCGAAGAAAGAGGTCTCTGGTTCTCTAGATTTAGATCCTACCAGTTCTTTGTTTTCTAGAACTGTTGTTCCAACTGTTCATGTTCAGTGCCATATCTTTAAAAGATGGAGAAAATCATCGGAGCGGATCTTGTTAAAGTGTTTTGGATATCTGAGACCTTTGTGCTATAAAATAACTGGTTCCAGAAACAGTACAAGCGTTGATGATATTGATAGAAGAGTTGATAGAAGAGTGAGGCAAGTCAAGAGCTGGAGTAATTCACCACAAGAATCTCCAGGCATAAGTAATTCCAGAACTGATTGGTGTGATATTGAGAGCTCAATCTATGAGGCAGTTCTTCATTGCAAAAGATCAATAGGTATTCTTTCTTTCGGTAAATCGAAAATATGCTGTCTTTAGTTCTTTATTTTCTAAAGCTTATGTGTATCGATTTTGAATCTCCAAATGTTCTGATTCTTCTGTCCTGTTTTCAGATAAATGATTGTTTTACAGAGAGAAATAAATTTGAAGTAGAAACAAGTGAAGATCTTCTAGAAATGCATGGCAAGAGAATCAAGTTGTTCTTTGCCAATTTCTTTGTCCTCTATCCCTTGGTTGTTTATGTTCATTTTGTGTTGAACAAGCAGAAGCTTCTATGTAGCCCAGTTGTGGGGAATTTGCTATTTAACTCATATAGAACAAACTTTTTTATATATATTATAAATTTGATAATACAATTTTCTTTATGTTCATAATGTTGTCAAGGTAAGAATTAAATGTGTCTTGTTTGTCTTGTTCAGCTTGTAAGATTTAAGAAATTTTCAACCTCTACACGTGTGAAACAGTCTATTGCTGGTTGGTTGGGGCTTTCATAGTTCATTTAAATAAAATCTGAGGGTTGATGCTACTTATGAAACGAAGAGATAGAGGTTTAATATGAATTTTGAATTTTTTTTTTTTTAAATAGCCGGCTTTTAGGGCGCGTTATGAAGATGTTGCAGGGCCTTCAGAAGTCAAAACGGTTGTGTTTCTCATTTTTGTTCCTATATCTGTAACATTCAAAAAGAAATTGGTTTCGTTTCACCCTTCGCATCTTAACTTAGCAATAATGTATTTTAATTTTAATTTAAGCCACGTCAACTACAGTTAATCCTATTTAAATCTGATTACCTTTATTTATTTATTTATTTTTGATAAAAAAAAACAAAATAAAAACAAACGAATATCGTCGGGTTATGAAGTTTGAAATTAAAAGAGGAGACAAATCCAGTCGGTCAATTAATCAATAAAGAAATTAGCTTCACAAAAAATATAAAAAAATATGAAGATATCAATTAAGATGAAAAAAAAATTTTGAATAGATGTGTGTTTTTTAACTCAAAAAAACCTTATTTTATTTTTAATTTTGTGTGTTTTATATTTTTGGTTTTATAGATTAATATAGGAGAGAGATGGTGCCTAGCTGTTTTGGGTTAAAAATGATTTTTCTTTAATCTCCAATTAGTCATTCACCACAAATTTAATTTACGGCGTGCTTAGCCAGAAATCTAATAAGAGTCATTTTACTATTATATCATATTATTTTTTTTTATTTATTTATTAAGGAGCTTATATCATATTATCTTTGGAGTGCAGGTGACGGGTAAAATTATCCCAACAAGAAATGACAATTCGAATGACTCACATATACAAGTTGGGAATTTGAAAGGTCAAACGATTCATCTATTTGAATGAGGCTAATTAACTGGAAGTGAAATTTAAAAAAGAACATTGGAATTATTTTCCATTAATTATGGATATTGGAAAAGGAGATTTGAATATTTACATTCACTCCCTCAACTTAACTATTTCGATGAGACCCATGTTAGAAAAACAGACACAAGGAGATTTTTCTTTAGATATATATATATATATTTTTCCATTAATTATGGATACTTGGGAAAATAGGAGATTTTGAAAATATTTACATTCATCTCCTCAAACTTAACTATTTTATCGAATGAGAACCCATGTTAGAAAAACAGACACAAGGAGATTTTTCTTTAGATATATTATATATATACTATATAATATATATATATATATATATATATATATATATATATTGTTTTGGAGAAATTAATTACAAACCACACACTGTTAGTCGACAGTAGACAGGAATATTAGTTATATTTTATTTATGTTTTGAACGTTGAAACAATAGATGGTCAGCAGAATTTGGCCAATATATATATATTGTTGGAAAATTATTACAAACCACACACTGTAGTCGACAGTAGACAGGATATTAGTTATATTTTATTTATGTTTTGAACGTTGACAATAGATGTCAGCAGATTTGCCAATACTGTAGCTAGAAAGACATGCACGAATTATGGAGGGAAGTATACAGTTTAAGACAAGAAGGGGGACATGGACAAACTATGCTTGTAGAAAAGTCACATACTGATACTATCACCTTCAATTCCATGTAGATCTTCGTTTTCCAACCAAATATTGATAAAGAAGCACCACATATGCATAACTCAAATATTTCTCTTTTGTAGCTAGAAATTTAGAGGACACAAGGGACCCAAACCAAACCACATCCTATTTGTCTTCGCTAATAGCCAATTCTTAGCTGTCTTTACCCACAAGACACTGGTTAGGTTCAACATTGCTTCTTGACCCCTTGATGAATAAGGGTAGGAGTAGGAGGAGGATAAATTGAAAACCACTCATCAATTTCAAACTATAGTACAATGTTGCTTTAATTCTGATAAGAGACATGCAAAAAATGATAAAATAAAAATAATTTTAAAAAATTTTTTAATTTCATTAGTTTACTCTCTAAATTGGGTCATAATTTCAGTCTAAGTAAATATTTTTCTATTTAATCGTTAGCTTGTTAGTCTCATATCTTTTGAAAAATAAAAATCATTAAATATAATAAATTAAATAATAATTGAGATGTAATTTCTAAGTAGATATCAATATTATTGTGAAGAATATATCAATTAACCGCTTTTTGGAATTGGATACCCTTTGAGGAGGATATAAACCAATCATCAAACACTTGATATTTAGTTATAGAGGCGAAGTTGGGATGGAGTTTCTGAAACGGGAGAAAAAACAATGGACGAATAACAATATGAACAGTGGGACCAAAACTTTGTTTCTGTATACATGTCGGCCATAGGTTGTCTCTTTTACTATTAAAAAAACAACAATTCTAAAGACTCTTTAACGTGTCCAATATCTCACCTATTGAATCGGTGATTCATGCACTAGGACAATTGGAACAGCACCAAATACTTCCATTTTGAAGATAGGTTAGATTCTAGTTCAATTTTGGAAAGACCAACTCAAAATGATTTGCCTATTATTTATTATATTCCACCCTCGGTGACCAAATTTATACTGTTTCACTTCTTTCTATTGTCTTCATTACAAACTGAACAGGAAATATTTGACTTGCTGTTGCTTCATCTAAGGTTTGGATACAAATCCGCCTGAGAGCCTTTTCCTTTTTGTTTTTATTTTCCTGGAATCCAAACAGTTATAGAACATATAGCATAAGTTCATTTTACTGTTGCAGCAAATGATAATGAAAGGATTTTCTGAGATACGAGATTGACTAATTAGTGGACAACTTATTTTACAAATTTTGATAAAATTCTCTTTAACAAATTTATCAGAATTGCTCCTTGAACTCACGCCCTGATTTGAAGACTAGGACTCAAGTCTGGCGCCTTCGACCATCCTGACATTGATGTTCTTTTTACTCACTAGTACTTATTTCTGATATCAATTCAGGACTCAATATCGAAACTTCATTTCAATACCGTTTAACATTTGCAGCTCTCTTCCTGATTCCCCTTTCTTGGCTTTTGATTGACTGTCATTTGTGTACCTCATTCGGAAAATTGAACTTCAGTGAAATAAAGAACCACTCCCTCTTTTCTCAAAACAGTCACGGTAATTTTATTGGTTCTATACGTTGAATCACGAATCATTGATATTACTTTGTTGCGTGTAACTGCAATTAGCTTATTCCATATTTATCTATTTGCCATTAGTTGATTCGTTGATTTCTCTATATCGAAGGACTACTGTATTGTAAACCAGTAGCTGCGAACAAAAAGGACAAAGAGAAGAAATTTGAAGAGCGAATTTTGGAACCTATTAAAAAGTCTGGTGTTGAGAGAAAGTTATCAAAACCTTATAACCTATCTGAAATCTTCAATTCAAAACGGTAATTCGTTTTTTCTCCGTCCTATGCTTGTTGAAGTTATTGAATTGGTTCATAGGGTTTTTAAGCCTGAAATCATCCTTGTCGCTGGAAGTATTTTCAATAAAGAGAAGATATAATGTGTTGAAATGTTGTGATGTTGCTTCTGTATTGTGGGAATGATAAATTTGAGGTAGATGCCTGTTGCTTTTGCTTGCCAAAAGAAGTTGAAAACTAGAGATTTGGTTTATATCTTCGGTAGGAAATATGTACCCGCCAAGTGTTTGTGAAAATGACAGAGTGAATAAGGAACTAAATTATGAACGTGAACGTGTTGCAAGCCGGTAGAAAGCATTATCACTAGTTATTTAACAGTTATATTTGTATAGAATTTTGTTTTTTGAATTTTGGTATACTCTTCTATTTGGTCAATCACTTTTTTGTTTGCTGTTTCCACCTGCCAATGTCTATTGCTTTGATTGCATTAATTTTTCCCCATGTTTCCAGAGCAATGAATTCAGTTCCATTTCATGCGGCTCCTGCTGCACCCCCTGCTCCTCCTTGGTTCCCAATGTTACCATCCAACCCACCACAGTCAAGTGATTTCTGGGAGACTAAAAACGTGAATGACCAGCTGAGAGAATTACAACAGACTATGATTCTCGTAAAAGCAATGTACTCTTTTACTTCTCTCAATCTTAGTTATATCTTTTTGCTGGGATAATTAAAGTTGCCAATGACTCGTGTATATATTATAATTAACTTACTACTCTAAACAGGCAGAAGGAACTAGAGTTGTTGATGAAAATAAAAGATGCTAAAGAATCTGCAGAATATGGGGAAAGGGTGTCCGTTGAACCGGTTGATTGTGTATTATCCAAGTGTTTAGAAGATAGGAAAATCGATTTGAAAGCACAAGAATCACTTTCTTTGGATGCTGCATGCTCTCTGATGTCAAAATTAAGAGCTCAGCTAGAGCCATTTCGACCTCTCATAGATGAAGCAAGTAATTGGGAGGATAAATCAGTGGCAATTAGATTGTCTAATAAAATGCTAAAGTCCAAGCGAAATAAACTTTGGAGGAAGAAAAAGAGAAAACGCATTGCAGAAATGGGTGCAAAGGTAGTTTTTTCATTTGCACTGGTTTGTTGCATCTGGGTCCACTTATTATCTGCATGTGATCTTGTTTGCCTCATTTTTTACCATGATCTTTAGGTCCAGGAACAATTCGACCAAGCTGATCGTGAAGCTGATGACTGGATGGCTAGGGAGATTGCCAAGGATGCGGCACAACTCAAGGTAGTGGAATCTTTATGTTCTGAACTGACACAGTTAACTGTTATTGATGTTTGTTTCTCATGCACTTGGTGTTTGAAACTCCAAAAGCACTGTGGTTTTATTATTGAAGCAATTTAAGTTCATTACTAAGTAAATGTTTCAATAAATTGTGTTGTACCAGTATTTCAATAATCTCTGAGCAGCTGTGCAAGACTGGTAGAACTAGTGAGGCTCTTTAAATAACTTACCATTGTTCAAAAAAAAAAAAAAAAAAAAAAAAAAGTTTTGATTATCTTGGTTTTTGAAGCCTTGTTCTTGTGTATTATCTTCACAAGTCGTCTTTATTGTTTTAAGAGGGATAAAAAAAATAAATTGGCTCGGATTTTGGTCGTGGTTACAGCACTTACCAAGAATTCTCTTAGGGTACTTTTCTTTGGATGGGGCTAGTTGGGAATTAGATGAAACTGGGCAATCACACTTGTGATTGTTCCACAATATATAAGAGAAGCGGTCAGCCTATGAGAGCCATTATCGAACCCTTCTCGGATACGCCCGGAGGCTGAAGGGGCCAAGTCAGGTAGGTGGAGAAGAGGGAAATCTTCAGTGGCAATAGGTGCATTTAAGAAGGGTTTGTCTATTTACGGTAAAAGTGGTTTCTGGAAAGAGATCGGCAAGAGGGCGAAAGGGATTGTACAATACACAACGGGATGTGGAGCCTTATTACCGCAACAAAAAGAGGGAGATCAACATACCCAGTCATTCGTTTGAGCTAGAAAACTTAAGAGCTGCAAAGGTCTACGTTTTTTTTTCATCTTGCACTGGTGGTGGGTGGGTTCGCACAATCTGGGGTCACCAGCTTTATTTATTTAACTTTCGCATGAGAGTCTTGTTTTGTCCTTCCATCGAGGTGGTTAATTTCCTGGATTTGCCCACCATGAGGTCTTGTTAGCGTTCCAGGAAGGCGGGATAATTCGGAATCCACCCCGTTCCACTCTTCTTTGCCAAGCTGGGGCAAATCGTTTCGTTTACCACGCTTTCATTGTTACTCGTTTAGCCCTTCGGTTTACTCGTGCTTCCATTTTGAGCAGCCCAGATTCTTTCTGGGCCGGAACGAAAGTGCAAGGGGTTGCGGCAACCATCTCCGGCCAAGGTAGTGGAATCTTTAAGGTTGTTCCTGGAACCTGTATTCTTTACAGGGGTTTTTGGCACATATCATGTCTTCTCAATTTTACCTTAGTAGATCCTGTTTGGTGTTGCTCTTCATGTAGCATTATCCCTTCTTATGTCGGGTGGTGGTTTGAGGGGGAACTCCCAAAAGGGCACGTGTGGTTTTATTCGGGTATTTTTATTGAAAAAATTGTCAATTTTTAAGATTCATTGACACGATAAAGTATAATATGTTTTTTTTCTCTTTTAATTTACAATCTTTCTGTTGTTTATCCTTGTATCGGGACAGTATTATACCAAAAAATAATCTCAAATATAGAAGTCTTAGCGGCTCTTGGCTGTGCATATGAATATCTTTTTTGATTAAGGGATTCACTAGAGTGATTGGGCATCTTTTAAAGAATACTGGATAAAACCAATTGTTTCAAAAATTAAAGGAAAAGGATAAACTTACAAAAAAAAAAAAGGCTAATAGCTTTGCACGAATATGAGAAGAGAGCATTTGACCGGGTGTCCTTTCAGCCAGGGAGGAATACCCGGCTTGGCCAGCGCAGGCGTGGAGACCGAGCTAATCTCTTCTAGTTCGAAAGAGGGTTATTCCGGATCCGGTTGGGCACAAGTTAAGGAGGGGGGCAAGCCCCACTTACGTTGTAGGGAACTCTGTTTTTATATTTTTGATCACTGAACTAAGTAAAGAGTTGTTCATGTCAACGTACCTTCTTCCTCATTTCGTTTTTCAAGTATGACCATTTAAATAAATTTAGTGAGACTTCTTTCTGTATACTTTCCATTTTGTGCTTGATCCATTCTCAGGTCTTTTCTTCACTTGTTATTCGAAATTTACGGGATAAACAATATGAATATGACACGTTTACTGAGAAGCATTTACGCTAGAGATGATTTTTCTTGCAAATTGTTGGGATCGTTTCTGGTATCATTCTATTCCTATTGCTTATGCTTAAGTCTTACTGGTTTTATTGAGAGAGCTGTGCTGCTAAGAGCTCTCCTCGCACGCTCTTCCAGGGTTTCTTTGGTCGAATTCTCTTGCGGTGTGCCATATGTATAAAATATGGAATGTCACTTATATACTCATCCAGCCTATTATTTAGCCCATTGCATCGTGAATTTGGAGTACAACCTTTCTTTCTTCCATTGATTTGAAGTTGCTTTTTTTAAGGCCCACTGTGAATTACTTCAGTTTCTGTCTTGAAACTGAAGTTAGGCATACGAGCTATAATTCCATGTTTAACCCAACTCTGGCATGGATGTTTGCAAGGGCTTGTGGGTTAAGATGAAGGGCAAGATTCTTGCCAACAATGCTTAAGAGCTCGCCTTCAAAGGATGGAGAAGAATCAGAGACTAGAATCTGAAGGTGAGAATTAGGTGGAAATTAGGTCCTGGTAATTATTTCCCTCTATTCTGGGCGGTTGTCGGGGTCTTCTTGGGATTATACAATTAAGAATGTTCCAAAATAATTGTGGATTTTAAATCACACGGGATATTATTGTGATTGATGTTGAAGTTGTTCAGCACTCGCTTTATACTTCTTTTATCAGCATATTTTGTTTGCCTTTACCTTTTTCTGGTGCTATAATATTAATCCCTTATTGAATTACTCATTTACATTGTTGCTTGGTTTTCTCTCAGTGCTCGGTTAGGTTTGTATTTGCATCATTGAATTCTCTGCAATTAGTCGGGACTGTTTGGACTTGACACTGAAAGAGCATATCAAAATATGAGCGAGGATTATACTAAAGGTAGACCATAGGAGCATTAAATACTTTTTAGTTATAGTTATCGTTTTGTAGAGCTAGGATGAGGGGAAACTGCGCCCGGGCTTCTTTTATCGCCGTTTCACATGGGATACGTCCTTATCTTTAAAGGCAAAGAAGGTTAGCATCGTGGGATATTAAGGTGTATTTAATGGGATTATCCATAATTATGACATTATATGACATGTGGGTTGGACCAGAATTCAAAACAGAGCAGCCCTGCAGGGTAACACAGTTCCTCATAAGATGTTTATGTCTTATGCAGCCAGCCTATTTCTCTCTCTTTTAGTGGGTGATGTCTTCCTATCTTTTCCTTCTTCCTTTTTTGCCTTCTGCCCTTTAATTCCTCAATGGGCGGGAACATGGGGTTACCAAATCCTTTATTCGGGAGGCCAGGAGGCTATAAGGTTTTTTCATGTTATCGGGGAGGCTTGGAGCTCCGGGTTTGTTTGACATTTGTGAGAGGTAAGTTGGGCCAGAAAAAAAAAAAAAAAAAAAAAAAAAAAGGAATAGCTTGCACGTCTTGGAGCATTTGACTTCTTTCAGCAAGAATACAGGCACTTACCCTAATTCTCTTGAAAGAATTATCTCCTCAGCCACTTTGTAAATTGTTATATTGTACTAATTGATTCATGAGTACTTCTTCTCTTGTTTCATAGACAAAATAAATTTAGTGAGTTCTTTCTGTATATCCATTTGTGCTTGATCCATTCTCTTTTTTTCTTGTTTTCAAATTACGGGGATAAACAAATGATATATCTGAGAAGAACTAGAAGATTTTCAATTTTGCGTTTTACATTTTTCCATTGCTTCAATTACTGTTTTGCTGTCTGTAGAGCTTTGCAGTTTCCAGTTTCTTTGGTCGTGGTTGCTATGTAAAATATGGAATGCATTATACTCATCAGCCTAATTATTAGCTTGCACTGATGGAACACTTTCATGATTGAAGTGCTTTTAGCCTGTGAATTTTAGTTTTGTTGAAAAGTTACATAGGCTTAATCAGTTTAACTCTGGCATGGATGTTTGCAGGTGGGAAAGATGAAGGAGATTGCAAAGCTTAAGGTGAAAGAGGAGAGAAAGAGACTAGAATCTGAGGTGAGAATTAGTGAAATAGTTTACTCGTTTTGATACATGAGGATCCAAAAATAATGTGGATTAATCAATATAGGATGAGTTGAAGCCGATCTACAGCATATTTTGTTTGCTTACCTTTTTCCTTTTTCCTTTTGATTCTCAGACATTTTGTGGTTTCTCTCATCTGGTTTGTGCAAGATTCTGATGGGCTTTGCCCTGAGCTCATTAGCAAAAAAAGTAACCATGGTATTTTAGGTTATTTGTGAGAGCTAGGATGAAAACTCCTTTTTATCTTCATCTCTCTATCTAAAGATAGCATTATTATGAATATTATCTATTTGCTTATTCATTGGACAGTTCAAAGCAGCCTCGTTAAAGTTTTTATCATGCAGTTTGTGTGTTTTCCTTTTTTCTTCTTTTTCCTTCTGCCTTTATTTTGGGGGATGTCCAATCTTATACAAGGCTATATATTTCAGCTTGAGCTGGTTTTGATTGTGGAGAAGTTACAGGAGTTACGTTCCATGAGGATCCAAAAATTGAAAAAACAAGGTTTGCCTAATAAAATTGCTTCTTCCTGTTGCTTACACTATTCCTACTTTAACTGTTATGATTTGCCCTTATAACCTGCATCACTACATTCGCACAAGTACTCAACATGCAACTGCACTTGCAATACTTATTTTATGACTTTAGTGCATTGGATATGCTTGAAATAAGTCTACAATTATTTTAAGGAGATGAAATTCGGCAACTTCTTGATTAAAATGATTATGAATTCAAAATGAGTCTGTATTCCTAAAGTTAGTGAAATATATCTGATATGTGCATAATATCTTGAAAAATGGATTTTTTTTTTTTCATGTGTCAATATCCATGGATGTAATGTTTATATGGTCTATGCACATGAAAATTTGTTTTGATTCTGTTTATGACTTGTAATATTGTCGATTGCATAATCATGCAGGGCATTTCCTCCCAGAAGAGGATGATAAGTTTCTGGAGAGGGTTCGAGCTGCGGTCGAGGAAGAAGAGCGGCAAGCAATCGCTGCTGCTGACACAGATGCTGCTAAGGATGCCATTGCAACTGCTGAGGAATCTAGGAAAACCTCACAGAATTCTGAGGAATCTAGGAAATCAACCCAGAACCATGGACCTATCTCAAAGGATTCAAGTGATGATAATGTTGGAACCAAGGAAATTAAAGGTAAGGTAATTGAAAGCAAAGACAATATAGGCTCAGGTGCTGTCACTGGCCCATCTGAAGAAAGAGGAACCAAAGTTCAAAGTTATAGCAAAACATATGATTCTGTGGCTAATTTACCAACGGAATTCTATCACTATTATCATGGCAGCAATAATGATATGGGCACACTTATCGAGGTGATTTTTCAGCTACCTTTTCCACTGATTCTTCATATTGTGTAGATTACATTATTCTTATGAAACAAAAATTTTTCCTTAATTTCAGATGCAATGTTTTAATCCTATTAGCACAAAAAGTTGCCCTCAACAATGAATGCCGCATGCAGATACCCAAATCTGCTGTATAATGGATTAACAGTTAATATTTAGAGATATTCAATCTCATGAATTATTTCATCCTTGTCTGCAGGTTAGAAGAACATGGGATGCGTACATAAGACCAGGGGGAAGGTAAGCCTCCAAATCCTTTTTGCTGGAAACTACATCAATAGCTATATTAATACACCCAATTATGCCTAATTGCTTTTTATTTTTACCTCTGTTGCTTAAACACCAACAGTCCTGCTTGCTTTTTATTCATTCACCACTAGGAGGGAAGCAGCTTTTTGGTTATTAATGTTATTTAACTTTTTCTAACTCTTACATGGACATGCAGCCGTATTCCTGGGCATTGGGTTCAGGCGCCACCACCGGCAGATGACATTTGGGCATCCTACCTTGTTAGGCCTTCGAACTAAGCTGAAAGAAGGGCAGCCTCCGCTTCCTTTTGGAGAGTTTTGAAAGAATTTTCGAGTTCACTTGTTTCTTTTCTGCCTGAAGCATTTGCACTGGATGCTCGCATCGACATCAATCAATTGGATTGACGAGTGAAAGCAGCAAACATCATCCATGAGAATGAGATCAAATAGATCCAATTTTAATTATGATATTTTTGTACATTTGCAATGTCACAATGTTCCTTGTCGCCATTTCTCTCAGAATCCGGAATTAATGCAATTACTGGAGTCACTTCCTGTCAAATTTCAACCAAAATTTGGTGGCAAATTACAAATCTGCGCCGATCTAGTCTTTGTATGGCCGTTATATTGGTTGTTTTGGAACAAATCTGTGCCAAGTCTTATGGTCCATCATATAGTAAAGTCTTTCTGTGAGTGTATTTTTTTTTTTTTTTATTTAGATCATGATGTGCCAACATAATTCTTATCCTCGGTCAGAGGGTTTCTGATTTGTTTTTGAGATCATATTTTTTTCGCAGTATTTATAAAAATATCAATTCCATTCATTTTAAACTGAAAGAAATGATCGTATATAGCCGAGGGTTCCGGATGCCACAAAAATGGAAAATCTTGGTCATCCTACGATTCGGCAAATTAGTTTGCGAAGATTTGATTGAACTGTTGTTAGGGAGACCTCAATTCAGAGTCCTTGCCTCTCTGCTGGGACCTTCGCATTTTAAAAATTAAATTTTCAAATCAAATATTTGTGCGAAATCAGATCTATGAACTTGAAATCATTCCAAACAGATAACAATTCTTAAAATCTGACATCGACACCAATCTTCGAAGGTAAACTTGGATAAGAGCGCATTTTCCACAGCACTCCCTCCATAGGTGCCTTCGCTGTAGATAAACAAATTAAATGAAAAGCATTCAAAAGATGCTCAGTGAATACGAACCAAAATAAGAGATCATCTCGCGGACGATTATGAAACCATCGCACGATCGGCGATTTTCTCTACTGTTTAATCGTCATTGCATCAAGGCCTATTACTTGTTTTGAAAAGGAAGAAACAAAAAAAATTAAAAAGAAAACTTGAAATAAAATAATCATAAGCTGCAGAGGTACCAACACGAGAGACGAGCGGCGACGAAGTTTTAAACCCTAAACCCTAAATCTCTGCTTTGCATTTACAATCTGAATTGATTCGAGTGGAGGGTGGGGTAACCTTTTATAGAGCGCACACGTCAAAACGAAGCGGGTCGGGGCGAGTCCCTGGCCGATTTACTAATGGGCCGGGATCGCGGAGGCGGGCAGAGGAAAAAAATTAGGTGTAAGCGGGAGCAGATTATATTATAGATGTGCCAATCTATTTATTTATTTTGTTAAATTTAAATTCTATATTCAAAATAATATTTGACTTGTTATTGTTAGATATAATATAATTTCATATATTTTATTGATAAATAAGTAAATATATTTTTTATTTATAAAATATAACATAAAATATATTAAAAATCTTGTAGAAATATATATATAACTGAATTAATACTGGAATAAGACAAAAATAGGTAATGCTAGAGACACGATTACGCAAATCTCTTAATAGGACGAAACGTATTAACTGTAAATTGAATTCAACCCATCATTCTCTTTTAAGGAAATTGAACCCATAAATTTTAATTGATGAGAGAGACATTTTTCATTTTATCTATTAGATTAACAAACGAGGTTGATAGACTAAAAAATGAAATATATATGAATAAACAGATCAACATATTAGGATAAAAATGTATAAATCTTTATTTGGATGAAATATTTTTTCAAAGGAAGGAAAATAATTATAAAAAGTATTTAGAGAAATGAGTTTTTTTAATTAAAAGGGGAGAAAAATATTGAAGGAATCAATATTTTTATTTATTTATTATTCAAGTCTACATAATTTGAATGAAAAATTAATAAAGAAAATAAATTTCATTTATTTTTATTTAATTTCCAAATACTTTAAAACAAGTGAAGCACATTTTATTGTTTTTAACAATCCATTTGGAACAAATAAACTATGGTTGTAGAACTCAATTGTAAATGAATACCAAATAGAATTCATTTGCGAATGAATTTGTCATGTTTGGTATAGTATAATTTAAAATAAGAAATTTAATTGAATTTCACAAAATTATATTTGAAATAAATTATTAAATGAAAATTCATTTATCTTTATTTTTTATAACATCCTTAACATAATAATTTAATAAAAATAAATAACAAACACCAATTATATTTATTATGCACCATATAATAACTTGTCATTTTTTATTAAAATCTAAATAATAAATTTCATATAAATAATTACACTAACATTCCATGCTAATTAATTAATTATATAAGTAAATAATAAATTTCATATAAATAGTTATACTAACATTCCATGCTAATTAATTAATTATTATGATATTTTTCCTTATGCATGAATTGTAGACCTACATGGCTGTTCATCTTGGGAGTGGGTCTTTCTTTTGGATTTTTATTTAATTATACAAATTCTTTATATATTCAATTAATCATGAATATATTTGACTGTTATTTTGTTTTTAGAATATAATATCACATCTTTTGCTCATTTGTTATATATACTTCTTTTTCAGGTGATGAAAAAATTATAAAAGTGGACAAGGGTATAGGTTCTTGGATTAATTTATAAAAATAATTTCTTTATTCAACTTTAATAAGGATAAGGTATGACTTAAATTTGGAGGGATACTATGAGGAGTAAAGACGAAAAATATATAAATATTAGGACTGAATTTAATTCTACCTTGGAAAATAAAGAGGAACTTAAAAACAATAGGTAACTGGGCTGGCGAGACGGGAATGCCACGAGAAGGCTTTAAGCGCAAATATGAGGTCTGTTCCAAAGATCTCTTAAATTAGGAGAGCATAACGGGCGATAAATAAGGCTAGGGTGGTGTTAAGCACAACGTATGAGAGATTCAATTCCATCTCACATTACTCGAGTTCACAGTTTAAGGACAATTGAACCCATAAATTCTCTAAATTGAATCTTGATTAGAGAGACACCTTTTTCAACTTTTACTCTCTATTAGATTAACAAACGAGGTTGATAGAACTAAAAAATGAAAGGTACTCTCATATGCAAAATAAGCACAGCACGATGGTATACTCAACACATATTTAGTATCTTATTACAAGGATGTATAAATTCTTTATTTGGAATGGTATATTCTATTTGGGGATTTGGTTCAAGGATTAAGGACAGGAAAAATCAAGGTTATGGTAACAATTAGTTACATATATTGGGTTCAGGAAATGAGTTTTTTAATTAAAAGGGGGATGAAAATTTAATATAGGTTGAGACAGGAATCGCACACTATTCTTTGAGTTTATTTCATAGCTATTATTTTTCAAGTCTCATCTTTATAATGGTGTCGCGAAAATGAAAATTTCTAATTTAATTACGCTTAAAATAAATTTCTTTTTCATTCTCTCTATTTTTACTTTCATTTTAATTTACATTCCCAATACTTTTATTAAAACAAAGTGAAAGCAACATCTCCGTTCTTTACTTGTGGAATGTTTTCGTTAACAACCGGCGTTCGCATCTTGTTAACAAATATTTAGACAATTTCTCTCTCATGGTTCGTAGCACATTTAAACGTCTGATAGTTTAATTTGAATCCAAATAGAATTCATTTGGCGAATGAATTGGGTGTTTGGCACTTGTGTTTTGAGTATAGTTTATTTCATGCTCTAACACATAATGTATTTCTTAATTGAATTTCAACAAAAGTGGTATATTTGAATATAAATTGTTTACGGTTAGAAAGTTTCTTTTGCAAAGAATTATTTACCATTAATTTTATTTTTCTTTGTTTAATCGATTTTTTTTTATATTTTACATCCTTATTTTATTTCATTTATACCATAATTTAATACATAACACTCAAATTATTATAAAAAATCACCACTTAATTCTAGTAATGTTATTAATAGAAGAAGCTAACCACAATAATGCGTGCTGGTAATAATAACTTGATCATGTTTTTTCTTTACTATATCAGGTCCTAAAAATCTAAGGTATTGGATTATAATTGGAAATTTCAAATAGGTAAAAATAATTAACAGAATACTAACATTCCGAGTTTGCTTAACGCATTATAATTAGGGATTAATACTTAGATAAAAATACTAACTTCAAGAGGTCCTTCGGATATGACAATAGCTCTAGAAAGGCTATTTAGGGCAACAATGGTAAACCATTCGCGATGCTAATTAATTAATTATATAAGATTAGTAGATCAATTACAAATATAACAATGAATAAGGAAGGGTTAATTTGCTTTACTAAATACTGAAGGTAACAAATATTCACACTCATTAGTATTAGGGATTTTTCAGTCAAAGATAATTGTAAATCTTTGAAAAGCTCACAAACAATATTAAGAAATTTAAAACTTAAAGAATGTTACTAATTCTATTTTTTTAGAATTGCATTAGTCTCAAACACAAATTATTGAAGGCATCTTTTGTATTTAACGTTTTTCATTTCTAGTCAGGGAGTAAATAGATTTAACCTAAATAATTATTGGGAGATATGCCTGGGTAAGCCTATCTATAAAAGAAATAAGATTTGCATTAATGACTCTGCAAGTATTGGAATTTTAAAAAAACAGGAGGAGGATAAAACCAGCACCACGGTAAAAAACAAATAATTTACATTCTTGGCGCGATTCATTATTTTGCGATTTATTTGCATATTATATTCACATACAACCAATCGGTTCTCTTGCTCCATTATCGTTTTGGAAATATCATTACCTAATAGAAAAGTACAATAGAGTAGGGTCTTAAAAACAAGTAAAAATGGTTGAGGGAGGTCATTTAATACATGGAATTGCAGATTTTTTTATCAATAAAACATTTTGATGGTCAACTTCTGGTGCCATAATTTAGGTCGGGTACATTTAATTTTTGTTCAATTTCTGTTTCCAACAATATTTTCACGTAAATATATATAGGTTTATGCAAGTTAAATCAGGGTGGGTAGCTGCTTTAATTCGCATAAAATTCATTTCGTATAAATTTAAAACTATATTTTTTTAATTCCAAATGGCAACATTTTGGAATTTTCAAAATTTTGTGAATTCATGATTTGTCTTTCTCTAACACCGGTGGTTCCCTAAGGGAGGTGGATTATGAGCGGCAGACATAATATTTGTTATTTTTCTACAAATAATTTATTATTTAACTCTGGATTTAATTTTTCCTTTTTTTTATTATTAATTTTCATCCTTTAACTTTACTTTTAATCTCTTTCATTGCGGTATACATCATTAGAAACACTTATAGCGATGTAGGGCTAAGGTTTAAAGCTCTCAACTTTTTTATTTACAAGAAATATGTTTTGACCAAGTTTGATTAGTCAGTATATCATACGAGATTTAATTATATTCAACTTCGTGTTCCTAACTGAATTGATATACTTCGACAACTACTCTCTGAGTCAAGAGTTTCTAAAAAAAAAAAATAAATTAAATGGAAAGTGAAACAGAAAATAAACACAAGCCAGGGTTTGTTGCTAGAGGGCCAAATAAAAAGGATGTAGTTTAAAAATGCGTTATTTGCGTAACAGGGGTCTATTCGAACAGGCTGATTTTTGAGGCTGCAAGTAAGAACAATGATGGAGTGGGGTGTTGGGTTCTTAACACTGAAAATACTGTTAAAGAACACTTAAAAAAAAAAAAAAAGAATGTTACTATTATTTTTAATTGCATTTTAAAACAATTATTGAAGTCTTTATAGTTTCATAGTAATAATAATTAACATTATTATTAGACTTCAAAAAAAAAATCATTACTAGTTTGGAATTTAAAAAAAAATAAAAAGAAAAAAAAAATAATGTCATTATTGGATTAGAAAAAAAACAACGTTGTTATAGTTTGGAATTTTCTATAGAAAATAAATAGATAGGAAAAAAAAAGTAAAAATGGTTGAATTTATAATGGAGGGATTTTATCAATAAACATTTTGATGGTCAATTTTGCATAATTTATTTACAAATTTTATCAATTTTAGTAAAATTTGAGTTAATCATATCTAATTCCATAAAATTCATTTCGTATAATTTAAAACTATATTTTACATTCCAAATGCAACATTTTGGATTTTCAATTTTGTGAATTCATTTGTTTCAAACGGGTTCTAAATAAATGAGGGCAAATATATTGATTTCCAATAATAATATTTTATTTCCTTTAAAATTTCATCTTAATATTTATTTTCCTTGGTTACATTCAAACACAAGAGTAGGAAATAGCAATAAAAGAAATTTACAATTTCTCATTATTTTCCTTCTTCTATTATATTCCTTTCTATCATTTCTAAAAAAAAAAAATTATGAAAGTGAACAAAAATAAAAACAAGCATTTGAAAAATAAAATGTTTATAATGTATTCTCCTAAACGGTACTGTGACATTATTGTTTTTCTGAAATAAAATTTAAACAGATTTACAGCATTTGAGTGTAGACGACAGAAGGCGGTGAAAAGTAGAAAGGAGGAGAAAGTGATCACCTAGCAAGCGGTTTAATTAACCAAAGTTGTAACTGTAACGGGCCAAACTATAAGACTTCCCCGATGACCAGCTCTCGTAATGTTCTTGGTCTCTCCCTAAACAAAAATTTTTTTTTACTATTCATCAAAAACAAAATCATATCTTACGCTGCCTCGTTTCAGATCTACCTAAATAATACAAATAGCAAATCCCCCTGTTAAATCTTCTCTGTCACGCCAACCAGAATAATTCCCCTGAAATTCATTTCTTCAGAGATAGATTTATCGATTGGCGAAGATTAGTGACTTTTAATTATGTGGAGTTCCATTGAGACTTTGAAACAAAACCTAAACAAGATTGCATTGGATGTGCACGACGATGATGAGGAAGGGCTTGAGATCTATGGCTCTAGCAATGGCCACGATTTGTCGGTCGCTGATCGAAGAAATTCTCACAGTTTCGCGCATTCGAAGTCTGTTTCGCGGTCTCCCATGGCTAATGGGACGGACTTGCCATATAATTCAGAGGTATCTTCCTTTGCGTTTTCACTGTTGGGTATTTTAATCTCTCTATCACTCTGCGTCTGAATAATTTGGCGGTGTAGTAATTTTATTGGGGTTTAAATGCCGGTAAAGCTGTTTAGCTGTTTATCTTGATAAAAGCCTTAGGTTATCGAGTTATGGCTACTGAGTTATAATTCAATCTAGATTAGGAGCTAAGCGCAACTGCTAACTGTGTTCTTTGCTCGAGGACACTTCTATTTATATTAATGAGTGTGTTTTATTATTTGAATCGTCACGAGATGTTAGTTTTTCTGTTAACAGTGAAAAATGACACGTTTATACTGTCAAACTAGGAAGCAAGTGAACGATAGTTTTATTTTTATTTTATTTTTTTGCTTATTTGACATTTACATGTCTTGCAGTCTATGTGCCAATAATAGCTGCAATTGGTAACTTTTTCTGCTTAACTTGCATTTTGCCTCCTCCCCACCATCAGCTCTTCAGCATTTCTGCCACCCAAAACTCAAATCAAATAGTCACATATGTACCTTTTGCAGTTTAATTGTTGAATGCAATTGACTTGATCCTGTTGTGGCCATCTTCTCTTAATTGCTTTGATTCAATCATTGTCTTTTTTTTGTTGCTTATATGGTTAATTGACACTCCATCATCTGTAATTCATGTAGACTGAACAGTACAAAGCAGAAATTAGAAGGCTTCAGGAATCTGAAGCTGAAATCAAAGCATTATCAATTAATTATGCGGCTTTATTGAAAGAAAAAGAGGTACTCCACTGGCTCTTTTGTTATATTTTGTTCTTTAATGCAGACATAGGCATCTCTATATTTTTCAGGTAGATGCATGGTTTATTTTAGTTCATTTCTATTCTTTTTTCAGCCTAATTTGTATACATGACGGTGATACGATTTTCACCTACAATGCAGTTCTTCCTAGTTTATATGGATATGGGTTTACGTTTATGCAGAACCTGAAGGGACAACCTCATATATTTTCATTTATGATTGATGATGTGAATGAAATATTCCTTAGAATGCAAGTCTCACTGCAACTGGAGAGATTACTCATAGAAGTCTTTTTTGTTTATATATGATAAGAACTTGTGACAAATTGATTCATAATTTAAAAATTGAAAGCTTAAAAGATTCAATTGATAGTTTTAGAGAGGTGTTTGTTATGCCTTTGTGATAAGCTGGCTGGGTGCATATAGTTGCAAAAACAGGCTGGGTGCATATAGTTGCAAAAACCATTTTGCATGTTGAATGCTATTTCCCTTGTTATTGATCCCATGTTTTCTCTCTCCCTGTTTAACAAAATACCTCTACTGGTAATTTGTGTCAAGAATAAAGATCAAATGATTTCAAAATGTGGAATCATGTCCCCTTTGTTCAATTTGCTAATTTTTTGGGGATTCATCATTAAACTGAGCATCAAACACCTTTTGTGGATACAGTTTTATTACCTAAGTCTCTCTAAATATCAGTTAGCTTTCATGTTAAAGGTCTTTTGACAACTTGAAAACATGGCTTTGCTTACCTAATTTGACAGGATCAAATTTCCAGATTGAACCAAGAAAATGGCTCATTGAAGCAGAATTTGGATGCAACAAAGGATGCTCTCAGTGTTTCCAGAAGTGAGAATTCAAGAGCATCAACAAATAGCGTCCATGCACTCAAGGTATTGCTTCTGATAATATTTCATGGCAAATCTACTGCATCATGCACCACCTTAAAAAAAACTGCTATATGTAATGACTGCATTCGGTATATCTAATAAATACGTCTCCTGCTGATTTTTTAATTAAAGCCTCTGTATGCTGTGTCCATTTAATATTTGGAAATCAACAGAATGTGTCCTTGAGTTAAGCCTCATAATCTTTACACCACTACACTTGTATCTGCCGTTCATCTTTGGCGCAAGAGCAGCTGCGGCTAGGAATGAGAAGGGCGGTGGATTAGCTCGGTAGTCTCAGTAGCAGAGAATATTGATAAAGCAGGAAACTTAAGACAGAGAATCAGAAGCTATAACAATATCTGTAAAGCTTGCTTGTTCATCTATTTTATCAGTCTGTGATATGAACTGAATGCCATGCTAGCTGGGAGAAACCTTATTATCACTCCGAGAATATATGTTGATGTGATTTAGATCTGGATACATATGCAGAAATAACAGAAAGGAATTATGGTATAAGGCTGCAGATGTCAATTGATAGTATTATGTATTGACATCAAAATTGTGCTAAACTTGCACGTACCCTTGTTGCCTCTATTATGAAGTTTGTTGTCTTGGATTGAATGACAGTCCAATGGATTATGCTTAGCACACATGGAAGGTGGTGTTTCAACCTGTACTATTTTCTCTCTTTGTCTCCCTTGATGAAATGTTGAAGTATCAAAACCATGTTTGAGTAGTGCACATGGGTGTTCTAGGTTAAATAGACTCGTTGAATTAACTGCAATTCTGGATTTTGTGCAGGGAAGTGGTGATCAGTCCCCCAACCAACATCATAAATCTGTAACTCAAGTCAAAGCCCGTTCTGGTGGAAACCAAACACAGAATGGAGTAGGTAATGGAATATCACATCCTGATCAAGTTGATGCTGTTTATAATAAGGTGGAACTCAAATATTCAAATTTTCCAGGGAAGGAAAAGGTAATGGCATGTTGTGTCCGGTGCTTTTATGCTGACTTGGGTAGCGAATTATTAATTTCCAAAATGTAATGTGTGCCTGTAGCACATGCTCAAAGAGAGTATGTGTGTGTGTGTGTTGGTGTTTTTACATAATGAATAAACTTGACAGCAGATATGTGAATGCCTTCTAGGAGCTTGCAGATTTGCTGGAGGAGAAAAATAGGTCCCTGGCAGCATTGAAGGCCACCCATGAGTCACAAATAAATCAGCTCAGACTGGAACTTGACAAGGAACGTGATAAGTTAGCAATTGTACAGAAAAAATTACAAGGTATACTTTTTTTACTTTGAAACCCAGTAATTTGATTATTTACAAATTTTCACCTTTGGCTTTTGATGAATTACTTGCAACAGTTTTAATCCTCTTTTTTTCTTCTTTTGTGGGGATCATGGACTGGTCTTGGGAATTTTACAATTTCCAGAGGAACACAGGTTGAATAAATCTTTTCAAGAGGAGCTCAGGATGCTACAACTGAATGAATCCAAAGTGAGTGGATTGGACTCAAATAATATTACCAACTTTTTTGGTTGAGTCTGTCAGCAATTATTTTCCCAACTGCTTTGTGTTGAGCTTGTACTGAAGCATGCACGTTGCACTCTGTCTGTGAGCTACTATTAGTAATTAATCCGTGTGTGCAGGTAGTGACCTAGCAATATAGAATTGATGTCTGATTTTACCCTATGTTATCTTGTTTTCTAGCTTCGGAAATGCCTTAAGCAGTGTCACTGGTCCTTCAAAAAAGTAAAACCATTGCTTTACATGAACTTGTAAGTTATGTTAATCCGTTGACATTGTCATGTCATTGTTAGAGTCCTTTTGAAATTTAGGGAGTTTGTGGAAATTTTTGTGATTCAGCAGGTGTATAATTTTGCTTCTTTTTGTTTTTTCTCTAAATCCACATGTTATAAATTTGCTTCCTTGTGATTGTGATTTTGGAAATATATTTTGCTTTATGATTTTCCAGTGATGCTGTCGTTGGAGCATTTTCTGTTTATATTTTCTTTCTTATTTTGAGGTTCTGATCTATTTGTTTTTGCATCTCTATTTTCAGACTTCTTTGGAGATGAGTAAAGTACATAGTGAATTGAATGAGAAAATATCAGAGATAAGGAGACTGCAAATGGAGTTAAGTAGAAGGGAAGATGAAGATGCTGATGACACTATAAAGGATTTGAAAAAAACAATTGCCACTCTGGAGAAGGAGAATACCAGCCTTAAGGTTAATATTCTTGTATATTTTAAAATCTCTTTCAAGCAAGATATGTTCCTTGTAAAAAATTCCTGTTCATTTTGTTTGGGCTCTTTAAATGCTGTCATTTTGTAGATAGCAAAGAATGAACTTGAGGCTGCCTTGGAAATGAGGAAAAGTGCTTCTCCTGATAGAAATTTCCCAGATGGGGTAATCTCTCTCTCTCTCTCTCTCTCTCTCTCTCTCATCTGCATGCCCATGCTAGTAATATATTGAGTAATTACTAATTCTTACTGCACTGGGTATGCACTTGTGTTTTTCCTTTATTTTGTTAATAATTAATTGTAAATTCCAGGGGATAGGTTCATCTGGAAGTTCTCATGTTAAGGAAGAAATGGGTTCCTTGTTGCAAAAATTGGAGAAAGATTTAAAGGAAACACGCAATGAAAGGGATAAAGCATTGCAAGAATTGACTCGTCTTAAGCAGCATTTATTAGAAAAGGTTGCTATATGTGAACTTGCTATTTTTCGCTTGTTGTCTTATGTGCCTTGTTTATTCCTTCACTTTGGTGATGCTAGAGTTTCAATTGTTTTACTGAAATTTTCATATTCAAGGTTCACTTGCATATTCTATTGTTTCAATTATTTCAGATGTGGTGCTCAATGACACATCTTTCCTGCACTCTATCTTTCAACCATAAAAGTTACAGCGTCTTAATGATGTTAAGTATCAGACTTTTCTAATAATAAAGATTGTTTTCATTCAACATTGTCTAGGAGTCTGAAGAATCAGAGAAAATGGACGAGGATAGTAAAATCATTGAAGAACTTCGTGAGAGTAATGAATATCAAAAGGCTCAAATATTACATTTGGAGAAGGCTCTGAAGCAGGCAATTGCCAAGCAGGAAGAAGTCCGGATGATTAACGACAATGAAATCCAGAGGTCAAGGGAAATTATTGAAGATTTAAATAAGAAACTTGCAAAATGTATAAGCACTATTGATTCCAAAAATGTTGAGCTTTTAAATCTTCAAACAGCTCTTGGTCAGTACTTTGCTGAAATTGAAGCTAAGGTAAGAGGTTTTTGTTTATTTTAAAGCTTCTGTTGGGTTGTCTCACAATCCCCACTTGTTGTTTTCCCCAAGGCTAATTGTGTCATTGCATGCATAGGAACATTTGGAGCAAAATTTGGCTTTGGCAAGAGAGGAAACAATGAAGCTTTCTGAGCTTTTGAGAGTATGCTGTCTTTACATTATATTGTGTAATTATCATCTGGTTGTCCAGACTCAAGTTTTATTCTTTAGCAAATTGCAAATTTTTTGATTTGTTACTATATAAAAGTCGCAACTAACAAAGAGTTGGTTGGTTTATATTATTTTTAATGTTAAATGAAGAAAATTTGAAGCTGTCCTTAATGTTTTTGGTTCACTTAGGATAACAAATCAGAAGTCATGAACATGAGCTCTTTGAATGCCCATCTTTTGATTTCTTACTTTTATTTTAATGCATTTTATGTTGTTATTATTGGTTTTGAGTCCTCAGCAAGATACAGTAATCAGACTGTTTCTGCATCAATATTGGACTGTAAAGGTAGTTTCTGTAGGACAAAGCAGGACATGTTCAACCTGCCATGTAACCAGTGTCTGGTCGAACAAGCTTGGAACATTGTTGGTTTCCAGCGCTTATTTTACTTGTGTCTATAAAGTTCGATTTCTTATCAGTTGAACATAAGTTGCTTTCTTCAGGATGCGGAACAAGGAACAGAAGCATTAAGGAGAGAAAAAGAAGAAATCTTGACCAATCTGTCACATTCTGAAAGGATGGTAGCAGAAGGGAAGAACAGAGTAAATAAGCTTGAGGAGGATAATGGAAAACTACGTCGTGCTCTTGAACAGAGCATGACCAGGCTTAATAGAATGTCAATGGATTCTGATTATCTAGTTGACAGGTTAGCCTGTTTAATTCTTCTGAGGAAATTTTCTGTTCTTGTATAATTTGTTTGCATCTCCGTTCAATAATGCACTTTTAATTAGTTAAACTTGATGCTATCTTATTGTTAATTGCTTTTTCCACGTTCATTGATGGAAGTTGGAGTTATTTCATTGTAATATATGATTGGCTTTTGTTGACAGGCGCATTGTGATCAAATTATTAATAACCTACTTCCAGAGGAACCACAGCAAAGAGGTTTGCGTCTCTTATGATAAAATTGGCTAGGCATCATTAGGCTGTTGTTTTCAGATTAGTTTAATCATTTGCCACTGATTTACTACTAAATCACATCAAGGAGTTGAGGATTTCCTAATTCAGTGCTTTTGTGCCCTCTTTGGAGAGCACTTGTATAGATTTCTGCTCCCTCAGTCCCCTTTTAGATTAGAATTGCTCGACCCTCCCAAGCTTAATTAAATACCCAATATTGGATCCTTTCTTTTCCTTTCTCCTCTCTCTTTGAGTGACTTGTATAATTTGTATGGTGTGACAGGTTCTGGATCTCATGGTCCGGATGCTAGGGTTTTCTGAAGAAGACAAGCAGAGGATAGGTGTTGCTCAACAAGGTGGCAGGGGTGTTGTTCGGGGAGTTTTGGGACTCCCTGGCCGCCTAGTTGGTGGAATCTTGGGGGGAAGTTCAGCTGATGCACATGCAAATGCAGCATCTGAAAAACAGGTTCTATTTTTTATACTCATTGCTAATGGTTAATATCAAACATTTGGATTCCAATATAGTTGCCAAGTGGTACTCCAAATACTTATAAGCTTTAAAAAGATGCAGTACTCCAAATCATCTTATCTTTTGATGGAAAATTCATGGTCATACCATTCTATCTACTTCTCTCTCTCTTATGTTAGATGTCATTTCTGGTTTGTATTCTTATAATGTCATTGGTAGTAAGCGGGCAAGCAATTTAATGTTGAATTTGCTTGTCCACAGTCCTTTGCAGATCTATGGGTTGATTTTCTTCTCAAGGAAACTGAAGAAAGGGAAAAGAGGGAATCTGCAGAAGATACAGGTAGACCAAAAGAAGATTTCCAAGGAAGAAGTTCTATGTCAGGGGTTGGTTCACCTCTGCCAGCGCCTTATACAGCAGGTACTGCATCTCTAGTCCCAAATTTTCCTCCAACACAGAACTATAATTCCTTCCCCATTCAAGGAAATTTACGGCCATTTGAACACTCTGATACTGAGTTCTCAACAGTTCCTTTAACATCCTCAGATAGCACTTCCCGGTTTTCAAGATTGATGAAACACTGAAAATATGATAAATCGTGTAATTAGTCAAAAGTAAAAGATTTGTTCATTGATGTTGTAGTTTGCAGTTCTGTTCAATCAATTCTTTCATGTGTTACGATTTTTCTCATAGTTTTCATGTAAAACCTCTTGCTCAATCAGTACTTTCATGTTGAAATGTGAATTCCTTTTCCCTTCCCCTTTCCTTTGTTTGCTATTTTTTACATTGTCATTTAATTTGTTTTTCATTTGGTTTTATATTTTGAAAATAATAAAATTAAATATATATAGTTTTGCAATGAAGTGAAAAAAACGAACAGCCATCATACAGGGTGGGCCCATAGGCTGTCTCATTTTAGTTGGCGGACAAAATAGGGTATTGGGCGATAAGCCCAATTGAGCGGAGATTATGAGAACCTACAATTTGAAAGCCAGGGCCCAATAAAGTGGACCTAAAATTTTGACAATGGGCCTATAGTGCCGCAGGATTTTTCTAATGTTCTAAAATACTGGGCCTGAAAGATTGCAATAGGCCTGTATTGGCCCAATTAACTGGGCCGAAATTTTATAATGGTTTAGTTTGGCCCATAGTGAGCCCAACAATTTGGGCCACAAAATAGGGCTGTACGTTTTAGTTGGGCCTGAAGTTTTATTAATGGGTCTACGTGGCCCACAATGGGCTTATTCCGACCAACATAGGACAACATTATTTGGCCCAATAAATTGGGCCTACATTTCCATAATGGGCCAAAAATTTGGTGTTGGCCCAAATGGGTCAACAAATTGGGCTTAAATTTCCACAATTGGCCCAAAAATTTCGGCCCGGATTCCTTTTAATGGGCCTGCCTAAGATTTATTGGACTAAACTTATTGGGCTCGTTCAGTACTCGCAATTGTTTGTATTAGCAGTAACCTATAAACTCGACTATCGTAATTTACAGATTAATGTGAATATAATTATAATAAATTTATTAATGTCTCATAAATATTTTTCTCCCCAAATTTAAAAACAAGTAAAAACAGAAAAAAAAAAAAACCTTTTTCTTTTTGAAAGAAATGAAGTAACCTAATTATTGAGATAATGCCATTCAAGAGTACCTAATTTCTTATTCTCCTAGTTTTCAAGGTTCATCAAACATTAAATATAACTCTTTAATCTGACTCCTTTCCTTCCCTATACTAACAGCCGCTACTATTGAAACCATAAACTAAAATTTCAAAACATGAGATAAGCCGTAGCCCATATACAAGGAATCAAAAGATATTCGATATAAAACCAACGTCAAAAATCACCCATTATCAAGGAGCCAACACCTGCAAACAGATTATAAAGCTTTCAAAAGTAACCTACAACTTGAAATTAACCCCATATAAATAAAAATGCTATTCAAACTGCAATCCCAAACATTGGAAACAGTTGAAGGGGTGAAAATAAAGAAGAGCTCTAGCAAAATATGGAGAGGAATCACAACCTACAAATCCATGATTTCTAAGCTTCTGCGTGAAACAGAACCACTGGCCTCTCTAAACCCTCTTGGCCTTCAATGCTCCCACTGGAATCTTACTCAAAACCTTAGCATCAAACACTGCATATTGCTTTTTGATCTCAATTGTAGCCTTCTCAGCAAATGGATCGACCTTGTCCTCGTACTTCTCGTATAGAACCGGTACAGTGTGTAGTAAAACAAAGGCTGTTTTAAGATCAAAATTAAAAAAATGGAATACAAAAATATCAGTAACTACATTCAAAAATGATTTCATTGTTAAAATGTAAAAGGATCAGTTTTGATGGTCATACATATATAAAACAAGGTCAGGAAATTGCACCAGCTCCCGACAATTGACACAACCCACAAGGCAGCTATAACCTGACATAGGAAATCATAAATAGAGTTTAAGAATTATGTTACCAAATATAAGCTATCTTCTAATTGAATAATCAAACAAGGACTGAAGTACACGAAGAGTGCAAGATTAAGGCTAATTATATATAAGATAAATGATCCACTTCAAATCCCACTCCAACTCTAGTTAAAAAGCGATAATAGCATGGGTAATGGACATACAATGAGAAACTTCTTCAAATCTTTCCCAGATGCAATATCACGTAAAACTGCAAGCCCTCGGTTGATTTCCAATGTTAGTGCTGAAGCAACCAGCAGGAATGGTTCTTCAGGAAGATGGATTTGTGGAATGCGAGGTGGGGTCCTATAAGCAGCAGAAATGGAAAAGAAAAGCATATAATCATAAATGAAATATAGCCAACGGGTCTTAACACCTCAGACAAAACCAATAAAAAGAAACAGAACATTACTTATTGATAAATGTGTGAGCATTGGACCATAGAAACAGCACTGCGAGTGAGAGGATCAAAATATGGCATGCTAGAGTAAGAAGATGGTATTCAATCAACTCAAAAAGGACCCAAATTGCAGTGGCCACTCCAAGCACACTAGCTGAGATCTTCTTATTTCGCCACAACAACACATCAGCAGCTGCATTAAATTGTCACACAAATAAAGGAAACACATTAGCCTTCAGCAGAACATGGAACGAGAATTAGTGTAGGTGCAAGGCAACAACTCTCCGAATACCCATTGAAAGAAATATTACCAAAAGAAAAAATATCAAACCTTTTGAAAAATCAATTTTTCAACCAATTGCTTAGCTGGTTGGAGAGTTGCTCTATAAATTAAGTACTCAGTTTAATAGTGTGAAACTTATAAACAGTGGTTAGTTCAGCTGGTCGTTCATGTCATAAATCTAGGACTTCACAATTCCCTACACGAAAAAAATATCAGAAAACATAACACATCTGGATCAGAAGATAAAAGACCCCATCGCTCATTGAAGATTTCATTAGGAAAATTTTAATTGATTACTATCTGTACACTTTGGAAGTGATTTTAACAAGGCAATGAAAAATAATTTTGATACTGACTAAATGCAACAAAATTGACTAAACCATCAGAACAGAAACACAGATCAAATCTAAAGTCCCCATAACCAGACAGTGTAAGAGCAATATTTAGTAAAAGATCACAATTAAACAAAATATAAATAAAAAAGAAAAAATAAATCAATATTTAGTAAAGCTATAAAGCAGTGAAGAACTTAAGAAATCCATACGTTTTCCTCCTCCAAGAACGTGGTGAACGGGTCTTTCCCTCCCAAACAACCGAAAAATCTTTGCCTTGACGGACGATGGAGAAGTCGGCTTCTTCTCGGAATCCGAATCTGAATCAGAAGAAGATGACGATGAATCGTGAGCGTGAATCGTCTCGCTTATCTTCTCCATAACCGACTCGATAGGATTTTCATGATGCTCAGCCATGCTATCTTGATCCTGGCAATCCGATCCAAACCCCTAATTCCGCCAAAATGAGTTATCCTACAAGAATTCCGGTGTCTGTAAAATATCGAGCAAGCAGTGAGTGACTGGAAATGTAGGTCACGAGTGGTGACGGCTATCTAAAATTATAAACCGTAAACACGAAGGTCCGAGCCTTAGGTTCGTGGTGAACCTGGTGGTTCGATGGAATTTGAAATCAAAAAGTTGACGGCGTTATATTTAAAAGATCGAGAGTGACGGCGGTTACTGAGATTATGGCACTGGCAAGGTGCCTTTTTGGCACAGGAAACGTGGAGACAATCCAGGACGGTGGATTTAGATGTCCTGACAGGCACCGACCCTGGTAAAGTTTGTTGAGGACACGTGGCCGTCTATAGCAATTGGACGGACGGAATGGACGGCTATTACTTTGTTATGGCCTGGTGGACTAGAAATCAATGGTGGGTTCCACGTTGGTCTGACGTGTGGTTAGCATTTTCTTCTATTTTTGCTATTTAAAATACAGCTCAGTAAATAAATTATAATTTAAAAAAGAAAATTAATAAACTTGTTGTTAATAAGTTTTTCGATCCAGCCAATTTACATAGAGGAGAGGAGAAGAGCGACGGAGTTGTCCTTTACCTGCTGTTCGCAATCTCTTTCCCTCTTGCCAATCACCCATGATGTAGATTAATTAAGTTAAGGTACCCATGATAAAAGAATAAAACTTTTTAATTTTTCTTTTGTATTTTAATGTCTGAATAAAAAATATTTTAATTAAATGCTCAAACTTTATAAAATGTGAAATTACGTGAAGAATGCTGTTATAGACTATCAAAAATATAATTGGAACCAAGTGGCTCTAAAATTGCTTTGTTGACATCCGACATGGGCTGAGATGTGGCTTCCGAAACTATTTGCTAATTGACCATTTCGAACTAGACCAACTACTCCAAAACATATGTAACTAGGCCTAATTTTGAAGTCCAAACAAGGCATATGAACTAATCATCTACCAGCCGTGCCAAGCACTAAGAAGAGAAAAGGAGATACCCAAACAAGGCAGATGAACTAGCCAAGAAATTCCCAACCTTGGCAGTGAGAGGATAATTGCCATTAGCAATGGCTTTCTTGATCGGGCCCATCAAGATTCAAGAGGGCAACATTACTTCAACACCATACACATTCTTTTCAGGATTGTGAAAATGGAATTTTGGAAAATTCCATTCCATCAAATTCCTAGTGGTTACCAAGTCAGGGTCAAATTTTTATTAGGGCTGGCCCACTAAAGAGTAATGAATCCAAAGCATGAATATGCAAGTTCACGAATTGTTTAGAATAGATATTTCTTACTCGCAGAGTTGCAGTCATAATCAAAAAGGAAAAGCGGAAACCACTTTGGAAGGAACATAGATAACCCATGTTGGCCTACTTCAAGAATTACATTATTACTGGATCCAGAATACAAATAATTCATATAACCTTTCTTGGTCTTGATATTATCCAACTACAGTCTCTTCCATGCATTGCTTACAGTTATACTATACAAACATCAATGACTGAAGCGGTTAAACTGTTCAAGATTTAACGAAATGGTCTAGGAGGCTTTTCGAGGACAGCAGAAAAGAACACTTCACGATCATCATCTTTGTCCAGCTTAGGAACAACCATCCATTTATGCTTTCTGTACCTTAGCATCTTAAAAGCTTCTATATAATCATTCAAATCCTCTTTCAGACAAAAAAAGCTGTCAACCCATAGCAGACCGCCTGGCCTCAAAACTCTATCCCAGTCGTATAATATGAAGTCCAGTAGCACAAAATCAATCCAACCATCAAGAAATCTTGTTGTGTGTATCAAATCCAGTGTATTGTCAAAGAATGGAAGCCGTTGATTTATAGTCAAGTAAAGAGGTACAAGTCCGCGAAGAGCAATCATTTCATTAAAAGGTGCTCCAAGATTGACAGTTGCAGAGACTATTGTGACATTGAACTCTCTCATTCGAGCCGCGAAAGTTCCTGTTCCTACACTGAAATCCAATCCAATTCTAATTTCTCCAGGCTTAATGTTAAGCACTTCAGGTATCAGAAAATCTGCAGTAAGATTCATGTCAGTGTCAAGATTTACATGTTTGATCCACCTGGGCATTTCATGAGCTGTGAGATTGAAGCAATCTGCACATTTAAAGAATCCCTTGCCAGTGGTGTTCCTAGCCAGGCAAGTGAAATTTTTGCATCTATAGTGGCTCCACCGGACATTTCGATTATCAGGAAGCTTCCACATTGACTCGTTTATAGGGAATGGTTTGCTGTATAGTTGTGGTGCTCTTGAGAAACATCTCCTCCTTGGTAATGGATCACACCCATGAATCATCAGTTTTTGAGCTAGTTTCCAGTCATCGTTGCAGATTTCACCAACATCGTAGTCCATATATTCTTCAAGCTCTTTCTTCATGGCAAAACAAGCATGGCCAATACTTGTAAATGTTCCATTAGCTCCCATGAAGTTTTGTTTGCCTAGTCGGTTGGGTTTGATCCTTACATACTTGCGAATCTCTTCTATTAAGAAGAAATCAGCAGGTTCATCTGATTGTTGTTTTGGCGTTAATGGAGGATGGAGCTTTGTGATTTCAGTGTTCTGCTGATGCATTCCTTTATCTGTAGGCCAAGATGCTGGTAATGACTCAAGAACCCCCAAAATATCAGTAAGAAAAGTAATGTATCTGGATAAAAATGTCGCTGATGATGCATCTGTTCGCAAATCTTTTACCTCATTAATCTCTTCTAGTATCTTTTGAACAACAGATTCAACAGCTGCTACTTCATCACTTCTAAAATTGCTTTGACATTTCATATTGACATGATTGCACAAGGTATCAGAAATAAAAAGAGATCTGATAGAAAAGAATTTGGACATAGTAAAAATACAAATCAATACAGCTAAGATGCCAAGCATAAAGATTGGTCTGTGAAGTGCTCCACCCCACCTTCTTAACTTCACAGAAACATGAGGTTTCACCATTTATAAAAATTGGAAATTATCCACAGTTGGCAAAAGGACTACAGGAGGTTGAAAGAACTCTCAAAAAACATCACCTAGCGAACTGCATTTACTCATACTGTGGTTTCAAAGATGCCAAATTCACATGTAATAGATGATACTGATAAGAAGAATTCATAAAACACAAAGTACACAAGCAGTTATACAATACAGGAAACAAAGGAAGGGAATCTGTTAGAACACCAGAAACTTTGAATCTGAAAGGTATTGACTGGGGGAGATTGCAAGATCATATTATTTTAATTGGCAAACAATCTAGAAAGGAATTGTAAATGGAAGATTTTCGAGATCAGAGCCAGGAGTTCTATTTTATGATATACTTGGGAGTATTTCTAGTTAAACCTGTAGAATTTAGGTGGTCAACGCTTCCATCACTGTATAATTTTAAACCTAACACAATATATATTACTCACGCAGTCATAATCTCGTTTTGCTAAAAGATCCAGTTTTCCTGCAATAATATAATACACTAGAAACACTGAAAAAAACAAAAGAGAAAAATTCATCAGTAGAGTAAACAATAAACAATCACAAAAACAAAAACAAATACCTCATTCAAGCTGCAATATAAAACTCATCCAGCAAGAGTTATATATATATATATAGAGAGAGAGAGAGAGATTGGCGATCTAGCAAATTTTGCTCCTTTTTTGTAGCGCTTGTAAAATAAGACAAGAATGCAAACAAGACATGTGCCACTGCCTAGTAGACTAATTGGCCATGAAAACACTATCTCGGAAACGAAAAACAAAAGCATTCATAAGTTTTGTGTAAGAAAAAACGAAAGCAATAAAAAATGGTGGCGGGATTAAATGTTATTAAGTCGGTGGTTAGAGTTAGATGTACTTAAAAACAATGTTGTTTTCAACATAATGATAGACTAAACTCTTGTGGGTAAAAGATTGGTCGCAAGATCCCTGCATATTAACCTTAATCATTTACAGGTAAATACAGTAATCAAACTGCTAATGAAATGTTGGGACAGAGAGAAATGATTTAACACAGCATGATTTTGAGGGGATAAAAAAGAAAAGATCAATCATTCCATAGTGAAGATAAAAAAAAGAAAAAAAAAAAGGTTTAGTTCAATGTAATAAAACAGTAACACTCAATTCAATCCTAAGTTTCTTACAGCAAAAAAAAAGAGATAGTACGCTGTTTTTCCATTCTCTGCCTTAGCAAATCAAAATCACAATTCACCAATAATAAAAATCAAAATCCTACAAACTTAACTTTACCTACTCAAGAACAAAAATTTACAGTTCCAAAAACAAACCAAACAAGAAGACCTCAAACCAGTCACCACCAATGCATAAACAATCAAGATCACCTCCTTCTTCGATCCGCGGCATACTGCGACAAAGGCACGACCTCCGACAACGGTGTTGAAAGCGGAGTCGGAAGCGGCGAATTCCGACAAACCGGGCACGACCCGTTAAGCTTTAGCCAAGCATCAATACAACATAAGTGAAAAAAATGTCTGCACTCAGGCATCATTCGTAGCATCTCCAAATCTTTATACTCGCACAAACAGATCGAACAAGTAGTACTATTTCCATTTGAACTCCCATCCTTAGTGAACTGAAATTTCGGATACGAATTTATTACCGCTTGGTCAAGCCCAACAGCAGAGGTTTCTAGGTCACGTTCTTGGTCATCCTCATCTTCGGCGACAAATATAATGCGAGGAAGAAGTATACCATCGGGAACAGAATTAGAGTTGTCGTTGTCGTTTCCGTTATTATCATTATCGTTTGAATTAAAGGATCGATTGCGAGAGGCACGACAACACATGTAGGAAGCGAGGAGGACAGTAGAGAGAAGAACAAGAAAGCCAAGAGCTATGGCTATGGAATAACCAAGGCCAAGATTGGTTATGTAATTGGGGGAAGTGGGTGCGGTGGTGGTGGTGATGGGTGGAGAAATGGCGGGGATGATGGTGGTAGCGGTGGACATTTGGGTTTAAAGAATTGAAGGAATCCATTTGGAGGAGAAAGGGAAGGGATTAGGGGAGATTTTTTGAACGAGAGGTGGGTGGATTTTCCAGCTGCTGCATTTAATACTAGGTTTAGATACAGAGCAAAGCATTTAATAGATGATGATGAAAATTGAAAAGTTGTTTGCTGGGCTTGGGTTATGAATGGGCCTCGTGTCTGGGAATTGCAGGGGAGACTAATGGCACTGGCACGATTGGCGTCAAGGTTTCAAGTTGCGTTGTCTTTTTGTCTTTCTCTTTTTCCTGGTACATTCCGACATTGTGAACATAAAAATGGGTCAAAAGGTTCTTGGGATTTCTATGGAGTCATGATTGAAGTATGAGTCTTTGGTTCTTTATGCGCTGAATGCGCACAACTTCTACTCTACCATGTCTGGTGCTTCTTTTCATTGTAATTGCAAGTTGGAACGTTCTTTCATTCTCCTACCACTATCAAGTATCAACACAAATATGAAATAGTTAACATCAGTTAGATTCATTCAAATTCAAATGTAATTATTGTTGATTGAAATGTATGAATTGTAATTTTCCTTTAGTAAAGGTAAAGCAACTGCATAATTTTTTGGTACAGCCGAAAAGCAACGATAAATTACTTTTTCTGAAAAAAGGAAAGATAAAAAAAAAGGACTTTGATCATTCCTTTTGACCGGACATTCCAATTTGTCTTTTTGCACAAATGGCAGCAAATGAGCGGTGGATATTTGAATCACAAATAGCATTGGGCCCAAGTTCCTATTTTTGACGACATAATTTATCCTGATAACAGGCTAATGAAGCCCATCTTTCTAATATTCCATCCAGATTTAATTAAGCCAATAAGCCCGTTAGACTTATTGCATGCCTACACCTTTGTTTTGTCCCTGTTTGCTATAGCCTGCTCCCACCACAGACGTTCCATGGAGTATTATTTAGCAGTTGACTTTTATGCTAATTTTGAGATTCATTCGTGACTTCAGCAGATCAAAAATACAACTCAGCAAAAGAAGAATCGTTAATCAACACTCAGCAAAAGACTTGATTGCATTAATGTATAGCCTCCTTTGCTCCAAATGCATATGAATTTTCATATTTAGAACAATTTTTAAATTAAAAATTTATTTAATTTTATTTTTTAAAGTACCTTTTATATAATTTTAGAAAGTTGAGAGGATGCATAGTGTTTGTCATGAAATTTTAAATTATTTAAATTTATTTAATTCTTTTAAAAATTTCACATTTTTTTATGAATTTAATTTTAATTATATTCAAATCGATTTAATTCATAAATCTTTATACTAAACATAAAAATTTTATCAAATTCATTTATTTTAAAAAAGAATTGAGAAATTCATACATGGATGAGATTTTTTTTTTTCTCATGTATATATTTCCAATTTTCGATGGGATGAGTCAGTCGCTTCGTGTCTCGACAGAGAGATTTCACGTCATAAAGTTGGAATATTTTGATTTGTTTGTGATTGGAAATATGGTCCAGTACTTTAATGATGATTCAGTGATATGGACAAGTCGCTCACATTTTTTCCATTTTGGCATACTACATTGAATTCTGATATGGACAGCGTCAAAAACTTCAAGTTCAACCACCCAGCAAACTACGTCAATATGGGTCACGAGACACTAGGCAGTGGAGGTCTGTCTGATGCCTCTGTTGTTACTTGTTTGTGTGTAAAAATTCCTGGCCATTAGTCTTGCCCCTGCAGCCTCTTGAGCCATTTTTTCAGACTTAGATCCTTAAAACTATTGTTAGTCAAAAGTTCACATGAGCTTTTGGTCCCAAAATTTATTGACTTGGTAAATTGTGAAACTTGGTCGATCTCTCTATTAGTCTTTACAGTGCCAACAAACGCCAGTTTAGCCACTTCTCCATTGCCAATATGTACAAACCGGTACATCTCTCTTGCAATATAAGTATATAACAACTTCAGGAATTTATCAAAAAATAAAAAAATAATTAAAGTAGTAAATAATTTTATTTAACAAATACTCATCCTGACAAATTTCTGCCAGTTCTTCCCTCTTTCTGCAAACTAAAACACCAATCAATTTCAAAGTTTGAAGCTAGTAATGTTCCAATTATTTAGTATAACACTAAACATAAGAGATAAGATCAATTATTCCTGGAGCTACGGAGTCGAATTAAAATCCAAAACATGGATTAAAAAAAAAAAAAAATTGCCCATATTTTACATAGAAATGAAAATAAATATACCTATATCTCCCAATCCCCTAATTAATTATACTAACATAATATAAAACGAGAATTAACCACTCACACTCTCTAGACTAGAGGTCAACCTTCCTCTTGCATTTCTGTGTTTGAATTGCCTGGCTCGAAATATTAACTGTAATAGTGCAATTCATCTTCACAGTAGCATGCTTCTTGATAATATGGAACAATTTAACCCTACCTGGAATTTTTGAGTAGCTGCTCATAGTAAGTAGCCCGGAGCCAGCTTCAGTATTCAGATTTGGATTCGAAATTAGCTTGTCGGTGATGATTTCGACGGTAACATTCATCCGCATGGTCCGTCGGGCCTTTGCCCGGCCTGGCGGGCCACGCGCTTCTCCAACTAGCTCACCATAGTAAAAAAGTGCTGTGGAGGTGTTGTTGTACTTGAACGATGCTATGTTAGGATTTTTCACTGATACATCTGCAATTAAAGATATGTTTACACCTGGCTTTGGAATATTTGTGTTGTTGATTAGCTCGAGCTGTGTGATGGTTATGCCATTTAATCTGATGTTTGGGTTTTTGATGCGAAAAACGGTGAAAATTAAAATCACAATCACTATTGCAAGAATAAGGGATACAGCTGCGATGCAGCCGCAACATTTGATGCACCTTCTACGGCGGATTTTTTTTAATTGGTGGGCCGCTTCTTCATCGTCGCTGCTTGTGCGGTCCCTCGCCGGAGCTAGTGGCCTTACCTGCTCGCCCTCCACCATACCTACCGAATTTTTTTTTTTGGAGGGGTAAGATGACCGGAGAAAGGAAAATAAAGTGGGATGAAGTAACGCTATTTGAAATTGAAAGTGCTTGTGTTGTGGTTTTATTTATAATATGTAGATAGGTGGCATTTATAAAATTAAATTTTGTGTCACTTGTCATCATTTTGATCTAGATGTTAATTTTTTTATATATAAATATACTATGTGTTTTGTCCTAACCAAAGGTTGAAGAGTTGAATGTTGACTTTGTGCGGCTCATTTTATAAAATCTACTTAATTATGTGGTAATCACAAGTTTTGGTTTTAAATTTGGTTTTTCTCACATCTTAAACTAAAAGGTTTCCATTTTCCACCCACTCAGAATAATCTAATAGTATGACTTACTGCCCTTGCTTGAGTGACTGCTAGATATTTAATGTGATTTTGATTTTTAATTCTTCAAGTATCCATAAGTCATAACTAATCTCCAACTCAAGTAGGGCAACAATTAAAGTTGTTAATAACGCTTAATTACGATAAGTAATAGCTAAACTGCAACTTTAGCTGAAGAATGGAAAATTGGGGGAAAAAAAAAAAAGAGAAATCTGATTTAGACTTGTAAATCACAATCAAAAGACACTTGAATTGCACGTGAAAAGTACTTTATGTTGCGATACAATCGGACATGATCATCTCCAAATTAAATAAAGTAAACCACTAAAATTGTTAATAATGCTTGATTACCAAAACTATTCTACAACTTTAACAGAAAAAATGACACAAAAGGGGTAAATTAGTGTATATGCAGCTTAATTAAATCGATAAAATGGTTTCTAGACGAAAGGAAAGAATTTGGCTCTAATTAATAATGATACAATTAAGCAAATCTGCAACAGTATTGGATTATGGTATGGACAAGAGTCGCTAATGAGCAATTTCATGATTGTCCATCAACAACTAACCAACTTCTTCCTCCAAATTAATAAATGGATAACTTCCATTGTCCGGCAACTCTGCATTAATTTAAACAAATTGATTAGTTAGAAGTCTCTATCGTTAATTCACTCATCAATTGCTGCTAACTGGTTGTCTCGATGCAAAATTCAAGTAATTTAGCAAATATCATATTAAATGGAGATGTGGGGGTATCGATCCCCGTATGCGTGCGCTCTACCATCTGAGCTACATCCCCAATACATTAATTTTATTTCTATAATAATCTAAACCTATTATGAGTGAATAGACAATATTTTTTAACTTTTTACCCGTTGAATTTACCCAACTCCAAAAATTTTGTTTTTAACTTAGAATAACCTTATTAGTTAGATCAATAAAAATAGAATTTTGTTTTTGGAATAAGTGAAAAACTAAGAATTGTTTATACAAGTGCATAAAAGGCGAATCATTAAAAAAAATTATGTGTTTTAATAAGTGCCATACTATAAAGATTTTATTAATTTCTTTAATTTTAATTTACATTTGAATCAAGAGAAAATGATATACTTACGGAATGGACTTGTTATAATGTACAACCATAGGCTTATGTGCTCGACTTTAACTTTTTAAATAATATGCTATTAACGTCGTGGCTTTGAAATAATGTATTCCGTGAAACTGCATTAATTTTCAATAATCAAAAGGTTAGTTAAAAATTGGCTAGTTATGCCAGTTGTTAAGGTGATTTAGTTAGTATTACGGGCCTTGATAGGCGAGCAAATGATGTTCATAATTTCTTTTCTCCTGTATGGAAACAAGCAAACAAGCCTTTTTAAGACGAAATATTCATAATCAAGTTGAATACAGTATGAAATTTCAGATCGTAACACTCCATTTATTAGAAACTCAATGAGACTGAGTGGGAATCGTCTCCTCCGTTCCTAGATGATGTTATCAGGTTTGACATGCTTCTTAATAAAACTCCTTTACCTTTTTAAAAAAGTTGCATACAGTAGGATATTTGACATCTGATAATTCATTAACTAGTTTTTGGAAACAACAACAAATACATAAGAAAGCTTCAATTTATTCTTCTTTAGAAGAACCGAAGAAACAGTCAGAGAGAGTGGGGAGTTTGATCTCGCCTTTCGTGGAGAGAGGAATGGTAATGTCACCAACAATAGGAAGGTCAAAAGTGAGACCCAACTCCAATTCATAATCTATGTCCCAGTCTCTACTGACGTCCTTCACCAAGCTGACCAATATACTGTGTGGCACGTTCAATGGCACGGTCAGCACTGTTGTATCGCTTGCTTTCAGTGATCCTGGGTCTGGCATATTCCCCGATACGATCACTCTGATCCGCAACACAAACACTAATTAATCACAGTTCCAGTTTGATTTATAAAGTTATATATTGTCTAGAAGTTAGATCTATTGAACAAATCGACGTTTCAAATATGACGATCGAGAATTACGATTTCATAAATAATTCAACTCGTTCAACGCACATAGTTTGATCTCTCCGTTTATGATCGTTCATGGCTAAATCTTTCAAACAATTTATTCAACAAACAATTGAAAAGACGCGAAGAGAAAATATCAAACCTGCCATCGCTTTTGAGAGTGTAAGAGACCTCACAAACGGGCAGTGGCTGAGAGTAGGGATTAGTGACGGAGACTTTTGCTTTGTATTCTATGCGATCGCGGTGGATGCTACCCAGATCTACATCCGTGACGCTTGCCTCCGGCTTTTTAACGTTGGCTACCTTTTCCGCCAGAAAGTTCTTGGCCTTGTCCACCAACTGCGACATTGTAATTACAGAAGGAAAAAGCAAAAACAAAATGCAAATGAATAATTGATTCGGGAGAATCGGATGCTTACGGACACTTATATTGGCGTAGGAAATGCCTTTTTCAATTGATTCTTAGGTGTGCTGTGATTTTGACGCGTAGGAATTTCGTGTGTAGCTCGCGGATTTCTCCGCGTTAGATGATCTGTGCCTTGTTTTTTTATTTGTTTTTTGGATTAAGATTTCAGATTTGATGGATCTCTTTTAGGAAAATACTTAAATTTCAAGGCAAAATAATTTACGTGATGGACAGGGAGACTGGATTACACTTAAAGTGCAATGAGGCTTCCCATATCTTTTTTATTGATACACATGACATGGGCAAACCAAAAAGAAACTAATGCTATAGATAATTGAATTTAAGATTACTAACCTCCATATACAATTGTTGCTTGCAGCAGTTACACTTGAATATGTTTACAGATGGGGGGAAATGTTCGAGTTGGATGATTGAATTGCAAGTTTGTGAGGTAAAATGATGTATTCTCTTGAATGTTTGAAGCCCATAAAAAATCCTTAACTCTTTCTTTTGCTATTCTTATGGTAACTTCAACTGCTCATGGCCATGTGTAATTTTTTTAGCCCTTGTCCCTTGATCCTTTGTTCTAGGGATATTAGGGTGAAGATAATAGAATTTTAGGCCTTTTTTTTTTTCATTTTTAGAATGGATTCTCTCTCTTTTTTTTTTTTTTTTTTTTAGGGTGAAAAGATAATAGAAATTTTAGGCCTTTTTTTTTTTCACTTTTTAGAATGGGAAATTCTCTCTCCTTTTTTTTTTTTTTTTTTTTTTTTTTTTTTTTTTGTAGTTTTTTTTTTTTTTTTTTTTTTTTTTTTTTTCTGTAGTTTGAATATAGTCGAATTTGTATTTTGAAAAGTCACCGTTTATTATTATTATTATTATTATTATTATTTGTAAGCAAGTGATTGGATTTGTTGGTTTAGGGCCAGCCTAACTTTACGTATAATTACGATATACCCACAGAAAGCCGAAGCACCAACAAGAAAGCCCAAATACAAAACCATTACTATTGATAGTAATATTATTTGCATATTTCACTATCCATCCACAAAAAGATCAGATTTCACCAATAGAGTTTAAAATGTTAGTCGGTGTATTGGACTTTCCAATAAAAACAAATATTTTCCATTTCCATCATTATATTATATAGAATTATATATAAAAAGTATTTATAAAAAATACTGAAATAAATAAACAGGCATTCCATTATTTTGAGAGATGGAAGTGGAAATTTTCAAACAACTCACTGTTCTTTTATTTGTAGTTTTACCTTTGCTGTAGTCTACGTAATTACGAAATATGCTTATCGAGACATTAAATTCCAAACAGACCCTTAAAATGGCAAAACGTAATTAATTGGAAATTACTTACTTGTCCCCACCAAACAACGCATTTCTATGGCATGATCATGATTCATGACTAACGAGCTTCTCATTCACGAAACTACAGGGTCGCGTTTCAAACTACTTCAGGTCCATTTTAACCCTGAATCTTTTCACAATTTACTATACACATGTTCTGTCGCCTCGTAATTAAACGACAAAGCGAGGCCTATTGTGCCACAATGAACGTTGAAACGAAACGAAAACAAAAAGGACTTGTCTTTCTGGTTAACGGGCAGTTCTTTTTGCAAAGAGACCAAAAAGTTGCAGCGTTTACGATAACAATGTACATGAAAAAGAAGCTGGCTGTTTAGTTTCTTTAGAGAGAGAAAGGAATGGCAGGATTGGGAAGAGCAGAGAGGGGTACAACAGAGAGCCACGCCGTGGGAGCATCGTACTTGGTGGGGAAGTTGGCTGATTTATTAGAAGTCAGCATAAGTTCTAATAATCAGCTTAACGACCCTACCCAATTGTCTGCCCTTTGCATTTCTTTGGCCAGGTCTCCACATTCCTTTTTTTTTTTTTATATATATGTAATCAATAATTATCCAAAAAGAAGAAAGATATACTGTCTACTTCAGCAGCAATTTTGGTTAATAATGAAAGTTTCATCCTTTCTTCATTTTTTTTTTTTTTTGCTTTATGTAATTGGTGGTGGTTCTGTTCGGTTTTTTTTTTTTTTTTTTTTTCATCCTTTCTTCATTTTTTTTTTTTTTTTTGGCTTATGTAATTGGTGGTGGTTCTGTTTTCGTTTTTTTTTTTTTTTTTTTGGGAAACTGATTTTGTTTTTTTTTTTTTTTTTGGGAACTGATTAACTTTTTGTGCAACTGACCTAGTAGACAAATTGTAGTCAACTTCAGTGTGACGCTACTTATTTATTGAATTAGTGATATGTTATAATTGCCTGTAGCTGTTGCATGGTTTGATTCAGACCAGATAGAGGAAAATAGAATGAGTAATCCAAATTTTTTCATGTTTGGCTTTTGATGATTATGCATGGACTGTAAATTTAAATATAGTAATGTAACAGGGGAGTCTCAAATAAATTCTTTGACTCTTCTTTCTTTTCTTTTTTTTTTTCTTCTTGTCAGGTATTGTCTTGTGTTATTCTAGTTCTTTTCTCTTTGATTGATTCATTTTGTATTTCAAATATTCTAACTTCCTCCATCTTTTACTTATCTTTAATATGCTTCACCTACAACTACAGAGTCATTGATTATGCAATTGCATGCAATGAGGTGCCATCGAGAGCTAAAAACCTGCCATCATTGTTTAGACAGGTAACTTGTTACGATATATTGTAGTATATATGTTACGATATTGGCTTAACGTTATAGTCCGTTATTACTGTTGTTGGTTTCACCTATGAATTGGTTTCATTATGCTTCTTTTGGCAAAAGAACTCCGACAATTATATTTGCCAGATCTAAACAACTGAATTTGAAAATACATGCGGAGTGCCTTTTGTTTCCTTGTGTTCTGAAATTTTAAATTTGGTTATATGTGTCACGGTGCCAGAATCTCGGAGCCTTTGGCACGCGTGTGGCGCCTAGACTTTGCTCATCGCGTGTGGCGCCTAGACTTTGCTCATAGCTAAGGCCAGCCATGCATATTCGAAGGGTCTTAGCATCCTTTCCAACTGTAGGCCTCATCTAGCAATGTCTATCCAAGTATATCGCACTCCCGTATATGGGCTCAATGCCTTCGGGCATCTCGAGCAGCATAGTCCTGCCTATACCAAAACCTTCATCGCAAGAGAGATGCGCACTATAGTAACCTCTAGCGCAGGAGATACGCGCACTATAGGCCCTCGGCCCTATAGTGTCCATAGAGCTCCTTCCCTATGGAGACATCAGTCTCTCTCGCTAGACATGATGCCCGCACCTAGCTCACTAGGGCCGGGCCTCGCATCCTGACCCCGGGGCGGCGGAGAGCACTACGCCGGGTCTCCCCTCTCATATTCTCGGTCCATAGGCCATTCAACATGCTATTCTCGTCTCCAATAGCTTTACTTCGTCCATAGGGGCTCCATGGCAAGGCACCATGGGTAGGGATGCTGGACTGTACTTCGTCCATAGGGGCTCCACTACTACTTTCAGCAAAGCACAATACCATACTCAGCAACTGTACCCACTTCATTATAGCAAATATAGAATCCCAAACCAAATAGTAGTAGCAATAGTAGTAGCGCAAGAATAGGACAACACACTTAGGTTGTCGGAAAACAAATCTCCACTGAAACCCAGAAAACAACTTCACAGGGGCTGTTTCAACTTCCATAATCAAGCCTCAAAGAGGAAGCCCAGTTCGCGCAGATATTCAGAAACGCAGCAAAAAGGAAAATCTGGCAACAGAGCACACCACTGGAAGGCCAAGACACAATGTAGCTCACTGGGGGTTTTGCACTACATCTTTGACAAAGGAGAAGGTTTTCAAAAGCAGAAATACCTGTAACTGCAAGCAAATGTGCAATAACTAAACCCTAAATGCAAAAAGGAATCCACTAGAAAAATCACCAGAAAATTACCTAATTGGTCACAAGAAAGGAAATATGTTCCCTCAGCAAAATTAAAGCAACAACGTAAGCATAAAAGAGGAACTGCCCGACACACGGGATGAACTGCAATAGAATCGCAGCAAACAAACCTATTGAAATAAGGCCCAAAGAATGACGAATGCAACTCATGGTTGCAACGTCTTCTCTTCAAGCAACGTCGGAGAAGAGGAACTGGAAGTGAAAAAGACGCATTGGACATGCGCCAGCACGCGTGAACCAAAGCAGGAAGAAGAGGTGGCAAGTTGGGTGGCCATTCGCTTGAATCCGGCGACGCGGATTCTCGGGAGTGCCGCTGATTGCGGCTGAGAATATCCCTAGGGTGGGCAGTGGCTTCTCAATAAGGGAAAGTTTTGGGAACGTCTCTCTTCAAGCCAAACCGTCGAAGAGAGGATACTGGAGATGGAAAAAGACCATTGGACATGCGCCAGCTGCGTGAACCAGAAGCAGGAAAAGAAAGAGGTGGCGAGTGTGGGACCACTTCGCTTGGAAATCCGGCGACCGATTTCTCGGGAGTCGCTGAGTTTGGCGGCTGGAGACATATCCTGAGGGTGGGCAAGTGGCTTCTTCATAAGGGAAGTTTTGGGAAATTTCCTTTTTTTTTTTTTTTTTTTTTTTTTTTTTTTTTTTTTTGCGCTCTTTGGCCTCTTGCCATTCAGGAACATTCAATTCAGAAAGCATGGCCTGTATATCCACCGCTTTCTCCTCTAGCGCCTCAATGCGCTCTTTGGCCTCTTGCCATTCAGGAACATTCAATTCAGAAAGCATGGCCTGTATATCCACCGCTTTCTCCTCTAGCGCCTCAATGCGCCCTTTGGCCTCTTGCCATTCAGGAACAATTGTTGGCTCACCAACAATTACATTCTTTTCTATAAAAGCAGCAAGCTCCTCCACACAACAATCACATTACCAACACCCGACTTATTCGGTGTTCTGCGCACATGTGGGCAGCTCCCAACTCTTTGGTAAGCTCTCCCCACAACAATCACATTTCCAACAACCGACTCACATAGAAAACCCTAGCATGGAGTAATCATTTCTGCATCTAGGGCGAACTTTTTGCCCCCACTGCTTCTGACTCAGCGCCTCATGCGCCTTAAGTAGCTTGCTCGAGTCTGTTCCAAGCACATGCATCCCCCTGCCGGGTTCAAGTCATTGCATCTTTGCCTCAACTGCGCATACTGCCCCTTTTCTCTAGGCATGCTATGCATTCCCATTGAGATTCGACGATAGCTTGCATTTCAGTATCCATTATGCCGCTTGATAGCATCCCTTACAACTGCGCTCGAAGGAGCATACTACTCGGGCCCTTACAACTGCGCTCGAAGGAGCATACTACTCGGGGTGACATGATGCCACCTATTGGATACTGCCATCCATAGCCCGCATCACTTGCACGCCTCTATTACCCTTACTCAGGGATGTACATCTCAGCCAACATGACTTGCGCACAAGCCTCTAGCAACAGCCAACCATGTATAGAAACAACTAGCCTTCTTGGCTGTGATACCAAATGTCACGGTGCCAGAATCTCGGAGCCTTTGGCACGCGTATGGCGCCTAGACTTTGCTCATAGCCAAGGCCAGCCATGCATATTCGAAGGGTCTTAGCATCCTTTCTGACTGTAGGCCTCATCTAGCAATGCCTATCCAAGGGTCTCGCACTATCGTATATGGGCTCAATGCCTTCGGGCATCCCGGGCGACATAGTCCTGCCTATACTCTAACCTCTAGCGCAGGAGATACGCGCACTATAGGCCCTAGGCCCTATAGTGTCCATAGAGCTCCTGCCCTATAGTGTCCATAGAGCTCCTTCCCTATGGAGACATCAGTCTCTATCGCTAGACATGATGCCCGCACCTAGCTCACTAGGGCTGGGCCTCGCATCCCGAACCCAGGGCGGCGGAGAGCACTACGCCGGGTCTCTCCTCTCATATTCTCGGTCCATAGGCCATTCAACATGCTATTCTCGTCTCCAATAGCCTTACTTCGTCCATAGGGGCACCATGGCAAGGCACCATGGGTAGGGATGCTGGACCCCTACAATATGCTATGTAGTTATGTAAGCATAGTGTTGAAATTTCCACGCAAGCAGCTGTCATGGTGCTTATGATTTCTGTCAAGGTATTAAGTTTTTCATATTTCTCGTTTGGCAAGTAACAATTTTCATTTATTGTTGAAGGCAAAGTTTTTCGACTTTCTTTCAACTTTCTTTTTTTTTTTTTTTTTTTTTTTTTTTTTTTTTTTTTTTTTTTTTTTTTTTTTTTTTGTGCAAATAGCTAACAACCCAAGTCTGGAATAATTTGCTACAGAAATTTAAAAATTTCATGTGGTATACTGAGAATTATCAAATGGACTTTAACTTGCTTTCATAATAGAAGTATTTGAAATTTGTTTAAAGCAAAAAAGTCCGCAAGTTGGTTATAGATGACCAGCAAATGTCTCGTGTCTTCTTCTTCTCTCAAAATGAAGATTTCAGAAAGACCTTATGCTTTTCTTTTTTCTACACGAGTAGTGTCTCTCGTATGGTTGTCATGATGGATCCAGTGAAGCAACACTTGTCTATTTCAAGATAGGAAGTGGAACTGCACTGTTGTTTTTAATATTCTATTTGGAGGATGGATATTTCAATATATAAAGATTTTCAAGAACATTTATTCGATGGTCATTGTTAGAACTATTTTATCATTTTGGCCATTATGATTAGCGATACACAATTATTTTGTATTAAAAGGATAGGCCATTGCTTTTCTGTAAAAATATGTACTGTAATAGAGGCTGCGAAATAATTAATGCTACTTACGCCTGATAAGTATTTGACTCATAGTACTTTTTGGATGCTACTAGAAGAATGATTATTTTGCATTGAACTGGTGCTTCGGTGGTTATTTGCTATTTTGCATTGAACTGGTGCATTGGTGGTTATTTGCTTGAGTTTACTGTCAAGGTCTGTGTTTAATGGCTGGTAGAGAGGAGGGTGAACAAATTAGTTCTTGGTCTAAGCACCAGAGGGTCTTCATTGTTATTCAGTACTAAACTTAAAATCTTATCTTAGTTACCTTTTTTTGTATGTTTTAAATGGCTTAATAGTTTTATTAACAGTACTTTTCTTTTAAAAGCATTGATGTCATTTTGGCAGGCCAGGTTGATCTTTGAAATAAAAAATATTCTATAAAATGTGTTTAGGAAGAATGATTTTACTTTGAAGTTTATTACCTATGGCTGATCATTCTTGTTGTCTTTTGCAATTTATTTTTTCAGTTTCTTTCTTTTCACATTGTTTGTCTAGAGTTGATGGTACTTATTTTAATTATAATATATTTTGCTCTACAAAAAAAAAAAAAAAAATTATGCATTGTGCCTTTCTAATTCTTCTGAATCTTGTAAATGTTTTAACCTTGATGCCTCCATTAGAATGCTTGCAGGATGGGATGGTTCCCAGATACAGATACGGTTCACCTTCTTGCATTGGCTAAAGAGGTTTGTGATTTCTTAAAATTTCCTCTTTGGTAGGGATATTTCTTTATCCGACTCATATTTGTTCCTTTTTTTCAAAAATCATGAATAGGTATAAATTCTCATTGGTCTTTTTTGTAGAGTTTCCAGGATCTTCAAAAATCATGAATAGGTATAAATTCTCATTGGTCTTTTTTGTAGAGTTTCCAGGATCTTCAAAAATCATGAATAGGTATAAATTCTCATTGGTCTTTTTTGTAGAGTTTCCAGGATCTTCAAAAATCATGAATAGGTATAAATTCTCATTGGTCTTTTTTGTAGAGTTTCCAGGATCTTCGCCTCCATGGGTGGCTCAGGGTGTGAACAGTTTTTTGTTTTCTATTTTCTGTTTTTTAGGAAAACAGTTTTCTTAGAAAATAAAAACTAAAAACACAAAATGGAAACTAAGTTCACTTGATAATAATAAAAAATCATATTTTAATTTAACTTCACAAACATTATTCATAACTTTCATAGTATAAAATAAATTTAGAAATTTTTTATGTAAAATTTTTATGTAAAAGTTTTTTTTTGATTTTTATTAATTGATTATTATAATAATCAATATCATTTTCTATCATTTTGTAATTTTTTAAAAAATAAAGAATATAATGTTTTGTAATAATAAATTAATTATTTATTAAAGCATAATATAAATTTTTTTTTTATTTAATATTTTTATTTTTTTCAATGAAAATATTTATAGAGAAAAAATTATTTACAAATAATTATAAATTTTAATTATGAAATTTCAATTTTTTAAAAATGAAACAATTGGTAAATTTTTATTTATTTAAATATTTTTATTTTTTTCAAATGAAAATATTTATAGAAAAAAATTATTTACAAATATTATAATTTTAATTATGAAAATTTCATTTTTTAAAAATGGAAAACAATTGGAAAAAGTGTTTTTGTTTTAAAGGAAAACTCTAAAAAACAACTTAAAGCTGTTTTTCAAATCTTAGTTAAATTTTGGAAAACTGAAAACTGTTTTCTAGTTTTCTAAATAGAAAAATGATTAATTTGAACACATAACTTTGTTTCCCGTTTATTTGGAAAACTGTTCTAAGAAACTATTCTAGTTTTCCACAGCTGAATACAACCTAAAGTTTTCAATTTCAGTGATCACTGTTTTCTGTGAGCGGCCATCATCTTCACATTGTTTCCTTAGGATGAAAAATTGACTTTATTCTATTTTCCATTCTCTTTGATAATCTTTGTTAAACTCATATGCTCCGATTCTCATGTGAAGAAATAGTTGATTTGGCAAAATTGTGCGACAGAATCTTTCCATTATCTACTGAAGTTAAACTAGCTATTCAAATTCACTTATATTTAAGTACTTGGTTATATACCTATGTTTAATTGTAGGATGCTTTTATATTCACTGATTAGGAATAGAAGTTTGAAAAATGCTTTTATACTCAGTTCCATTCATGGAAGCTTATTGGTCTCTTCTCTGTGCATTTGCCTGTGCCTGCAGATTCTATCCTAAAATAAAGATGGGCTGTGTGCTTGTATCTCTGAAGGTCAAGGTAATTTTTTAAATGTCACAACTCAAACACAAGCAGGTCTCTGTAGTCTTTTATTTTTTATTTTTTTTCCCTTTAACTAAATTTCTTACCATCATCAACATATTTTGGCAGCATGGATATAGAGCAGTTGTGGCAGACTTTCAAGTTTTGAATAAGACAGTGGCTTCTCCACAAGTGGAAATTGTAAGTATGTTGTAGAAGAATGTTCATTTGATCATGCAATGTTGGTCTATAATTTATAGGAATTTGTCCACCTTTGCTGTTTATTTTGAGTACGACTTCATATTTCAATGTTCCAATATCCACCTGTGCCTGGAGTTTGAGATGAATCTTTCACTTCTCACATTGTAGAAAAAGTACAAGCGGAAATATTTATTTGGTTTGTGGTTTAAACAATCTCATTAAATTTTCATTGTAATTTTTGTTTCCATGTGAGTACATTGAATAGAAAATGGCTGATAATGTTATCCTCTTTTCCTTGTCTTCTTTATTTGCATTCAGGGTCTGTTTGTTGCTCAAATAGATAACATGAACACTTCCTCTTGCCTTGTGACTCCACCTCAAGCAAAGTATGTTTCTTTGTCTCTGATCTACATAATAGAATAAACTTAATATGATGTTCTCTTTTTTCTTTTCTTTTGTAGCCTTCTGGTAAATGGAAAGGGAGTACAAGGAAGGGTTAATGTCTCCTTGGTTTGTTTCACTTTCTCAGATTCTGGGTTTGAAGAATTTTCAGTATACCATTTTCTGCAGTGATTTATTTTTTGCCTTATATATGTTCTTGTGTATTCTGGATAAGGATACTGGACCACAGCTGCCAACGAATCTTACTGCAATACTCAACTGTGGAATGAATGTTTTACAAGCTGTTGGGCAGTTTGATGGTATGAATTGCAAATTACATTTCTAAGCATGCTTGTATTTGGCTTGAAACTCTACTGAATGTTGATAGAGTGATTTAAAAATTATGCAGGTGATTTTATCATTGTTATAGCCTATATGCATGAAATGTCATCTTTTGACCCTCCAGTGTTACAAGAATATGTTCAGCCAGTTGAACAATCTGATTCCAGTAAGAGAACTGATCTAAACCACAACCATCCAGTTCCTTATCTTTTGTGTATTGCCTAGCATCATTTTGTCCAAATTTTTCTTCAACAATACGACATAAGATTAACATGTGTTTTTTGTGTTGAAAAAATTAGGTTCTGACATCATGGATAAACCAACACAGATTTCTTTAAACTGCCCTATAAGGTACAAACTTGCACCAGTCACACTGTTATGCCATCTACTCAAATTGATTGGCTGAATACTTTCCTTTCTTCTCTTTGTTTCTGGTATCATTACTTTCAAGAAGTCAAAGTGCTTTTTCACATTCACATATAAAAGGGTTCTAAATTTTTGAGTCCATCAGTGTAGCAGGTCCCTGCCTGTCCAAGTGCTACTAAGTTTTTTCTAATTCATTTTATTATTTAAAACTTGGTGAAATTTGTATTAGTCTTTGAATTGGCTCATATGTTGATCTTCTGATGATTAGTATTGCTTGCACTTTCCTTATTTAACAGTAACAAACGTATTAGAACTCCCATCAAAGGACATTGCTGCAAACATCATCAGGTTAGAGTTTAATTCTTGCTGGTTCACTGTCTAATTCTTATATTTACAGATATATATTGTCCTTATGAAATATACTGGAAAGACAGATTAATATTAATACGTCGCAATAAGATGGAAATATAAAGCCAACCTGAAGCCAGCCTGCTATGTTGCAGAGAGCATGATTTGTGCAGAATAATCTAAAAGTTAAATAATTGGTTGGAAATAGTTAACTTATTTGATATGGATAAAAACATCACTGAACTTGTATTCTGAATGGATTGACTCTATTAACTTGATCAAATTGCATGTGTTTGCTTGTCTTATACGGGACATTGTTTTGCAAATGGAAGTTCCTCAGTTTGGTCTCATTTTGGTCCTTCAATTTTTCTAGATGGCAAAATACTTTGCTTTTGCTTTTCTAATTATACACATAATGATATTGCATGGGGTCTACTGCCAAGCTTCGCCTTGCCTTATTGACACTTTTATTAGGCTCCTAGGTGACACAATAGAATGATAGGCTCATCCACCAATTAAAATAATACGACTTAAATGTTTATTTTATGTAATGCATGTGCACACATGAAATATCTTACATGTAGTTATGTTTTTGCTTATGAGAGAGCCATGGTGCCAATGCAAGTGCTAAAGAACTTCTTGAGTTCCTGTAAGAGAATTAATGCTAAATAGCTTGAAGAACAAATACTTGTTTTTGCTTCAGTTGCTTGATAATCCTTGAAGTATAATTTCTCTAAAATTCTGACTTTTTTTTTTTTTGCATGAGCTAGTGTTTTGATTTCGAGAGTTTCATGATACTAAATTCAAGGAGGCCTTTGTGGTGTTGCCCCATTTGTAACCAGTCAATCTGCTACATAGACATATGCATCGATAAGAACATAGGCAATGTGAGTGATTTTATAAAATAATTCTTCTGTTATCAATTTTATGGTTACATGAATCCACTGTTACAATGTCAGATCTTAAGGGAGGTAGGAGAGAGTGCTGTTGATGTGATAGTCTCAGCAAATGGTTCTTGGAAGGTCGTCTTTGAAAGCAGTGATGATACAGATCAAACACATCATGCAGTCCAAGGTTGTCAAAAAGAAAGGCCTGAACCACATGAATCTAGTGGGTTGTCATCTGTTCCAGTTGATTTTGTTGATCTTACTATGGAAGAGGACAATACTAGTTATGACATAGGTATCTATTTGGGAATTCTCCCACAACTGTTTTTCTGCTCCATTTGGTTCAGCAGCTCCTGCTATGAGCATGGTTGGCTGCCCCACTACTGGAATATCTGAATTTTCTCAATGCACTTTTATGCCTCCATCTGTCCACACTAATGTTGTCTTCTCCTGTCTTGAATCAAGAATCTGTGGCTATAAATGGAGCAAATCAAGTGCCTTCCTCTCTATCACATAACCAAGCCTTGAGAAACATAAACTCCTTGATGCCGATGGAGCCTCTTTTGCTTCTTACCTGAAGATGCCCCAGGTAAGCAACTTATGTACATAATCCTATGGTCAATTTATGGTCTGCACCTGTTGTATTATTGCTGTTTACATGTTTCTCAAGATAAATTATATTGTCAAATATTTTCATGTGTTTTGTAGCCATTCTGTGATTTTAGTTTTTGCCTAACTGCTGTATGGTTTGAATAGGAAACATAAAAGGAGTTTACATGGGCATCCTTTTCAGTATTTTCTTCATTTATATTGTTATTGAAGAACTGGACATTTCTGACATAGTATTGTTCTTATAGGTTCTCAATGTTCCCATGCGTGGTGCAGGTGCGTCCAGCAGCCCCTACAGATCTCCCTTATTACATTACCAATCCTTTCAGTATTTCAACTCTCCTAACACGGGGACTGCTCAAGTTGCATTCCCGTCTCAAACCAGGTTCCAACCTTTGCAATGCTCCAATTTTTCTGGTATGATGAGGACTACTCAAGCTGCGACCCCACTGTACATCCATTTTTTAGCGCCCAAGCGGCGCAGATTGGGCAAAGAGGCAATTTCAATCAAGTGACAGGTACTACGAATGACGGTCAACCTATGCTTAGGACAGCTTCACCACCAGTCTCCCAGAGGACAAGAACACCGCCTTTTGTAGCAGTTCAACTCCAACCATCTGGAACAAGATCCGTACTGAATTATGCCACGGGTGCTCAGCATTGTAGACCAACTTTTGCAGAGAGGAGTGCAGTTGGGACAGCACAACCAGTCTCTGTGGCTGAAACATCTGGGACGTCAGCATCAACTGACAACTGGCGTCCCACAGGCAGAATGAGGGGAAGCCTCACAGGGAAGGCTTATGCTGATGCACTTAAGCTCATTCAGGAGTCCAACTACCCAATAAGTGGTGGAGCCACAAATTGAACTTGGGGGCAGCATATTATGATTGGAGCGGTGAAAATTAAAAATTTCGTGGAGGACTAAAATCAAAAGGATGAATAAAGCAGAGGCACCTAGAAAAATTTGGAGGTTAAAGGGGCAATGGCAAACAAATGCAAGTGTATTTTATCAGCCTGGGAACTTAAAACATTCAAGCCAAATGGTCTCAGAGGATAGAGGATAATATAAACTGTCATTTGGGTTGGGGGCTCCTCTTTGTATGTAAAATAACTGTTTTGAATACTTTTGTTCATATTAAAATAACTGTTTTAAATACTTTTCTTCATATTAAATTAAGTTAGAATGAAACTGAAGGGATAGGTTAAAGCAAACACTGGATGCTGGCTCAAAGTAACTTGACATGGGAAATGTGCAGTGGAAATTGTCTGCTAATTTCATGGAGACAATGGGATTTTAACTATGTAGCTAATTACATCCAGCCTTAAGGTTTTATACATTTTATAAACAAAGTAACAATAAAATACGGCACTGGGTATATCTAATTAAATTTAAAGATGATTGCAAGTGTTCCAAGAAGTAAAATGAAAAAGTTTATTGATTTTATGGTATTAACAGCCATTAATTACACAACATTGAATATATGTATTAGCTATTTAAGCACAGGAGTATATATGCAAAGAAAATGATAAAATTAAGCTTCTTTCCGGTATCGATTTGTTTAGAACCTGGCGAGGAACTGCATCTGCTTGAGAATAGGAGTTAGGGTTTCCATGAGCTTCTCACAGGGATGGTTATGGATTCCCTCGTATGTTGTGACTACTATGCTCGTGTCCTTCGACAGCCTTTGCACTTGCTTCTTCACGTTGCACGTGTGGTGGGTGCACCGATAGTAGCTCCTGTTTTTTTTTTTTTTTTTTTAAATTAATTACAAAATAGCAATTGTATTTCAGAATATATTTCATGCTAATAATAATTATTAATTACTGCAAAACCAACAAAAGTTATTTAATTGTCTTGATTTTATATATCAGTAATCTTTAATTAAGAACTATCTTCGCTATTAGAAGAAACATAAATATGGGTTTAGCTCACATAAAATGTAAATTATTATTATTATATTATAAAACAAAAAAAAAAATGCCATGCAAAACAAAGATAATGTTTAATTAGGACCTGGGATGAGTGCTGTTCTTGACAGCTTTTTGTCCATATTTTCTCCAGCGGTAGCCATCATCAAGAATATCATCAGCACTTCTCGTTTGGAAAGCAAACCTTGGCCTTGTATGTTTCTTCACTCGGCTACAAATCTTTCTTTTCTCATTATTATTATTATTATTGTTACCGATATTTCCTTTTCCTTCCTCACCTATATTAACTACAGAACCTCCTTCCATACTCATTAACCCATTCTCAGATTGGGCAGCAGACAGAAGGCTAACCCAGTCAATATCTGGAGCTGGAAGAACATGACCCTCCAGGAATGGAGCTGCTCCAGGGTTCAACGCTGACGATGGGAGTGATGATGGGGCCGGCATGAAGAGATAAGACGGTGAAGGTGGTGATGGGGCTTCTTGGCCTTCCATTTGTGGGGCTCCAAATAGAATGATGAGGGGGAGAAATGACAGTTGAAGATTGGATATTAAATAAATGAAAAGATGTAAGGAACTAAAGTTGTGGAAGGTGAGAAGAGGTTGGAGAGAGAGAGAAGGTTATTGAAAGGAAAGAAAGAAGCGAGTCATTTGCGTCTGAAATACCAATCTTGCATCCAGTGGTAAAGCCAACTACATTTCACCTACTTCGGTTCAACTGCCCTTAAGTTAAAGGAGACGTACTCACCATATCCTTTCCGTTCGTTGTCACCAAGGCTTTGCATGTATATCTTAGTATTTCCAATTCAAAATTAAAACTAAAGTTTCTTTCTACGTTTGTGTTTGATACTGTTTACCCACTATTGCAAGGAACTTGGTGTGAATCTGTCAATTCTTCTAATGGGAACATATTGATCATAATTAGGAACTTTTTCTATTTAGGGCAAATTGCATAAGATTTACAAACATTTAACAAAATATTGGTTTATCATATAAGAAGTATCATCATACATTAATATCATAATATTCACCATAATCAGTCAATTATCTTTGTTTTTTTTTTTTCTAAAACGTGATGATTCAGTCATTTTTTTTTTTTACAAAAAATTTCAGTCCAAAGTAAAAAGTAGCCCATTCCGATTTTAAACTTGACGAAGCATTTAAAAGTTTCAAGACCGTTTGCCATGGCCCAGGCCACGAAGGACAAGAACAGAAAGAAAACTCCAATATCTTAATGAACATATTAGTCGGCACTATAGAGAGGGCCCCAGTCCATAACTTTATCGCTATCAGAGTTAAATTGACACCCGCCAACCAAACCGTTCCCACTTTGTAGCGTGGAGTTCCTGGCAATGGCATAGCCAATATGATCTAAGGAATTAGAGATAGTCCTAATTAGTTCACCAATAGTCTATCTTCCTAATTATCACTTTCTTGATGTTTTATTTTAACCAAAATAACATAAAATTTCATTCAAATCAAGATTATACATCTACTTTATTAAGGAAATCCAACAATGCCAATTAATTAGAACAACGTTTTACATATTCCTCCGCTCTCAAGCACCAGAAAATGGGCTCAGCTCAATCGTTAAGCCCAGAATCGAGTTTGGGTTAAATGGCACATAGGTTAAATGTTCATCCAAAAACTAAAAACGAAATTTTTTTGCAGAATTTCTGTATTTGAATTGGAGGGTAAAAATTACTAGTTGGTTAATTTCGTTTTGCGTGTCATTAACATCACCATTAGTAATATACTTTTTTTGACATCAGAGATCAGATCCATTTCTTAACTAGCTGGAGAATAAGATTGACAGAGAAGATACTCTCGAGGTTAAAGAAAGAAAAGAAATGGGGATTCAAACGGGTTAGCACGCTGCGTTATGGGAAATTTAAAACGCACTGATTTGGGAAAGTGCCCCGGTTCGGTTCTCGATGTAAACCGAATTTTGCTCTCCCCAGTCCCCAGTGTAGGCGTGGATTGCAATCCTACAGTTATAAATAAACTCGTGAATCGCCATTAAACGTGGCGCAGCCAAAGCGCACTGACTGTTTAATCTCTCCCTCTCTAATTCTCCAACCCACACATTCCGCAAATCGGCCTTTTCTAGGCAAAAGAATAAAGCCCAAATAATGGACTTGCCACAAATTATGTTTTCTACAGTTTTTCGAAATTTCGAATAATTACCCATTTTTTCAGTATATATCAAAGCTGTGTTAAGGGCTTATCTCAGTCCTAAAATTGGACTTCTTATCGAGTGTATTAGAAGGCAAAAGATCAAAATTTTCTTAAATAGTATTAGTACTTCCAATTTTATTTCATATTGAACTGGCAACCCCAAAAAAGTCCACTTCAATCTTCAACCCCAGCCCATTTCTTCTTCTTCCTTTTTTTTTTTTTTTTTTTTTTTTTTTTTTTTCCTTTTTTTTTTTTTTTTTTTTTTTTTTGTGCGTTCCAATCTGTAACGCCTATTCCGTGTCGAAAGAGCTTTGAAACTGATTTTTTTTTTTTTTTTTTTTTTTTTTTTTGTGCGTCCAAATCTGTAACGCCTATTCCGTGTCGAAAGAGCTTGAAACTGAATGAGGAAAATCTTTCAGTCTCCATAATCACCACCCTTAAAATGAGCCTAACTGTCTCAGCATCCAAGCACCAAAAGCTTCTCTGCATCTTCCAATCCTCTCTTGTCCTCCGTCATTTCTCCTCTGAGCAAACCCTATCCCTATCACCACAACAGCAACAAAAAGATGACTCAATAGTCAATGAAGCAGTGCAACTGCTTCAAATCCCAGACAATGACTGGAATACAGCCCAACTTAATCAGCTTCTCTTTTCCGATCCCGTCCCTTCTCCTCGCCTTGTGTTCCAAATCGCCCGCCGCTTGCCCTCCTCCTCTCAAGCCTTTAAATTCCTCCAATATCTTCAAATCAAATCTTCTTCACCAGATACCGAGGCCCTCTCCTCCACGTTCCAGGCCATCTTTGAGCTCGCTAGCCGTGAACCTAATTCTCGCAAGAATCTCTATGACCTTTACAAGACGTCGAAAAAATGGAATATTCCACTTACCATCAATTCTATCACGCTCCTGCTTCGTTGCTTTGGAAGGAATGGATTGGTCGAGGAGTCGCTTATTTTGTTTAATGAGCTTGAGAATTCTCTCAAAAACACGCATGTTCGAAATGTTTTGATTGATTTGTTATTGAGAGCTGGACGTGTTGAAGATGCGTTTGAGGTGCTCGACGAAATGCTTCTACCAGAGTTTGATTGTCCTCCGAATGATGTTACTGGAGGTACTGTTTTCTCTTGGTTGATGAAGAAAGAACGGTTAGGGAGATTGGCAACTCAAGAGGAAATTATTGAATTGGTGTTGAAATTAGGTGAACATGGTGTTTTTCCTAATTCAATTTTGATGACTCAGTTAATTGTTATTCTGTGTAGGAATGGGAACAGTGATAAAGCTTGTAATCTTTTGCTTGAATTGATGAGGCTTGGGGCTGCTTTGGAGGCGGCTCCTTGCAATGCTTTGCTAACAGGGTTAGGGAGAGATAGGGATTCTGATAGAATGAATAAAGTTATGGCAAAGATGAAGGAAATGAACGTTGAACCAAATGTCATTACTTTCGGGATTCTCATTAATCACCTCTGCAAGTCTAGGAGAGTTGACGAGGCACTTGAGGTGTTTCAAAAGATGAATGGAGATAAAGAGAATGATGGGGTTAAAGTTGAGCCAGATGTTGTCATTTTTAACACATTGATTGATGGTTTATGTAAAGTTGGGAGACAAGAAGAAGGTTTAGCTTTACTGGGAAGGATGAAGTTGCAAAAAGGGTCTTGTCCTAATACTGTTACCTACAATTGCTTGATTGATGGTTTTTGTAAGGTTGGTGAAATAGAAAGGGGCCTGGAGTTGTTTGATGAAATGAAGAACGAGGGGGTTGTACCAAACGCTAGTACTATTAATACCTTAGTTGATGGTATGTGCAAACTTGGGAGAACCAATAGTGCAATTCAGTTTTTTGATGAGATGCAAAGTAAAGGTCTGAAAGGCAATATTTATGCTTATACTTCCCTGATCAATGCTTTTTGTAACGTGAACAATATTGGGAAGGCAATGGAAGTTTTTGATCGAATATCAAGAGATGGATACTCTCCTGATGCAATGGTTTATTATAACTTGATCAGTGGCTTGAGCCAAGCTGGAAGGATGGATGATGCTACTTCTGTCTACTTAAAGTTGAAAGAGGCTGGGTTCCGTCCTGACATTTTGTGTTATAACTTTTTGCTTAGTGGCTTGTGCAACAAGAACAAGATGGATAAAGCTTATGAAATACTAAGAGATATGGAGGAAGCTGGAGTGAAGCCAGATAGTGTCACATACAACACTTTGATTTCTTATTTCAGTAAAATTGGAGATTTTGAACTTGCTCGTAGAATGATGAGAAGGATGATAAAGGATGGTCTGGCACCTACTGTTGTCACATATGGAGCTATAATACATGCATATTGCTTAAACGGGAATGTTAATGAAGCAATGAAGATTTTCAAGAACATGAAATTTGGTTCGAAAGGAGCACCCAATACTGTAATCTACAATATCCTGATAGATTCCTTGTGCAAGAATGATAATGTAGAACTCGCACTTTCATTGATGGATGATATGAAAGTGAAGGGTGTGGAACCGAATACAGTAACATATAATGCTCTTTTTAAAGGCCTTGAGGAAAAGAAATGGCTGAAGCAAGCCTTTGAATTAATGGATAGAATGTTAAAGCAGGCTTGCAATCCAGATTACATCACCATGGAGATTTTGACGGAATGGCTTTCTGCTGTTGGTGAAACAGAAAAGTTAAAGAACTTCGTTCAAGGATACCGAGTTTCAGACTCAGCTGCTTAGAGAACGGGAAAATGTGATTGTTTGGAACACACTGGTCATTTGAATTGTATCTTTTTATGGTTGTTGCAGTTATTGGAGCAGAACTAATGTTTAGAACTGCAGTCCGCAAAGTTGTTTTCATGTCCTCATCAACACTGCAATTCCTTGCAACCTATGGTAGGTTCACCTCCTTAAGTTTTAAGGATGGGAAAAGGAGGTGGTTAAAAGAGCAGCGCTAACATAATTGCAAATTTGATTTGTGGTTATTGCAAGTTATAAGGTATTTGATTATTAGAGGATTTTGTAGCAGAATCAAAATTCTGAAGTTAAGCTTAACATTGCCAGGTTTTCTGGCTTCCCTGGGTCGTTGCATGTTTAAACTTCTACCAAGGAATTGCTCTAAAACTAATTTATTAATAGTTTTTAATTTGTTGTTATTTCTATTATAAATTTGATAAACGACAAAGCTTACTGTGATAAATATCGCCTCATTTATTTGACCCTGACAAATCAGTTTTGCCGAGTGATTTGCATTCCGTGGAAATAACAACCAATTTTTGTTTCTAGAAAAAAATAGATAAACAAGATCTGGTTCTCCCTGAGAAACCAAAGAGGAGCCAGACCATATCTGCCCAAGCCTGCAACTTCCGCCGTACATCATATAGCATATACCACACATGATTCCTGCCCTTGAAGGCAGTATGTCAGGGTCCATGCAAGACAAACTATATGCTAGTATTTTTTATACCAGTTGATGTCTCCTACTTCCAAGTCCTGTATGTATATGTGTAAGTCTACCCATTTGAATTAACAGTTCAAACCAATTAACCAAAATTATGGTTTAGTTAGAAACTAATTTTACTAATGGCAAGAAACTGAATTTCATTTTCCACTACCAACTCTCACCTCATCCCACAGGCAAAAAGGCAACGATGCCTTGAAAGATTCTACTACCAAGATGATACAAGTGTATACAAGAAAAGAAAAGATAAGATAAGAAAATGGAAAAAATTAATAATAATAACAAATATGTTTTAAAAAATATAAAGAGCATGGTATCCACGTCAGCGATGGTTTTCCGGGTAGTCTCAGATGCTACTAGCCGCAGTAGCAGCATTATTCGCTAACCACGGGGGGCCAAAATTAAAAGAAAAATGATCGGACAAGTGGTCTCCAGTGGCCGGATCGGCGAGTTCTTCCAATCCAACGAAGAAATCATCACTCACAGCCATATCTGAAAACCCACCGAATTCGTCTTCTTCGTCATCTTCTATCATATCCTTTTCTTCTCTGCTTTCTGTGTTTGTACTTTGGGGTAGAAGCTCGTCATCCATGGAAGTCGCAGGTGATGAGCAAGCGGGTTTGCCTACTGGCGAGGGTTTGTTAGAGTCGCTGGCAGTGACGTTTTGTGGTGTAGTGGTTTTCTGACGGGTGCTACCAGCGAGGGAATTCCGGTGGGTTGGTGCAGGGTGGTTATGCTCCCCTGTGTACGTAAGTATGAACATTCCCGGGTCGGATCTGTTCCGCTCCACTTGTTTTCGGGCTAAACACCCTTTTGAGCTGCTGCATCTGTAATATCCCCTGTTTTACGAGACAACCAAACAAACCTCAGTGAGAAAACATGAAACCAAGCCTTGACTAGACAGCACGTAGGAAGTGAACAAACAAACAAACAAACAAAAAAAAAAAAAAAAAAAAAAAAAAAAAAAAAAAAAAAAAAAAAAAGAGAAAAAAAAAAGGAAGAAAAACAGAACTAGATATATTACCTAGGATATTGCGGAGAGCCTTTTGAATGGGTTTTTGACCGTAATTTTTTTCGCCAATGCCCAATAACAATCTGAAGAAAGCGCCTCAGCTGGTACTTGGCAATATACTTCTTTAGCTGGTTCTTCTGTGGGGAAAAAAAAAAAAAAAAAAAAAAAGGAAGAAACGAACTAGATATATTACCTAGGATATGGAGAGCCTTTGATGGGTTTTTGACCGTACTTTCGCCATGCCCATACATCTGAAGAAAGCGCCTCAGCTGGTACTTGGCATATCTTCTTTAGCTGGTTCTTCCTGTGGGGATTCACAATAACTATTTATTAGCAAAAAGAAGTTTGACTTCTGCCAAATTCATTTAAAAAAATAAACAAAAAAGATTGATATAATTACCTTCTTTTGGATCGAGGAGTATGAGAATTATTTGCAGAGGAAGTAACAGATTGCTTAGGCTGTTGCTGCTGCTTTAGATGAGTTTGTTCCTTAGAATTAGAAACACCAAAAGAAGAAAGAGAAGAGATTGGTGCAGATTGCGGAGAATAAAGAGTGAAATGAGATTTAGGGAAAAAAGGCTTGTAAAGGTCATGCAACTCTCCGATAGCATTTCTCGTTTCAAATGGATCTGGAAGAGAGAAAAGAGGGCCAGTTGGAGCCGTTTCACTTGCAAAAGACTGAGGATTATAAAAATCTTCTCTACAGTTAAAGGAATTAGCAGAGTCTGCTGTGGTGGTGGAAGTAGTGGAGGAAGAGGCAGAGGCAGAGGCAGAGGCAGAGGCGGTGGTGCAACCCCTAACCACAGCTTGGAGATCCCAGTCATCATCCATGGCGAGGAGAGAGAGCTCCAATTAGAATCTGTACTAATATCAGAGGGAGAGAAGACAAAAGAAGGCGCTGACTTTTTTAGATATTGAGAGAGAGAGTGTGAAAAGGGCTGATATAGCATATAGGGAGTTGTAATGAGTAGTAGGGAAACAATAATATATAAAGAAGAGAGAGAGAGAAGGGGTTGGCAATTTGGCATCTCAATGTGGTTGTCTTGTCTGTTACTGTTCACAATTTTCTCTCCGACAATTGAAAACCGGTTTTGGTTTTTTGGGGTTGACTTGCAAAAATGTCAAAGGGGAGAGTGTATGTGAGGGTGCGGATTGAAAAGTCCACACGCGCTATTGCAACTTACCGACAAATTAGAAAAAAGAAAAATACTAGTGGTGGCCAGTTAATTAATGTCGTCTATCTTGGGCGCTCCAATCAAAGTACTTTCTAGTTTCTACTGCATTTCCATGAAGCCAACGAGGCTATTACTTTTTATCCACTCCTTTTTCTTTTTTTCATTTTTCCTCACTTTATATTTATATAATTCGAAATACATAATAAGCTTAATAAATGATATTTTTCATTTTACTTTCTTTTATATTTATAATAAGCTTTAAAAAAGGGCATATCAAGATATAATCGGTGGGAGTTAACTATAATCTCAGAGAAATTTAAATCTAGAATCAGCATTATTAAAATGATTTTATCTAAATATCACTCATTAACTCAAATAAAAAAATACATATATAAATTAAAAAATCATAATAAATTTAATAAAAATATATTAACTTACATTTCTCACTTTATATAGAATTATAGAAGATGTTGAAAACTGGATTATCTCTCGTTTGAAGAAAAATTTTCAATATCAAGGGCCTCAACACCATATAATATATATATAATTATTTTACGACGTTTGTAGACGGCAGAAATTTCCACCGGAAGGAATCGAATTTGCGCCTACAGAAATAGAATTTTACAACTTTAGTTGGCAATTGGAATGCCACTATCCGCCAATTTCTAATCCTTCCCTGTGGATAACTTGTATGTATACTACTTTCTGTAGACAGAGACAGTCAAGCACGCCACACCAAAATCTGCGGGTGTTCGTTTCTCGCACGTGTCAATGCATGCACTTCAATCATAACTCCTATTTACACTCCCGAATTTCACTTCATCCACTCCATTATTCTCCTTTCGAGGTCAATTTGCAATTGGAAGTAGCAAATGGCACGTGTTGGTTTTAAAAAGCGAGTCACCCTTTTTTATATAGTCGAACGAGTACGCGCTGACTTTTATTCCGTCCCTCAACGAACAACGGTGCGTTAAAGTGGAGTTTTAGATATAGCGCGTGACGGTGCAAGAGAGATAAGGCGAGGTGGCATTTGACAGCTGGCAGATTACAACGGGCCCACATCTTCGTTGCGTGAAGGAGGGAAAAACTACATAAAAAAAGAAAAGAAAAGAAAAGGCGATGGCCGTTACCAGCCATCGCATGCCTCGTGATTTTAAGTAGTTGTTTCCTTTCCCTCGAATCCTATGACAGAAGATCCAACGGTGGAGAAGGTCCTGGGGAAGTGTAGCTGACCAGGACTTTTAGGACTTTTTAACGGTGGATGATGCGGTGAGATTTTAAAAGAAAAACATAAAACAAAACGGTGTTGCAGAGATCTAGACGTGGGTGGCACGAGGCATTGAATTGAATGGCAAGCGTGTGGGGTCAGATGAGTGAGTGGGAGTCGATTAAACAATTCGCATGGTTGACAAAAAATTAATAAAAAAAATTACAATCAGAGTTGATAATACTAGTAATAATATTGCGGTTAAGGTCAAAGACGTAAAAAACAAATGGAGTAACAACAGTAATTAGTGACGTGAAGATAGTGAAAAATGATGTCAAAATTATATGAATTATTAATGAAGAATCTTAATGATAATAGGCGCAGCCAAAAACAAACGGAGGCAAACAGACACAACATGTGAACTTCCTTTCAAATGGCTTTTTTTTTTTTTTTTAAATTTTTTTTTAATTGAGTTATTACCATTATTTTATGACATGTACTCCAAACTCCGTTCTCATTTTAATCACTTGAGTTAATGCAAAAGAATTTGACTTCCATGAATCCGATGGACACACCCATGACTTCAATTGAGAAAAAATATATATTTTTAAATTATTTTCATTTTATCTTTTTTTAAATAAAAATAATTTTATTTAAAAATTTATTTTCCGCGAATGCAAGTCTAAATTACTCTGTAATTCAAATTGCAAAATGACAGTAACTTTCAAAATTTACACACAGCTCCGTTTTCATCTTCATTTTTGGTTGGTGTAGGTAACCCAAACCAAAAGCGTTTACTCCCCAAAGTTTGTCCGGAACTGAAAACTGAAGTTCTAATAGCAGTCTTTTTGGGAAAGTTGACTATAAGTGCTTCATTGCCTAATTGGAGACGATGATTATATTGCAATGTAAATGTTGTAACACAAATCAAGAAAAGAAATGAGAGATTCATTATATGGAGCGGAGCAGGCAGAAGCAAGAACCACTTCTAGCTACCTCTGTGGATGAATATTATAGTTATAGAGGTTAAAGACATTCACAAGAAAAGCATATTTTACTCTGTTACATTATTGAGGTTATAATAATTGCTTCAAACTACAAACCAAAAATCATAATGATTAAATTAATAACGGCTTCAGAGTATCTCTGCTCTGCATTCCCTTGTTAGCTCATAATCAGACATGTTTGCACATTAATTAATGTTTAAATTGTTATATAATGGATAGGTTGATAGTGTTTTTTAAAATAAATTTGTGTATTTTTTTTATAATTGATCATTTTAAAATTGCCAAATTTTTAACCTAAATAAAACAATAATAAAAAAACTAGGGGCATGAGCTCCACAAGTCGTGATGGGGATAATGTATATTGAAGAAGAGAAGAAGAATTTCCAATTTGGTCCACCACCACTACCACCTACTATCTTGGTACATTCCCTTCTCTTTTTCCTTTTCTCTTTACACTCCCTATCAAATAGGGATGGAGATTTTTTTTTTCTTCAATTAAAAAAAAAAAAAAAAAAAAAAATTATAAAAAAAAAAAAAAAAAAAAAAAAACCTACACAGCCACGAATCATTGATTTCCTTCTCTATGGTAATAATTCAAATAAAACGTTAATAAATTTATTATGCATAAATACTGGTGAAGTTCAAAATAAAAATCATATTATTATTTTATTCTTATAACTATTGAAAGAAAATATTTTATTTTCAAACAGTATAAGTATTCTGGTAAGTGCTTTCTAATCTTTTATCATACCTAAGTTTGAATCCCTAATGCCTAACCCAATACTCTCAGGGGAAAAAAAAAAAACCAAAAAGAAAAAAGCTTTGTGAGAACATAACTCTTGTGGGTATCTTTCTGTCATTTCCCATAAGGGAATGAGTTTTAGGACATTAGTTAAGAGTCTTCAATTTGTTGGTCAAAGAATTAGACTGAAATTCAAAAATGTCCTTTGAATCCTAATTCTATCCGTCAAGTAAGGAATTAGGATTGAACGAGACTTCAAAGATTTTGAGTTACAAACTTTCGAGTATGGCAAATAATGGATTACCGGAAAATATAGTGGAGACTGTGGGGTATTAAATATCTTACAAATTTGTGATTTTTCTTCTTCTTTTTTTTTTTTTTTATATTTTATAATTTTATAGAGAGAGTGAGAGAGAGAGAGAAAGAGATCATATTATTATGGGTTTGGCGAAAGGACATATCACTACTGATAGATACGTTTGCTATCAAAGAAGATAACCACCCATAAGCTGCCCAACCAAACCTTCCCCACTAAATTTTATTCACCCATCAGTTTTTCTGATTCACTTTCTTTCAATTCAATTTGTGTGTGTTTATGTGAGAGAGAGAGAGAGAGAGAGAGAGAGGCAGCACAGCACTTTATAGTGGAATGCACTAGTAAAAATTGCGGGCTCCCACCAAAAAATAGAGGCAGTGCAGTGCCAACTCCAAGTGTCTCCTTCCTTATATGTGTGATTCATGGACAAAAGTGAAGGTGAAATTATACTTGCAATTTGAGCCTTCATTTGTGCAAGCTCCATCATTAGAGGCTAGAAATGAAAAAGTCCATCAACAATTACTAAAAATGGTGAAAGTCAGTCACTGGAACTCAAACCATACTGTCATTAACTACTTTTTGCATGGAAGCAACTTGCATTTTCGGAATGGAATAATAATTATAATAACGAGAATTATTAGATAGAAGATATTATATATAGAGAAATTATTAGATAGAGATATTATAATATATATATAATATAATATAATATTTTCATCTTGCCATTGAAACCTAATTTATATACAAACCTAAACCTTGACGAAAGATCAACCCTAGTTAAACTTTGAACTTTAAAAAAAGAAAAAAAAAAAAAAGTAACAAAGAAATAGGTTGATCTTATGGGGAAAAAAAAAAAGATAAACCCCAGAGAGCGGAGAACTTTAAAAAATTTTGCATTTACGTTTTTTTTCTAGTTTTGATTGGATTAAGATTAAAAAAAAAAAAAAAAGTAACAAGAAATAGGTTGATCTTATGGGGAAAAAAAAAAAGATAAACCCAGAGAGCTGGAAACTTTAATTTTGCATTTACGTTTTTTTTCTAGTTTTGATTGGATAAGATTATTCTTTTATTTTATTTTATTTTTTGTTGTTTTTACCATTTTAGCAGAACAATATCTCAGCTGACACAGTAAATTTCAAATTCCATTCCAGCCCGAGTTCAGTTAAGATGTTGATCTAGAAGAAATTGATGCCATTTCGAGAGTCGCCACGTTTCATCTTACCGATGCTATTAAATCAAAACATAAGGGAGAAGATAAATAAAATGAATGAAAAACAGTTGAAAGAAACGGCAAGTCGTGCCCAGTATATAGTAGAACACAAATAGAATGAAATTTATTTTGTTTTTCATTTCAATAATTGGCTACACAACATAGGATGTCCATTATCATCTTTACGGAAGAGCTCAAGAACTTTATACAAAGTAGCAAGTGATGTCAAATCGAAACCAAAGTTAAGAGATGCCAATTTTTCTGCCGATACTCACTATTTCATTTAGAAAAATAGAGAGACGAAATACTCACTTAAAAGTTTAAACAAAAATAAAATAAATAATAATAATAAATACTAAATTCATCAATATTCAAGTATACAGCAAACATTCAAGCATCAAGCAGTGCAACAAAATCAACCCTAATTTGTCATTATTCATCCCTAAGAGTACCATTTACAAGGATACAGAGGACAACAGATTCTTTCTTGGGATGGTTAAATCAAAACTGCAAACCTAAAATCTAAAATAGAGGAATAAAGATACAAATCTATCACATCTTTTCAAAAATAGCTTCAAAATATACAATAAAAAAAAATGTTAAAGGAAAATTTTTTTGAGAAATTGAACAGAACTCTTTTCTACCTGGTTTCTTGTTCAAAGATGGCTCCATGGCATTGGAATACAGCTAGCCTCCATCCAGCTCTCTAAAAATGTCTTATATAGCTAACAACTCGATCAAACTTGATAGCTTCCACACAGCTTGAGGTAAAAAATCAATGACATGTGCGAGAAATCCAGGAATAAGGGAAGTTTTATATCAGCTTGTCCACAAGGAGCTAAGCCTAGATGCAAGTTTTGCGCTCTTGAAGTCCTCCCTAAGCTGAATAAACCTGAATTGGCAGCCAAATCACAGTTTAGTCATGGGAGACATGCAAGTTTGACAGAGTGAAAGCACAAAGGATACCAGAAAAGTAAGAGAAGGAGGAGGTGGTGGGCGAAGGTTACATCAATTCAACACGAAAGTTTATAGCATCTGTATCAAGGATAAAAAATGTCCCCTCCCAGTGTTTTTGGCCAAAAACAGATTTTTAGATTTTCTTAAACGACCTTTACTGAATGGGAATAAATTCATGATTCTTTCAATATTAACAACAATGGTTTCTACATTTTTATTTTTCCTTAAACAGGGAAGCAAAGGTAACAGTTAATGTAACAGTAGGCATGATGCAGTCTTTTGAAAGATATTTTTGCATGGAAATTTCTCCAAAGGATGGATTCAAGAGAGATTGATTTCTTAGCATTTTACTGGAAAAAATGGACTAATGAAAACAGAATTGGATCTTGAAAATGAATATTTGCATAACCAAGAACCAATAGATTTGGGATTAGAACTTCAAACTATACACGATAACAAATGGAACTAATGGTAATACACTCAGCATAGAGCTTCATAAAAGCAAAATACATAATATCACTGACGATACCTTTGTGCATCTTTACGGATGCTGGGGGTACCCTCAAATAAAGTGGAGAGACTTTCAGGAGCAACAATAAATACATTTGCCATTCTGCAAATGAGAATTTAGTCAGTGAACCAAGATTGACGAAGGGCAAACTAGATGAAAATATAGAAATATTTTGAACCTCATGTAACTTACATGCCCAACAATTCAAATTTCTCATCAACAGATGGTGCATTGAAACTCCGCACAAATTCTCCATATTCAGTTATGTCACGTTTTAGCCGCAGTCCTCCACTGCAAAGACAAACAGACAATTGAACACAAACAAAAAAGTGAAACATTCTTGGTGCTAATTAAGGAAATAAGAGGAAAATTTCATGAGAATGGATTGAAAAAGCAAGTAAAATATCGCTGCATGGTTCACTGAAGAATAGGTCAAAACAATTCACAAGATCAATGTGATTACAAAATTGGGCAAATTTTCTACCAAGTCAAAACTACGATTTCTATGAGGCTCAATTCCACCCTTCCATAAGCAGACTGACCCTTGGGTACCAAGCTCTTTCCCACTAACATGGTTCCCATGATGCTCATGAGAAAACCCACAAAGTAAGCGCTAAAGTGAATGGATGATGGAACTACATGCCAATATAAGGTAACTAGATAAGAATGCTCTCATCAACTTTTCATTCTTTGATAATAAAGCATTCTTACATTCTAATTGACTGAGATGAACTTTGGCCAGTAAGTTCACATGCAGATACAGAACAATTACCTGGGGTTAAAAGTGAATTTCTGCCAATGATTAAGCAGCCCCTTATGCAAGCGATTTCCCTAAAATAATAAACATACCCATATTAAGTCTTGATGTGTAAATGTACATATTCTTTCTTCAAATTGCTACAAAAAATATTAAATTTATTTGAAGATAAGAAATCACGAATAGCAGCAGTCAGAGAAAGTTGGGTCACCAATAGCCTGGACATTAATAAAGAACGGCCAAAGAGAGACTCAGGAGATAAATTATCGTACCAATTCTGTCAGGAATGCTTGTTTGTTAAGACCTTCTAATGCAGTGAATGCAGCCTCGAGCACACGAGAAAGGTATGCCACAACTCTAGCCAATGGAAGAGAAAAATATTATTCTGTATCAAGAATAACTGAAAAATATTTTTGTCGATTAAAAGATCATGTTATTTGAAACAGAATTGCACAGTGGAAATTATATCTAGTCAACTTGGTGAAGTCATCCATTGATCCACATATTTCCACATGCTAGGAATCTGTTCTATTAGTACAAAACACAAGTTCAACATTTGTCAAGTGGGACACACCTTGTGCAAGCAGTTGTTGGACGATGATCAGGAACAATTCCGTCATCAGGTGATCGATAATCAGTTGCCTTCTGTTCAGCTGAAAGCAATCGCTCTACCTACACAGGAGTTTGGCAAAAATATTATATGACAAAAACAAATTAAAAATAAAGACGCATATATAAATGAGCAAATATGGAGCATGGGAACAGATCTGATCATCATAACAACAAAAACATGAGAAAGTAAAAACATATTGCACTGCATTTGATGCTACAGAAAATAATCATGGTGAATTAAAAACTTGTAATCGTCAACCAGAATCTAGATCATAGAAGTAAATGACAGAAAGTCAAAACCAACCTCAGCCATAACAGTTTCAATGCATTGCTGAAGCCCTTTATAAGCAGCACCCTCTGCACTGGACATAGCTGTTGCCATTTCTTCACATGAAGCCGCATGAGCACCATCCACAGGTAGTAAGAGGCGAGATATAGAATTTGCAAAATACTACAGACAAAAGTCAAACCAATTAAAGTTCTCAAAAATATGATTCAACAACAACTTAAACAGTGCCAATGCAACTCAACATACTTGCTGAACTATGGCCACACTACTGCCACACCTTTGCACAGCAACCATGAAAGATCTGAAACTGCTCTCACCAGCAGCAGCAGCAGCTTCTGCCTACATATCAACATCACTCTCACTTATGTCAATGATTTCAGGCTAATGCACATCATAGATATATGATGCAAACAGTTCATATGCAAAGAAAGGCAAATGGACAGGTAATTACAGCAGAAGCAGCTGCAGCAGCCACCCTTCTGCTAACACTTGTTCCCAGAACAAACCTTTCCCTCAAAGCTGCAGCTTCAGTTAGGCTGTCTCTAGCCCGTTCAAGACCTTCAGTTATGTATTGCCCAACCTACAAACGGAAAAGCTGAGGATTGAGGACATAAAATTAGCAAATTACAGAGTAGTTAAGCAACTTACTTGGTCTAGCAAGCAAGTGAAGACTGCTTTTACATTGGCTGCAAGGGTAGTAGGCTGTAGAAAAACACATTTGAAATCAATCAATAAATAGCAGTTAAAATACTAGAAACCTAAATAATAAAGCAATAGCATATATGTATTTCCCAATTATACTAATTATTGGGCTAGTTTTTACTGTTTCTTCCTTCCTCCTTTTTCAGAAAAATAACTGAAACAAACAAGACAGTTTCTCTAAGACACACCTAACAAAAACTTATTCTATTTTTCTAGGCTGAGATTATATCTAATATTGCACATTTGCATGTCTAATTCCTGTTATCCACATTCATTTGCTTTTGAATTCCAATTTCATTGTTGCTCAAAGCATCGACCCCCTCAACCAGACACAGGCCAGAAAACATAAATTTCTACCAGCTACCAGGAATGAGCTACAGCAAATTAACTGACATAAAGAAAAAGTATTAAACATAAAGCTAGACAAGGTACCATTGTAAGTGGTGAAGGTAATTACTAGACAGTTACAGCAGATCATAAAGAGACATTCTTCAAATCCCATTTCCAATCACAAATCTAAGATGTTGGAGGGGGTAAAAAAGCTGATTTTCAGTTTGACTTGTGAATGATCATATAGATTAACATTCATATCTATGTCCCTGGGATATATTTGCTGAATAATGAATATTGTATCTCAAATTTGCCACTGAACTTAGCAAATCTCATGGAAGCATATTCCTATTTTAAACCAACAAAAGAAGAAAATTGTTGCATATATGAAAGAACCTTATGAACAAGGGTACAGAATTCCCATTTGACTCAACAAAAACAAAGCTTTATAATTAAAAATAAGGAAGCCTTTTTCACAATTGAAGAAAGGGTACTCAGAAGCAGTTTATGTTTCGTATGACAAAATATTAAGTGTTAAGAACTCTCAACAGTGAAATACTATATTGATTGCAGAAATAAACATTACTTGAGATGAAAACAGAGTGCATCTTGATATTGCTTCTTCATTCCAACGCACAAATTCTGTCACCACAGTAACGGATATCTGTTGGTGGGAAGATGCCACAGAGGCTCCCTTTGACCGCCCAATTGTCCCGGTTGACTCAGAGAGCTGGCTCTCAGCACGCAATTCTTCCATCTGCATGACAAGATACAGACAATTACCTGAGGAAAAATTTGTACTGTAAAGTTGATCAAGAATAATTCGATCACTACCAACCTTTGATCTATATAGCTGTCTAAGAGAAGCCTGCTCAGTTTCAGGGTATTCATCCTTGTGAGAAGAGAACAGGGATTCTGTAAGACCTGCATCAACATAGGAAGTTGGCATTAAACCTAAGTCAAAGGCAAATGAAGCATACAAAAAGCCGATTTCAGCAAGGACAAATGCATTAAGTTATAGTCACACTCATTCAACATTAACACTTGTACACTAATAGTTTATTAAACATCACCAAGAAAGCCTTACCATTGCTGACTAATGACAAATCACTGCAGTGTTTTAAAAAATTGACCCTCTTCTGGTATAACATTAGAAGGCAATGTCAGTTCAATATTGAAATAAAAAGTTTCCATCTTTTTGTAACTCGGTCCACTTTCACACAGCAAATGCAGAAATAAAGTTTTTTGCCTTTTCATTCCTCACATTGGCTGAATACAAAAAAAAAAAAAAATATGTAAAAGGTAATGGTGCGACCACCCTCCAGCCCTAGTTTCAGCTAATGAAAAGTCCCCATTTCCATAAGAGCAACTGGTGCAACAATAATAAATAATCAACATGAAAAACATATGGCACAATGCAGACATGCACAGTTCACTTTTTCCAGAAAATATGTACATTAGAATATTACTCAAAGATTGCATAGTATTGCCTTTAACCACAGAACCAGAAGAGTTAATTCATTACCCTCAACATCCAAGTCACCGCATCCCACAGCTCGTAGCTCTCTAGCAAGTTCCTGAGTCTTCTCATATGCCACCGATAGCATTCTAAGATACTGAAGCCTCAAGTCAAATGTAAATTAGGTCAAAATTTGATAATCACTTCAAAAAACTGCACTAATACACATAGAACTTCTGGTGTTTTTAATTGTATCCAACATTTTTAATTTTACCAGGTTGTTTCCTGATTACTTATCTGTTTGGATTGCATCTTATAGGTCTAGTATGCTAAGATAGCAATTCGAAAGCAAACATGGGCATAACCTGCCACCTTAGGAGAAGCAAGCACACTGTGGATCTCTAAAAGACACAAATCAAATGACATTTTGCAAAACTGCTTCCTTGTATAAACTTGCTTAAAATGCTTTTTGACATTCATATTCTATAAGAATGCATAATTTGATGGCTCTCAAGTCTGAAGAAGAGCCTGCTCCTAATTCAACAAGTTATTTCCATATTTGCTTTCAGTTTCAGCATTATGTTAACATGAGCAAACACCTCAGACCTAATGGATATAGTTGAAACAAAATCAATAACCCGTGAACCAAATTGATAAACCCACAGGAAACAATTGAAAAGGCACAGGAAGTTTAGGATATATTAAACCATTAAGCCTTAAGATATATAATAAGAAAATAATTTTACTCACTAGCAAAAGTCCACCTTCTCCCGCAGGAGGTAAATTAACAAGAGATGGTTTCACTAACAATTTGTCCAAAAGAGCTGTAACTCGCTGCTCCAAAACTCGCTGCACAAAATTAGGAAACTAGTCATTATTATGAAATCACACAAAATTTTGATATGCCATATGTAGATCAACATTCACAAGATATAATAAAATAAGGGCATGCCACATTACCTGCACCAAAATTGACATCACATCATTAGGAGAAGGAAATACTGCCATAATTGTGGCTGCCTCTTTACGAACAGTATCTGCACAACCAAAAACGAAAGATGTTTTTAAAAGAAAATTGAAGAACTCAACCATGTGGATTCATATGAATTGCTATTCTTAAAACCTGTGATATTTCTGTACAATAATGACAGCCCACGAGCAACGTTATTGGGACTAGGTTGAGAAACCTGATCTCCAAGGACCAATCTGGTATCTGCATTCATGACTTCAACATCAATGAACATTGGGCGTGTTGCCACATAATGTTGCATAGCACTGGTACCCCTGTTAAACTGCAATGCAAAGGTAAATCAGTGTGATAAATGGGAAAAAGGTCCTTCAATTCATTTACAAGACCATTTGCCTTGATAGAAGATTGGTAACTCCACTATAAATTCAAATAAGAATGAAAAAACCATCAAAAATAAAAACCAAACATGGTTTAAATAACCCCTCCCCCCCCCCCGTTTACCTCCTTGTTAAATCTGCAATGCAAAGGTAAAATCAGTGTGAAAATGGGGAAAAGGGTCCTTCAATTCATTTACAAGACGCATTTGCCTTGAAAATAGAAGATTGGTAACTCCCACTATTAAATTCAAAATAAGAAATGAAAAAACCATCAAAAATAAAAAACCAAAACAGGTTTTAAAATAACCCTCCCCCCCCCCCCCCTCCCACTTTATTCTTTTCCCACAGACAAGCCCCCCCCCCCCCCCCTCCCCTTTATTCTTTCCCACAGACAAGCCAAAAAAAGAAAGAGCCACTTCAGTTAGACTTCTGGTATGATATCCTACAATTCTGTCGAGTTTTCACTTAGTTAACATCAGGATTCACAGCCTTACTAAAAAATTAGAAATACCAAAAGTTCAATTTCATGTATAATCAGAATTCTATATTTTATCTCATATGAACTGACGAGGGAAAGACGAGAGCCCTAAGTTAGGTGTTAATGTTAAAAGAGATATCTCCAATCACATAGGAAAATAATTACCTGAGATAAAATTTTAGCGCATTCTGCCATGGTAGACAACTCCCTTCTCTGAGATGCTGCATCAAACCGGGACAACAATCTATTCTCCAGCTCTACATAAAGAGCATTAATATGAAAAGGAACAACTTTAGAACATTATATAGGAAAGAAACAAATCTAAAAATCTGAGAAAATATTTTCAAATTCAACTCCTTTTAGGGACAGAGGCTAATGAAGCAGTATAAGATCAGTTTCAACATTCCATGCCATAAGGCTTCACTAGTTATGCTAGGCAGGAAAACATTAGGCTAATATTCACAACAAAATAGATAACGTCACAGCAATTCCAAAATTAATTTGAAGGGATAACGTTGGTACGTGGATAAAATTATAGAACAGAAGTTAACATACCATTGCAGTAATCTTGAAGATTAGCAACTGCAACTTCTAATCCTCTGCTAGCGGTTGCATTTCCCATAACTGATGGTACAGATATGCCTTGCCTTCCAATATCTTCTTCAGCAAAGCAACCTATAATCCAGAGACACAGCATGGTAATTCATATGGCTTCAAAGATACCCAAATAATATCGAAAAACAAATCAACTAGCTACTACATATAATTATGCAAAGGCTGCTTCTCCTCTATACTTCAGCGCTATTGTATCTGTTATGAACCAAAAGAAAGGTCAATTCAATTTTTTCCTGAATTTGTGGTAAAGTTAAATACAGTTATAATGTCCTTATCCATCATAATGGATGCCCCAAAATCTTAGCATGCTTAGAACAGTATGCATTTCCAACAAAAACATTTACAAATGGATGATTTCAATGAACGTTGAAATGAAATTCCTCGATAAAAAAATATTTGGACACATAGAATGTAGGATTAGCAAAAGTTTCTTTTGATTTTCCCAATCATGGCAGTAAATGCTTGCAGATTTATTTACTCAAAAAAAAGGTGATTGCAAGAAAGGCAGTATGGCATTTGGTTCACATGAATCAAGGTTAATTGTCAGAAAAAGACATTGAAAATGCAGGTGCCAACTCATAAGAGGCAAGGTCTCAGATCTTATTTAGGGTTCAATTGAAATGAATCTCACGGACTCCGTCTGCATAAAAAGGAAAAAAAACTCAAGATTGAAGCACACAAATAATAAGTTTTGTGCAGCAATCAGTGAGATTTCACAATTTTTATGGGTAAGTAATGTCGTCTTACGTAATTTTTGTGCAATTGAAGCAGCCTCAGCAACACGACTGTCATCTGAAAACAAAGGTGAAAGTTCCATTAAATCGCCTGGGCTTCCATTAAACTCCACCAGATACTGCAAGAATTAAATTAAAAAGGCATTAGCACGTGCTAAACCAAGCAATGAATGCCAAACAAATTGACTGAGATTACCTTAATGAGCTCTATTGTTTGGCTGGCTGTTTCCCTCTGAGCATCTGCACTCTGACAAGAACGCAAAAAACTACTGATATAAAACAGGAAGCCAAAGCAAACAATGGTCAATTATTTACAAACTTTACCTGCAAATGATCTCCTATTTTTGCAGCAGTCTGTCCAACACTTGAAATACGAGAGTCCAACCTTGCAAAGCTATCAAATAATCCATCTACACCTTTTTCCAACTGAGAGATAAAATGCAACATCTGAGTCAGATCCACAAGCTTCTTGCGACACAACAGGAAATGAAAAACTAAACTATATTCCCAAATATGCCAACCTCAGCAAGTGTCTTGCGGTGCTTAGAGTCTTGGACAGAAACATCTTTCCTCAGATTGGAGAGCTTTCCATCAACCTTGAAACCAGACAAAAATTAAGAAATTGGAATGACCTTGTAAACTCCATAATCAAACTTAAAAATCCTACCTGTTTTCGAAGATCAATCAACTCTCTGCAAGAATCCCTGAACAGAGACAAGAGAGCATCTATTTCTGGAAATAAAGGGGAGGACCCTTGCGTAAGTTTTGATGCGTCAGAAGGGCCTCTAGCAGGCCCATTTGCCAAGACATCACTCCCACTAATGCCATGCCCTTCTGGTGAATCTGATTCTTCTTCTTGGAAAGATGGGAGAAGTTCATTTACCAAGTTCCCGAATAATGCATCAAAAGAAAACTCACCCTACAAAATTCAGATTTCAAAGGTCATTTGATCGCATGAAATAATTAATCTAAACATCGCACAATTTCGTATTGCAAAACATAATCATTCGTTCTCAGAGTTCTTTACCTTAAAGTCTTCTATATCCAGAATCAGTGGAAGGGAACCAACTGATGGAGTTTTCGATTTTCTATCATTCCTGATTCCGTCTCTACTCTCTTTCATCTGGTTAACATGATTTACGTTATTACGATATAACTTACAACATCATTCTTTCGGCATAAAATTTTCGCCAGATTCAAAACAACGCTGACAATTTCAATCTTAAAAAATAGGAAAAAAAAAAATGAAGAAGCAGCAGAAAATAAGTGCAAAGGTACATGTACTGTGCTCATCTAAACGAAGACATGACTATAAGCTGATAATTTCATGTCTCCAGAAAACCAGGCATCAGAAAACACAAAATATAATTTCCACCTATTTTACTGCCAACCAAACAATAGAAACAATTGAGCTTCTTGTCTAACCTCACTTTCAATTACAGCTCAGCCAGTAACAACAATCAATCAATCAATCAATCAAAAGTATATTAAAAATTCTTGAAATAACCTTCCGCTAAACATAGTTCAGCTATGAACACTTAGCAAAGACAAAAACGAATCTGCGAATTTAAATGGAAGAAGCGAAACGTATGTTGTTTTAGATCATGCAGCTACAATGAGGGAGGGCAAACGTCAGGCAATGTTACCTCTAAGGCGGTTGTATGAGCAAAAAAAATTGGCGAAAAAGATAGCCAGTGAGTTCTTCCTTGTACGCTTTGGTCGGGTGGGTAGATCGAGCTAGGTGAGAACGAAATAGAGAGAGAGAGAGAGAGAGAGAGAGAGAAACAAACTGTTCTTCAACGAAAATTACAATGAAAATAATTTTCCTTGCTGCTAAATCACTGTTTTAGCCTATTGACTGTTGGGGATATGAAGTGTTTGGAATAGGGTAATTTTGGAACTTAACAAATTAAGCTGGACTACTTGTGTTTGTTAATGACACTAGTATCAAATATCCGGCATAATAAAAGAATAAATAGAATACAGATGCATTATAAGTGAAGTTCGTTTGTTTGGATTATAAATTTAAAATTCAGTTATTTGAAATTAAGATTTTGGTGTATCTCTCGTGATAAAAACTTTTTTCTCTTATGCCTGATAAATATGAAAACTTTCAAATTATAAAGGGGTGTGAAAGAATAATATTGAGGTTCTATAGAATCTGGGGTGATACATGGACATTTGAACCCACTCCATTCCATTTTGGATGCATTTTGGGGAGCTCGGGATAAGTAGTCACAAATTAAGGGGTGGGGAGCACCAAAATGTGAAAATCCAACTTTAATAACCAGAGCTAATTTTTATTAGTCATTTCATCCCCATTTTAAATTTATAGTTCACTCGTAATTATAAATAGTGAAACTTCGTTATTGTTTTAATTGTATTTAACGTGTCACATGAAATTTTTAAAATCTTTTTTTCATTCACTAGTTTTCAAGCATCTCTTATCCACTTTTTTCTTTTATTTTTCGAGTGTGCAATTCAATATGCAACCAATTATAATACCATAATAAATATATACATCGCCTATGAAATCTTACAAATAGAAGGTGTGGTGCTTCACATAGCAAATAGATATTGATATCGGACCTTTTTTATTTTTTTCATGTTTTTTGATATGACAATTAAATGAGAACAATTTACATTAATAATGAAGATACTTTTAAACATGAGAAGAAATATTTAGTCCTTTTTTTCATGGATCTCCTCTCTTCACTCATTGTTTATATAGTTTTTTTTTTTTCTTTCTTCTTTTTTCTTATTTTTTTCTTGCTTTTTTATTTTTTGCAGTTTTTTTTCATATTTTTAAATAAAACGATATATTTGAGTGTCTAAATCCTTTTTTTTCCTTTGTATTGTATTGTTAAATTCAGTGTTCTTACTTTTATTTCGTAGTTCCTTTTTTGTTTATTATATATTTTATGAATTTCTATATTTTTATTTATTTTTCCATACATGAAAAATAAATGTATGCAAGGCAACACTTGAGTTTATCTGCTAAAATATTATAAACACGTCAAAAATTCATTTGTGCTTGGTAAAGCTCTAACAAAACAATTATAATGTTAGTTTAAACGATTAATTTACACCGACTGATAACTTCAAGATTCTATTAATATATTATGAATTTTTATTAATTTCGAAAACAAAAAATGTATGAAGTTTTTACTTTTAAATTTAAATAGGAAAAAAAGGCCGTGGTATATTGTGCACGCCTGCATGGTAGCTTTTACCAGCCAAATTCTCTCGGCAGACTAGACAGCCGCTGGCCCGCTTCTGTACTTTATGGACCTTGCCACTTGGAGCCATTGTCATGGACCAATATCTAGTAAATACCATGCAGGGTTCGATCCAACTACAAATGCAATGGGCTGGCTAAGATTGGATCGGACCAATTTAACTTATAGTATGATATTGATTTCACAGCGATTAAGGTGGAAAAAAGGGAGGAGAAAAGAACTACTTGCAGGACAATAGAATTCCCCCTCAAATCCCTTTGGAATATCAACAAGAAATTCGTAATCGATAAAGGCGACTTATCGCCGCCGCTCTCCGTCGATTGATCACATGTAGACGACGCAATGCTTGGGACTGAGATTCGAGCAATTTTTTAAATAATTGACGACATTTGGACGGAGTTTGAACCTTGAGTCTTGCTCAAGCTATCACGTATAGAAATGGGGCAGAAGCTACTCTCAGTCTCAGCTTGGCGGTTATGGAGATCACCGGTAAGATAAGGAATTAAGGACTGACGGTGATATTTTTACGATTTTAGGGCATCCGTTAATTTATTGCAGCAGAATAAATTTAAGAAAGGAGAAAAATAAACGAATATATAGATAATGTATCCCACGTGAGTTGCAAGCAGCACCTGAAAGGTAAAATTAATTATCTATTATTTTTTAATGAATATTAATCTATGAATATTAAATTAATTTTTTTTAAAACTAAAATAGAAAACTTCCCTTACCTTCCCTTGAAAACCCCAACCCCTCAATCCAAACACGCGGTAGTTTTCAAGGCTTTCCTTTTCCCTCTTCTTCCCGCTCTAACAAATTTCAGAGTTTCAAATTGGCTCCATTTTTACACATGAATAAAGGGTTGAAAGACAGGAAGAGCAGAGACCAAAACGACAAGAAACGGAGACATAGTGAAGCATGGTCATTAATGGCAACTTCTTCGCCAAGACCATCTGCTCTATCTGCTACGAAGATCTCAAGCCCAGCCTCGAAGATCTCCAAGCAATCTCTATCTGTGGCCATGTCTTCCACGAACTCTGGTAGTTGCAACTATATTTATCGTCGCGTTTTGGCATAAGCTTTTTAAGATTGATATGACTGTGTGTTTGGAACCCTAGCTTGCAGCAATGGTTCGAGTACTGTTCGAAATCAAACAAGTGCAGTTGTCCAGTGTGCAAACAGAGCTGCATGGGAAATAATGTCGCTCGTCTTTATTTCCAATCAGTGGAGGATCAGAACGAACCGTCCGTGTCTCAGAAGGTGATTGATTGCGAGGATGACCCTGAGCTGTTGCGTGGAGAAGTGAGAAGATTAGCGGTGAAGGTGTCAGGTCTTACCACAAATTTGGAGTGTCAAAGGAAGGAAATCAAACAGCTCAATGAAGAGGTAATTTTCCATCTTGTTTTTAGTTTTTTTGTGAGATGTAGAAAAAGGAATTGGAAAAAGCCAAAAAACAAATTAAAATGAAATGTACAAACTGTCAAGTTTGCCTGCCCTGTCTAAGTAAGGTGTAAATTAAACTGTAGATCCTTGAATTACATTACTAGTAGGTATTTGCGGGGACTATTTTGAGTTATTCAGCTACCGTATTTGACAAGCATTTATGCCTTGTCTTCCGCCATTCTTTGTGAACTGAAGCTAAATCTTGTTTGCCAAGAAAGTTAGAATGCAATGAAGTTGACATTTCAACCTTTTTTTTATGTCATATTTGCACACCTTTATTTGGAAGATAAATTTGAATTGCGACTGGGCTTTTGTTGTACTTGTTTGAAATGAAATGGCATGACAACTTACATCTCCTTTTGTGCTAGAACCAAGTTATGAAAAAGAGAAAACAGTCAAGAGTAAAAGAAACAAAATCTACTTTGGCACTGCAGATAATGGTCTAAACAAACAATTGACTTAATTGGATTGAGTATACAAAATCAAGAAATGAAAATATAAATACTAAAACAATAGTTTGAACCTTCAGTTTTTCTGAATGCATATAACAACTTTATAGCATGATATTAAAAGAAACTATATCAGTTTTACAAGTTCTCATTTCCTAGTCACCAAATCCATGTCTTCATATAAATGTGTTTGCATGTGGTGTTGAGGTTTCATTTTTTTTTTTTTTTCAGTTGTTTCTCTGCAAGGATCAGTTGAAGAAAGAAATCATTTTGAGGAATGATGTCATGGAACAAAAGACTTCAATTCAACGGCTGCTTCTTTCAAAATCTGAGGTGAATTATTGTCTCTGTTGTTGTTCTAGGCATTCATATTTCCGTTTTCATCTTTTGTGGTGTTTATTGATCTATAGAAGCGTTTTCAATGATATTTGGTCAATTCAATGTAGGAGCTTGATACTCAAAAGTTGCAGTGCTTAAGGCTCCAAGACAGGAATATGGCATTGGCCAAGGAGCTTGCAGCACTGAAACTGTAAGTGAAATTGTGATTGCTCCATAAGATTCTTATTATGAACTCTTGTTACTAAAATATGGTCATATGGTCTAAAATCCAGGGTATCAGATCTGAATCTGGAGGAAGATGAAATTTCGAAGCTTGCATCTTTTGGCAATGAGGCCAACTGCAAGGATACCATAGATGTTCTAAGGAAGTCATTGATTATTCGTAATAAGTAAGTTATCTATTTGTCTGCTTATATTTAAATGCATAAATTGGAGGATGAAATTGTTTTTGAGTTTTGGACTTTTAAATGAATTTTTTGAGTTTGATGCTGTGCGCTAAAACAATTAAATCTTTAGGTGTAATCATTTTGAATTGGAAGCTGACAGTAGAAAACTTAAATTTTTTCTTGATATTGATCACCAAATAGATACTGTTATCGCTACCTTTAATTGATGTTTGCTTGTGCTTAGTTGCAAGATCCTCATCTGATTTTTCCACCATTTTTTTGCATGTCTTATTTTGTTAGATTTTGATTTGTATATAGTTCATTGGTGTACAATTCCTTTTATAGGAGTTACAAACAATTGATGGCCAAGTGCAATCAACTTGGAAGGGGTGAGGCACGATCTGGGCAAAAGCTTGAGAGGGCAAAAGAAAAGATAGCTAAACTAAAGGTAAATATTTCAAAACTTTGTTTAGGAATGTCCAAGAAAATCTCATTTGGAGAATGGCTCTTGTTTCCTACTCATGGCGTGCAAGAAATTACAATTTGACTCAATTGGTAATTGTTTTGTGGTCACCATCAGACAAAGGTCCAAGAACTCGAGATGATAGTTGAAGTCAAAGATAATGAAGCTTTGAGGGCTTTAAAAGACTCGAAAAAGGGTCATTGTAAAGAAGTTAATGCAAATGATACTACTGCGGGTCCGAATGCCTTTTACCTTAGTTATTTTTCCTCTGTAGATCAGAAGGAAAAACATTTTAAATCTGAGGTCAAATTGGATCAAACTAAAAACTCAAATAGTGATCTAGGAAATTTTGATATCCTTAATGATTTGGGTAGTAATTCCACCAAAGAATGGGCAGCCATAGTGGCCCTTAATAAGGAGCGAGATACCTGCTTTTTAATAGATGAGGCTGCTCCAGAATTTCCTACAGTTCATGTGCTTTCAGATACCAATTCAAAGCATTCAACCAGTGAAGATGTAAAATCTACTCTTCCAAAGTCAGAAGCTGTTTCAAGTATCAACAGCAAAGCCAAAGTGAGTGGACTGACATACCAAAATGGGATGTTTGGTTTAAGAGCTTGCAGCAATAGTGATAAAGGTGATCCTTTGGCTGCTACCGATGAGGAAGTAACCTTGCTTCATGATGATGAAAAACATTTTCAATCTATGCTTAACATTAAGAAAGAATCCCCATCCCTCAATTCACTTTCCAAACCAGGTAATTACTCTTGTTGCAATTGGAGTTTGATACAATTGATTTCAGCGGTAGATTGGACTGTGCTTTGTAAATCTAACTCATATTTGCTTCTAAGGCATGAGGCATTCAATTTTTGCTCCACATGTATTTCATTTGAAGGGATATTTTTCAATTCTTTAGTCATTCATTATTCTTAATTGATATCTGCAGGGGATATGTGTTTCTCAAGTGGATTGCTGGGTCCTGATGGAACAAACCGATATTTGGGGAAATGGTGCAAGCGTGGCCAAAGTAAGAGATCAGTAACCTTGGAAGGTGCAAGCACAGGCAGTGGTGATTTAATTGCTGTTGGATCTGACGGGAGAGGTGGTAGAATTAAAGTTCTGAGGTCCCTGAATCAGTCCTTATTGGTGGGTGAACACAATCATTTCTCATCCGATATATTTAGTTGGAAACATCCTTTGTTTAGGTGCCGTAAACCTGCTTCTGGCATATTATTTGTTAAATTTGGCGGTTACTATTGCTCTTTTGGCATTTTTTTTATACTTCTTTCTGTAGAATGTCTGAGTTTTCAGATCATTTCACTAATAGATACAATTGGGGTTGTGCATTGTGTATCCATTTAACTTCGGTTTGCAGATAGATCTCTTGCTAACATGATGTATCTTGCCAAGTAAATTTAATCTTAGATTCCATATATGCGCATTACTTTCTTTGGTTAATATGCTGATTTTGCATTCTGCCATGACCTTTCTGCAGGATAGTAAGCAAAATTCTGCAGCAGCAAAAAGGTGCAAGTATGGAGCCAAAGCCAGCAATTTGCAGATTGAACACTTCTTTAGCAAGACCACTCATTAATCAAATGTGTTCATGTCTCAGATATGGTTTTTTGTGGCTGAGAAGAAAAAAATCCAGTAAGTCATGTATGTATATTTGGAAGGAGAACGAATGAAGAAAAAGCCAGAGGACATTCCTTTGTTACTCTTATCAGCTTTATTTTGATTAACTAGAGAAACTGGTTGATATTCACATCAGGGTTGCAGTCTGCCACTGTCCGCATCTTAAATCGACATCAGTTAAAGTCATTTAAATGGCATTCTTTTGGGTTAGCTTACTCATTATGACATGTGGATGCATTAAAAAAAAAAAAAAGAAAAAAAAAATGAAGATAGCATCCTGCTCTGACTACTTGCAACTGTTAAAAGCTTCTCTTGTTTTTCTGATATTATTTTGATGTATAGTATTTATTAACAAATCAATAGTTTTTTCTTCATCCTTGTGCTGATTCTTGTCGGGATTGATGGTCCAAATGGGTAGATATATGGAATTCCTTTGTACTCCCGAGCATTTCTAGTGTTCCTTTTGAGCATTCTCCAACCTTCCTAAAAGAAGAAATTGGTTTAAAGAGAACTGATTTGATGAATGTGTACAGGCACTGTACGAGGACACGAGGCGCTATACTTTGTACATCTGCAGAAAAAAGATAGCCTATTATTTGCTTATGTTCATTAACATTAAAGACATGTTTCAATTCTTCTATGCCTTTCCAAAGTAGTCTGTCTTTGTTTTTTCTTTTTGGAATATCTTGATATCTTAACCGTGCAGCTGTAAATAGTTCTGCTTTTCTTCTATCTAGTAATGGTATGTCTGTAGGTACAGGGTTCTATATCAGTTTCTTTGCTACGTGGTGCAAAGTTGAGGTTCTGGAATTACATTAATAGTTATATACATGCAATTTCTTTAATTGTTGTGTCGTAGTTGAAGCTTTTAGCAGTATTGCCCACCTAAGCTATGCCGAAATTCTATGTCTCCAGTTTTGTAGTTTTTCTGGACTCCTTATCAAATGGGGATGAAATTTACATGCATAAGCATATAGTGGACTGTCTTTCTGGTTAAGTTATACCAGTTTGATTGAAAGCATGGATAATAGCATCATTATTTTTGAAGACTAGGTCAGTTATGATAAGGTACAAAAACAAGACTGAGCCATAGATACTGTGCATTGCTTATTGTTTCTGGAATGACGGATAAAAGCACGTGTTATTGGGTTGGTTTTTGAAATATCTTTAGAGTTGGTGAGTCTTCATTCTTTCGGCCTGCGGATTTGATTGACATGATTTGTCAGATAATTAAATTTCATGACTTTGGCGAGTAAAATGTTGAATTCGTGTTTCTCGTCAAGGTGACAGGTAACAGGCAATTTTTTAAAAATTGAAATTCTCGTGGCTGCGAACTGTAGTTGATCTTTAAGAGCTCGTAACTTTTGTTTGGTTTAGGGAAACCGTCCAGAAATTATATAGAAATAGAATGACGTTCCTCAAAAATTGTGAAACACATATTTTAAATGCAAATGAAGAATAGTCATTCTACCAGATTAAGTTTACTAATCAACCTGGTTTAAAAATTTTTAGTTTTTTTTTTTTTAAATAATTTGGTATTCAAAGCTAATAGCCTGTATAGCTTTTTGTTTTCTTTCTATTTTTAAATCATTCGGTTTCTTTTTTTTGTTTTTCTTAAATTATCCGGTATTCAAAATTCATCAGCACCGTTTATATGGATTTACGTCAATTAGGTCTAGGGAGGAATGAAAATTTTATTTATAACTTGTGCCTCGAACCGAAAGCATTTGGTGAAGGAAAAAAAGCTCTTGTCACCTCATTTCGTAACTTGGTGCAGTTTTTTGTTTCAAATTTTAATAATTTTATTATATCAAAATAATTCATTTTTTAAATTAAAGAATCAAATTCTAGTAATTATTTACTTTTTTTTTTCAAGTATCACAACTGACAGAATCAAATGGGATTGTTACAAATTTGTAGGTTTTCAAACACATTTTAATGGATAGTCGGGCTTTTAATTTTCTCTTCTTTTTAATTTTTCTTGATTTACTAAATCGGAGAAAACTTTAGTTCACTGAAAAGACTTTTCATTCCCAATGTGACTGAGAACACCAACCAGGTCTCTCATTTACCAAGCACAATCCGGTTTTGCTGCTTAGAAAATGATTAGAAGATCTAAATAAATAATTACTCACACCGTTGTTTAAAATCAGGGAGGCCTCTGGATTTAGGGGTTACGTCATTGCATGTACCTGGCTGGATTAGGTGTTGAATTCGAAAGAAAGCGTGTCATTGACACTGCAAAAAACTGAAAAAGAAAGAAACTGGGTAGGTTCATTCAGAGTGAGTGTGCACCTAGTTTTAACTTTCAAGGGATGGCTAATGGTTTGCACTTGCCTAGACAGTGACCTTCTATCCTAATGCCACTGCAGAACAGTGGATGCTTTTTGCATAAACAGAGAAAGGGGAGATGTTTTCGTTGGCTTTCTTGAATTTCAGGCGGATACAGTTCAAAAGCCTGCGCCTTTTATGATCTTATTAGTTTGATCAACTGAGTATGAGAAAAAGAAAAGATCAGTTTACTCTAAATAAATAAAAAACAATGCACGTTGTTGTTTTCTCTTGTTGCTTTTAACAGTAAGGCAGAGCATGGATTTTTTAAAAATTTTTATTTAAAAAAATACTTCAGAATTATAAAAAAATTATTATTTCATATAAGAAAAAATATATAAAAATAATAAATTGTTGTAGCTGTTAGAGATTGCTAATGATAAATAATGATCAGGGTTCCTTAACAGTGATCGATAAAAACAAAAGCAAACAAACAGCCAAAAAAATAAAAAATAAAAAATAAAATAAAAGAGAGATTTCTTGATTTGTGGTATGAGTGCATATTAAACTCATTTTTTGCATTTGTTTATAATCTATCATGTGTCTCTTTTTTGGATGTGTTTAGTTTGTCGATCCATCCCCTTTCACCCTTGGCGGTTCTGTATCTTCAATAAACTTTTCATGGGGAAATAGAATAGTACTACCACTTCAATCTCAATAGCAGACACAGATGAAGACGCCAAAGCCGCCTCCTTGTCCATCGCTCTATATCGTGCGTACGGTGATGATTGAATTAAGGATGAAAATAAAAATAGGAGGAAACAATAAAGATTCCTTTTTTTTTTTTTTTTTTTTAAATTTTTTTATTCCTTTTTTTTTTTTTTTTTTTTAAATGCTTTAGCGATTGAAATGTTGAATTTTCATTTAGAGTCTGCTTATTACGGGATACTAAGATTCGAAGTTAGGCATTTTATCATATTAATTTTGTATAAGATTCTAGATTCTATCTAAATAATCGGAAGATTCTTGTTTGATAAGTATGCAAATACAATACATATTAGAAATACATTTGATTTTACGTTCCATTATAGCTGCTCAAACGGAATTTTAAATATATTGAATGCTTTAGAGGGATGTGAATATATTTCACACTGTGAATATATATATATATATTGTGAAGAATCTATATATATATATATATAATATATATATATATATATATATATAACAGCAAATGCACAATTCTATGCCACAGTAAATATCTTTATTCTAATAATTTTTAAAGATATTGTTGATAATATTTTTAAAAATAAAATTGTAAATTTAGAAAAAATTTTAAAATTAAATTTATTTTTTAATTTTATATTTGTTTAAATCATAATTTAAATTATTAATTAACAAATATATTGAATGCTGCTTTATATATATATATATATATTATATTATATATATATTACTTTTGATTTGTATCCAACCATGCAAACATAAACTTCGTGATTAAATACTTTTTTTTATTAATTATACTTCTAAATTTAAAATAATTTATACTATTTTTATGAATTCCTAATCTAAAATTTTTTTATTGATTTGTAGTCCACCCATGCAACATAAACTCGTGTTAAATACTTTTTTTTATTAATTATACTTCTAAATAAAATAATTTAATATTTTTATGAATCCTAATCTAAAGATTTTTTAAAAATATATTTTCTTTGATATCAATAACTATAACAAAAATACAAAAACAAAGGATTAGGCAGACTAATCATTTTAATTGTTTTTCTTCTTTTTTCCTAAAAATCATACAAACAATTTAATCGACCTTTTTCATGAATATTTTTTTTATACATCGAATTATTAATCTTACAGAAATTGTCTGTTTGAGTTCGTTTTTTTTATCACTTAGAAATATATATATATATATATGTGGTTGCTAAACACATTTCTTTAAGTTCAAAATCAAGTATTCAACTATTCATTCTAAAAGAATTGAGTCTAACTATCAAAAGATTCAAAATACTTTCACTAAATTAAATGTATCTCTTTATAAATTATTAAGAATAAGATGTGAAGAAAAATATTTATTTTACTTTTCTAATTATTTCAAATATTATGTCTAAAAATTATTCCAAGAAGAGTAATTAATAATTAAAGAACATTTAGCTGCATTTTTAATCTAGTAAATTCTTAATCATCAAAGGTCTGATATTTCCTTTTTTTTTTCTTATGGTCTGTCACATCAGTAATAATTAAAGAAAGTTGGATTTTTGAATTCTTTTAGTCTGCAACGAAAATGTATAGTGAGCTTGAACGAAGAGGAAGGAAATGTCTAGAACGGTCAAGGAATATCACATTCAAACATGATTCTATTTTTTCCACATGTTAATATATTTACTTAATTCATAATATAAATATTCATATCTTTTTTAAATAAAATGATAATTTAATTATACTTATATTGAATTCATGGGATATTTATAGATTATAATTCTATGCAAAGATATTCTAAATGTGCTTAACAGAACTCGAATTAGATATTTCTCATTCTTTATATAAGTAAAAAAATTAATTAGACTACCACCTGATTGGCAAAAAATAATTTATTTAACTCTCATTTTTTTCTAAAAATACATGCATAAATAAAAGAGATAAAGTCATTTATGATCAAATGAATTTTTACTTGTTTTTGTAGTTAATAAGGAAACAAAAAAAAAATTATTTAAAAAAAAAAAGAAACAAACAGACAGAACTACATACATCAGAGTAATTAAGACGGCCGGTAACATCACGAACTAAGTAATTGCCACGTATACAGCAAGCAATATTTTGTAGTAGCAAGCAAGATGATTAAGACAATTTTTAATTCAGCTGTTTGTATCAGTAGCAACGATAGTAGATGAATATTGGTTGCAATAAAGTTCTGGTGATAATTACATACGGCTCGTGACTCACTTGATAACACAGTCTAAATATATGGAAAGAGCTGTCGAGTTCAATCTCTACTAAATAAATTTACAGGAAGGACGAGGGAAGAGCTGTCGAGTTCAATCTTTACTAAATAAATTTACAGAGAGGACGAAGAACCTTAACTATGACTAAACCTCAAACCAGATTAAGTAGTCTTTGGTAATAGAATTCGGATTTTAGTAATTTATACAAAAAATCGTTATGGTAACAATTATATAAGATGCCGGTTAATGATATAATTATTTATTTATAAATTATCATATAAATATTAATGTTTAAAAAATAATTTTATTATTAATTATGTACTCTAAGCTCAAAAAAAAAAAAAATTTATGTACTCTAAATATAATAATAAATATAAAACAGTTAACAATTAATAAAATTACAAGGACCAATAATAGA